TAGTTATACTCGCTACACTTTACAGTAGAATTTCAATAAGTCACACTAACATGTTTCATTTGTGCTGATTGCTGAGTTTAAAAACCTACCTCAGAATCACACACTACAAACTATGTTACAAAAGCAAATAGGCGTATTTCCTCTCCCAGTTTGATGTTTGTTCCAGTCAGACCACTGACTCCAAACCTGCCACTGTGGCATCAAACACCCCACATCCAACTCTCTCTGCAAATGCTGCTGCTCAGTCAAAAACCTGCTGTGAAGCTCACAAGCTGAACATTCAGTTTCAAACATAAAAACATAGTACAAATGCACATAGATGGGCGTATACCGTACATGAAGAACTGACAAGATTAGCCCTCTATAAAGTGCAATAACAGGTTTTCAAACTCATGAAAGCACACAGGGATGATCATGACCCTGTGTGCATGCACATCAAACACTCTGCAAAGATGCTTCTAAGTTGTATACACGCAGCTGCAACAAAGAGAAAGACAGTGTGTGATCATGAGATCCAGCTCTTTAATCTCAAAGTTGTACAGGATGTAAGACTGGGGAAGACTAATCAAACTGGGCCTTTGATCAGTCAATTGGTTTTAAAAATTCAGCAGCTTCAGCGTTTCGCCAACTCAAGATTTTCTCAGATGCAGGAAAGTGGTGCTTTAAAAAAGAGTCAGTGGGGCAAAATGTGTGCTGGAGGTGGAGAGTAGAGGGATGTATTTCTGATGAAGATAAACATTTTAATAAATATATGTATGAGTACGTTCCAGCTAAGAAATAAACATTTCATACAAAACATTATTACTGTTAATTCATGTGTATTTATCTTCTGAGGCTAATGTTTCATTATTGTGCATTTTACGTTGTAGCAAGTGTCCATTACATGATCTGACGAAACACCCAGAGCCTCAAAATATATCCTTATGTGGTTTAAAATTTAACCTAATTACTGAGTTACTTCAGTATAAAAATCTATTAACACAAAAATCTATTAACATACTTTTAGAAGTTAAACAATAATCCATCTGATTTTGTTGGTTAAAGCATTAGTCTTATTGCCTTTGATTACTGTTGAATATTAAGGTCCAACAACAAAAAGCAATTTAAAAAGGTTAAGCTTAACACAGAGCACAAAGCAGCTCCTATGGCACTTTATGCCTGTCCCGACAGCACCGCGCGCCGCCTCCACGCCGGTCTCTGCCGTTCTTCCCGGATTTGCACAATGAGTTGTCCCTACGTCCCCAAGGTGCCGTCCAGTATGGCAGGGTCTAAGGTGCTGCAGGCATTTCATCTCCCACCTCATGTGACGGCGGAGGACGGGAGACTTCATCTAGGTCCTCCCAGTGGAGGAAAGCAGACCAGTTGCTGGTGTGTTTTGGGTCCCCCAAGGCTGGGCTCCCCGCTTCTAAACACACTATCAGCAACTGGATAGTTCAGGCTCTTTCCCTGGCCTATCAGGTGCGCAGTTTGCCTACACCTATGGCCGTGAAGGCCCACTCTACTAGAGGCATGGCAGCCTCTAGGGTCCTCCTCTCAGGGGCTTCTCTTCGGGATGTGTGTGAGGCAGCTGGCTAACCCTAACCATACCACCAATTTTGAGAACATCAGGTACAAACTTGATGTAGCCTAAAGCTCTGTCCTGTACAGACTGATTCAATAATTTTTCAGTTTTCAGATGAGTCTGAAAAAGTGGTTGTTATGAAAAGAAAAGAAGGTGGTGACTGTGGAGGAGCCTAGATTAGTAAAGCAAAAGTGATGCAAACTAGCCCTTTTAAGCTAATGAGACGTTTCTTTTTGGATTTTAATGTGCAAATAAAATGCACCTCAGAAGGGAGGTGGTTTCTCATGTTCCCTATTTTTTATATTAATATCTAAACAGATAAATGTCAACAGCTATAAAATGAAGACACAAAAGGCAAACATGAACAACTGTGTCTATAATGATTCTGAGGTCATATTAACAGGGTTTTAGGGGGTGATGCCCAAAACATGCTGTGCCATAAATGTCTGTGGAGAGCATCATAATCAACCAAATTACTTTCCCCAAATCTAATGGTTATAGTTCCTCCCCACTAGACTGATCTTTGGGTTTTGGTTATTTATTATCTGCTCTAGCTTTTCCAACTACTTGTTCAGAGATATGGTAAATATAATTGCCCAAGATGATGTGAAATTACATTTGTCACTGGAAAATACCCCCCACCCCCCAACCATGACTACCACAACCACCACCAAAACATTCATCTAAAGCTCAAAAAAAATGGGAAAACACTCAAATTTCAAGCTATTCTAATGTGCATCACATGCTCATGGAGCAATGCTGCTGACACATGTTGTGTTGGGGTTTTATATTCAGACAAAAATTTTGCTTCACCTCCGCTGTTACAACTCCATCCTAGGGGAATCAGAACTAAAACAGCAGATACTTTATGGAAACCTTTTCAGACAAACATGATTATATTTGTTGTTAATTGTTCATCTTTGTTGTTGTATATTTTTATATTGTGAATTTATATATTTATGTACACAATACTCTCTTCCGTTGCAATACATCTGCACAAAACAAACCCGGAATAATCATGTAAATATCTGCGACGTTGTTCTTTCTCTGCAAATAGTTGTATTATTTTTCTCTATTCCTTTTATTATTGTTACATAACTTACTTTGTCTATTCCATATTTATATATTTCTACATTTATTTATGACAACTGTGTATTTGTCTACTTGTAGCACCCTCTCACCAAAGCAAATTCCTCGTATGTGTAAAATACTACTTGGCAATAAAGCTTCTTCTGATTCTGTAAGTTGCTTTACTGATTATCGAGATAATATTATGTAGAACTATCTATAGTACTAGTACTACTACTGAGTGGTTGTGATGTTTTATGTTATGTTTTGTATTTATAATCTGTATTGCTTCTTGCGTCTTTTTGTGGGTTAGGATGTCAGAAATTATGTGGGCCCCAGGAAGAGTAGCTACTGTTGTTGTCACAGTAAATATAAATAATGGGGATCCACAGTAAATAACAAACAAACAAAAAAAAAGACACATTCAGAGTAGCAAGTTTGAATTGAGTATTTTTCTGCCTCCAGACTGACTGACTTCAAATCCACCATGGTCCTTTTAACTCTGCTTTTATCTTTATACTCTCTTTACTTTCTTTATACACTTTAAAGTGTTATGAAAGCAGTTTTGTCCCCAAACTCCCATTTCTCCTAGGGCTGCAAGTAATGATTTCTATTACTAAGTAATCTCTTAAAATCAGTGAAATGTTTTGCCATTACAATTTCCTGAAGCAAAAGGTAAAAAAAACACGTAACTTGTTTTATCTGATGTGTCTAAAATCCCCAAATATTCAGTTTTGTTTTATCAAGTAAGGGAAATAAAAGCAAATCCTCACTATTTAGAAGCTGGAATTAAAAATGTTTGGCATTTGTGCTTGAAAAATTATAGATGATCAAAATAATTACCAGTAATTTTTTTTCAACAATTACTGAATGTATTGTGTTGTTCCATGTCTACAGGGTTGAAACGTAAAATATGCAGGTAGATGACAAAGTCTCAAACCAACTTGTGCCGTATACTACTGAGCAGTCAGTGACTGCAGAGTGGACAATAGCACAATGTGTAAAAAAGTAAATAAAACTAACTAATAAAACTAAAAAACTGCACTTTGGAAGAAGTAAGAATACTGTTCACATGTTCCAGTGCAGCACATCTTCCAAACACACAACACTGATTAAGTTCATGTTCCTCAAGACAAAAATAAACCAACCACTACATTATGTGCATCAAAGAGGATTTCAGCAAACAAACAACACATTGTATACAACTCTGTTATCAGCCCAGCCCAGTTCTATGTTTGCAGCTTTAGCTTCAGCTCATTACAGCTTTTAAAGAGACTTCTATGGGGCGAAGACAAAGGCATGGGCTTTCTGACTTGTAACCAAGGGCTTTAAATGAGGCCAGTTCACAGCACAAATGGATCGTCTGGGCAGTGACTGGGTGAGCAGACACTGCTGCATCAGATAATGAAACGTATATCAGCTAACAAACTTTAAACTGGTACAGAATGGCTACTGGAAGTGGTTCTGACGACGTTTCACATAAAGAGATCTATAAAAAAAGGCTTTGCATACTGTTTATTACCCTGCAACAACAATCACAGACAATTTAACATCAAGCATTCAGTATCAAACTAAATTCTGTTTCTGTCTGTCAACAGACAATGTTGCTGCAGCATAGCAAGTGTGTGTTGGAGGACATGTGCTATTTAAAACCAGGCTAAAAGGCTGTTAGAGCCCGCCAACCCGCCAGGGAGAGAGCAACTTCCATTCTCTGCTAACAAAGTGCCCATTTGCAACAATGGATGGTGACTGGCTACATTTGTCAGACTATGATTTCTTTTTCTTTCAGCTTTTTCTGCACAGAAATCTGAGAGAAGAGTTACTGAACAGCAGTGAGGAACGTTTCCATGTACACTCATGTAGATAAGACAGGGAAAATATTTAAGATATAATCTAATTTCTTGCTATTGTTAGGGGGGTATGATAATCTCTTATTTAAACATATGATGGCGCCACTACAGTTGATATGAAATGTAATAAGTATTAAATTAAAAATTATCGAGGAGCAATCCAAGTTAATATTTATACAAACCCAATGCATGTACTTGTGCATATTTTTCAGATTTTCAATAAAAGGATTTGTGCATTCTTTTAGAAACAGTTCTAGTTAGCTGTATAGCTGGTTAACTGCCATGTGTGCCAAGTTATATTACAAACAACTTTTACTGCCAACACACACAGCTATTGCACCAATCATATCACCAAACATGAACAATGTCAGTCAGTAATTACAATTTTCATCAATATTTTAAGCACTACTAAACAGAAATAACTACATCTCCTTGATCTTGGAGACCCAGGTATCACATGACATCAGTTCATGATTCAGGTGTGCTGTTTGAGATATTGAAGTCATGTAAGTGTTCAGTACCTGCAGAGCCTCTGTGCCGGGCTGCTGAAGCAACTTCACTGTCCTGCCTCCTGCTGTTTTCTGTCCACGCCCGTCATGCCAGGTTAGGTTCCCACCTGTCCGTCGACTCAGCTGGTGCTTGAAGTCCTCAGGCAGAGCCCTGTACTCCACAGCAGGCCTGCAAAAACTGAAACTGGATGCAGCTGGAGCGATAAAAGCAGGTATGATGGAGGAGGTATTGATTAAAAGGAGGCTTAATGATTAGACAGCTGGGTCTGCACGTAACCACTGACATTTTAAAAACAGCATGAGAGGCACTCTACAAAAAAGTCCCCCACTTTCCCTGACTTGAAGACAAAAGCCAGAGTTGAACCTACCAGGATACCTTGTCATTCAGATTATCTCATACCTGCTCATACCTGTTCTAGTGACACTGAGCAGGCATGAGGCAACATTTAAAAGTTATCTGAGCCTGGACAAGCTCCTCTCTAATGTACAGAAATCAGTGTTCAGGTAGCACTATTACTTTGTGCAGAGCATAAATGTCGGAGCTGTGAGACAAGCCACTTTCTCATCATTAGGAGGAGGCCTGTAGGCAGACATCCAAACCCACTCAACAGCAGGTGGCTTTCCAACATCTAGTAATTAAAGAAAGCGTAGCGCTACAGTAAACACGCTGTTACTGGCACAGATCCTGGCAGAAAGCCACAGGTCATTACTGATTCATGTGGCAGATTGGAAGAATTTTCTTACGTGTTTGAAGCTATGTGTGCAGCTGTGTTTGTGTGTGTGCGTATTTCAGTATCTTGAAGTGACTGAGAGAATTAGAAAAGCGGACAGAACGGGGGGGAGGGGGACAAGGGTTTGAGGAGATGAAAGAGCATCTTTTGGGTTTTCTAGCTCTGTGCCTCTCCTTTCTGTCAATCAACATTTCATGCCGAGAACGCAGCAAAGCCAAGTCCCACAATCATCAAGGCGAACCAGCAGCATGAGATGAATAAAACTCTGTAAGCTATGCAATTTTTGTTTCTTTGAGGTGGAACTCCAAGACTGCGTATGTATGAACTCTCTTTCACAGTGCTATTACTCCCCCAGGCTGCTGCTGTAAACACAAATGTGCCCCTTTCCCGGATTAAAGATAATTAAGACCACTTGTCAGACTGAGGTTTTTTTTCTTCCTTTAGTTTTGCTTGTTTATGGGAAGGAAAAAGTCCTCATTAACTAACACATATAAATTTTCAGCACCGGAGAGGAAAACTCTTTCATGAACAAAAATCTTACTAAACATGCTGTGAAGCATTTGCCTGCCTGCAAGATGTTTCATCTGGCATTTTGATACGCTACACCAATTTTCACTAGGCTTGTCATTCCGAATAAAATAACAGATGCAAATCACATACAAAACACACATAATTCGTAGCTGCTCAATTAAACTTAAACTGAGTCTGTGCACAAACTGACCAGCACAACAGTCAGACTGCTGATGGTCCCTGCACGGATGGTCACTGCTGGTGCGCTGTCCGTTTCAGCACCAAGTCACTGACCCTTAGCAGACCACCCTGCATCCTCTGTACATTCAGCCCTGAGTTTAACTTGGTGTTGTTCTTGCTTCCTAAGGTCTTAGGTGGATGTAATGTAGTAGTTGGAGTTTTGTAAAATAATGTAATGTTTTGACCTCATACTGTAAGCTATGTAGCCTACTTTCACATGATAAATAATAAAGTGAGAGTAGGCTACGCGACCAATAATACACCCGGCAAACTGGTCTCGCAAGTATGTGGTTTAAGTTATAGTTTCCATCGAATAGATGCTATTTCAAAGAAAATGCCGACGAATTTATCGAAATGTAGCCCGCAAAGAGGAACCTACCGTCCACAGCCATGGTGTTTCCGTCCGTAATGGCTCTAGTTAAAGTATCCCATCGTCTCCGGTCACCGACACACAGGCTGCGGGGTCCTGCGCCCTCCTCTCCTCCTGCGCCTCTCGGCGTTGTGTTTACCGATAAAAGTTTCACTGAGGTCTGGCAGGAGGAATGACGCAACACCTCACCTCAAGGCTGACTGGGAAAATGCCTTCCGACGGTGTCATTCGCTGCAAGTTGTTGAAGACAAGAAAGGAATGTCCCCGAGCAGCCGGCTGACTGGTTGCGCTGGCTCAGGCGGGCGCAAGCGTTGTGCACGCTTCGCGTATTTGTGTGTGTTTTTTAATGTGCCGTGAGAATCAGACGCGCGGGTTTTTCTCAAGAGCCTGCATGAGCAGAGTGAGCTCAAAGTGCAGCCCCGGGCCCTGTAATTAACGCAGCCAGTAGAGACTCTGAAAAACAGCCGGATGAAAAGGCTTCTCATCACTGCAGCATCCAACTTTAGGAATTCCCCTTTGCCTTTTCTTAAAGAAAGGGAGCTCTGTGCGCGCCTGTGGGCAGTGGGCCCTATCTGTGATGGACCCTCTATGTGGGGTTTGTCCAGAAGAGCTGCAGGATTATCTAGGCAGATATCAGAGAGCACCGCTCTTGCTGCCACCTGCCCACTTACTTTAGTGGTCACCATAGACTGTATATAAAAAGGTGGTCACATATCTTAAAGTAAAAAGATAACTGTGGATTTATGAGCTTATGAGCATCACAGAACCAAACATAATCACAAACAATCATTCAAAAAAGCATGAAATTGTGTCCTTTTCCTTTTTTGCAATATATAACCTTTTTATTAAATCCCACTAAAATAAAAGGGACAGAGGAAAGCACATTTAAAAAAGACTCAAAGTGGTTCTGGGAGCATGAGTGAAATATGGGGCCAAGAGGGACTATATACAGTTTCATCGTTGCATAAAAAGATGGTGTGGAAGAAAAAGGGAGGGGGAAAAGGCATTCCAAGAAGAAAGGGGGGCAGTGTGTCCCTGTTGGCTCCCATTAATAAATAATTCCCACTTTTGCCATTTAGCATAATAATCATGACCTCTATTTAACTGACCTCTATTTACAAGAAAGAAATTCATATGCTGCTATTCGTGCCAACCTGAGCGATCCAGTCATCAAAAATGGGGACAAGATAGCTTTCCATATATTGATAATCCTTTTATGCCTCATCATCAATACTGTCTGAATCCACATGAGGGACATGTCTAAGTATGGAAGGATCTCCCAGTACAGATAAGGCACATATATAAACATAGAAATATTTCAAAAAAGAGGGCAAACTGAATTTTGTTTATTCACTGCTACAAATCTCATTAGCGCTCCGGGGAGTAGCTGAGGGATTACCCCTGAAGGGTCTGGACTGAAATACATTTTCTCTATATTCATAAATATCTCATACTTTTACATCAGGCTGCTCTGGTTTTTGAAACATTTGAGATCTGGTTGAAATCTACAAAACAGCAAACAAAAATCTGACGCTGCAGCTATTTGTGTTATCAACCTAGAACCAGCAGAAGAAAAACAGATTTTTTTCTGTACAGACTAAAACATGATTTCTCTCCTGAGACAGATTTTGGCAGTGGACTGTAGTGGTGAAAGTGTGATGATGAAAGCTGATTAGAGAGATCAAGATAGCACAAGTCAAAACATTAAACAGGGTTGTGCCTGGCACAGAAGTGAATTTGCGCAGGTGTTTTATTGTGCACTGACGGATAGACACAGATGTCTGTCACAGGGCATCTCCATACTTTCTGTGTACAAGATTAATGACCTTGATTTCTGAATCCCAAATGAAAAAATGTTTTCAAAAACATTTAAATTACATACATACATACATACATATAAATAAACAAATAATTCTATTAGTCTGATTTAAAATGCAGATCACAGTTGCACATGGTGTGCTGCCCCCCAGTGGAGTCTAGACTGATTCTAATGCAAATAAAGCTGTGGAAATTGTCATTGTGAGATTTCAAATATTTAACACAATTTAAAGACTGAAAACACAAATATGCTATTCTTCAATCTGCCTCAGATTAAATTAAATACCTCACTTCTCAAGGTTCAAGGCTATAGTTTGACATCTTGGAAAATATGCTTATTCACTTCCCTGCCAAGTTAGATGACAAGACCGATAGCACCAGTGGTGGAGGAAGTATTATTTACTTAAGTAAACGTAGCAATAATAAAGTGACAAAGTACTCTGTCACAAGTTAAAGTCCTGCATTCTAAATACTTGTATTATCATGTACATATGAATGTACATATTATCAGAAAACAGTACTTAAAGTATCTAAAGTAAAAGTACTCATTATAGTGTGAGTGTCATTGTTTGTTATTATACGTTAGTGATTTTTTACTAACAATGCATCTGTGTTTAAGCAGCATTTTCATGGTCGAGCTAACTGACATAGTACAAATTTGTAGTTTATTAATCAATAACAAAATTTGGGGTGGGGATTTTTGGAAATCTCACGATTTGATTCTGATTCTTGGAGTGACAATATCCCAACGGCCTCATTGGCTCCAGTCCATTTTTGAAAACAGTGGTCACAGAATTACATGGTAGAGTTTCCCAGTTACACCACAAACTGCACATAGGATTGTAAACCCAGTTGACTAGTGTGAGTTTAACTGGCAGGGTTTGGGTATGAGTAGTTTCTGCAGTTGTTTCTGAGGACACTGAGACTGGAGCATTGGAGCTCCTCTTAAACTTTAAGCATGGACACATTTGGCCTGGTTAACGCGCTGAAAGATAAAAGGGGGCGCTTGAATTAATAGTTTCCACAGGAGAGAACATCAAAGAGACTCAAATATTAATAGTATACATTTGAGGTTTATACTCAGCAGCTGCCTTTTGTTTTAATGTTTAACAAAGGAATTATTTTTATCACTTACTTTTATGGTCATTCCAGAGTGATCCAGACAGTCCTGCCCAGCATATTACTTTCAGTCGGAACATTAAAAATCGTACTATAACACATGGCCAGAAGAGTTAATAGTTCCTTATTTAGCAATAACTTCAAGGTTATTGCTTTTTAATAGCTGTTGATAAGTACAAAGTCAGAGCATTTGTATGAGAGAGGGTAGAAATTGAGGTGGCAGTTTCTTCTCTTAACATTTAAACCAGTCAGTTAGCACTAGGGGGCAGTCTCACTCTGTGTACAAAGAGACTCTGAACTCTATGTTGGTGACAAGCAATATTTGGCCATTGTTCATTATCATGTTTACAAAGCAAAACTACTTAAACACATTCCATACTGCATTCATTAAAAAGCAACCCAAAGTTATCACTCCAAATGACGTAAAGACTACTGAAAATATATTGCATTATAAGATGTATTATTTTGTCTTCTGAGTATCTTTGATATTTTAAAGATAAACCAACATTCTTTTACAATCCGTAATGTCACCTCTTGTTCAAAGTGATGTTTTTTGGTTTGCTACACTGTTCACTATAATGGCAACTGCAACTGATGTAACACTATGGTAACCCCATTATATTGTTGTTGTTTGTTTTAGGCCTTGAAATCAGTGGTGGGATGTAACTAAGCTACATTTACTCAAGTGCTGTACGTAAGTAATACCCATAGACTGTATATAAAAACCTTAACCTCACCTTAAGTACCTCAAAATTGTACTTCCACTTAATGCTACTTATACTTAATACATATATATATATATATATATATATATATATATATATATATATATATATATATATGTGTGTGTGTGTGTGTGTGTGTGTATATATACATATATATACATATACATACATACATACATACATATATATATATATATACTGGCACCACTGTTGCTCTTACTTTCCACAGCTTTTCTAGCTCCTCTTTCAGCCCTTGGTATTTCTCAAGCTTCTCATGTCCCTTCTTCTTGATGTTGCTGTCGCTTGGGATTGCCACATCTATCACTGCAGCCTTCTTCTGCTGTTTGTCGATCAACTCGATGTCTGGTTGGGTAGCCATCGCCAGTTTGTCAGTCTGGATCTTGAAGTCCCACAGGATCTTAGCTCGATCATTCTCAACTACCTTAGGAGGTGTCTTCCATTTTGACCTTGGGACTTCCAGCCCATACTCATGGCAGATGTTCCTGTACACAGCTACCTGGTTATGGCCATGTACGCACTTCCTGCCTGCATCTTCTACCCTGCTGTTATGTGCTGGACTGTCTCAGGGGCATCCTTGCACAGTCTGCACCTGCCTGGTGTGGTAGACCCCAGCCTCTATTGATCTTGTACTGTGTGTCTGTTCTTGTGCTGCCATGATTAGTGCTTCTGTGCTGTCCTTTAGTCCAGCCTTTTTCAGCCACTGGTAGGATTTCTTGATATCAGCCACTTCTTCTATTTGTCTGTGGTCAGTAGCCTCTATCTCTATCTATTTTCCCTCTTTTTGATACCATGCGACCACACTTGTCCAGTCCGAACGACATTCCAATGTTGTTGCTGTAGATCCTGGTAGTGTGGATCAGTGAGTCGATGTCTCGATCATTTCTGGCATACAGCTTAATGTCATCCATGTAGAGGAGGTGACTGATGGTTGTTCCACTTCAGAACCGGTATCCGTAGCCAGTCTTTGTGATGATCTGGCTGAGGGGGTTCAGGCCTATGCAGAACAGCAGCGGGGATAGTGCATCACCTTGTTATATGCCGCACTTGATGGTGACTTGTGCAATTGGCTTTGAGTTGGCTTCCAATCTTGTTTTCCACAGCCCCATTGAGTTGTTGATGAAGGCTATTAGTGTCCTGTTGATCTTGTACATTTCCAAGCATTCCAGTATCCATGTATGTGGCATTGAGTCGTAGGCTTTCTTGTAGTCAATCCAGGCGGTGCACAGATTGGTCTGCCTGGTCTTGCAGTCTTGAGTGACTGCTCTATCGACCAGTAGCTGGTGTTTGGCTCCCCTGGCATTACTGCTCATTCCCTTCTGGGCCCTGTCCATGTATTGAGCCATGTGCCTACTCATCTTAGCCGCTATGATGCCTGACAGGAGCTTTCATGTTGTGCAGAGGTAGGTTATTGGCCGGAATTTGGATGGGATCGTTCCCTTCTGTGGATCCTTCATGATCAGGACTGTCTGTCCTTGGGTTAACCATTCTGGGTGGGTCCCATTCATCATTAATATACAGATTAAATCAGATTATTAATACAAAATAAACTAATATATTTTTTATATAATATAATTATTTTAGGTTGAGCATGTGTGTGTGAGATTGTGTGTGTGTGCCTATGTGTTGGCCGTGTCCAGATGTGCACACACTGCCATGAGAGTCTGCCAACAGCAAACACTCTGAACTTCTTTGCTAATGTGTGAAGTGTGCTGTGACCTCTCGCTCCCCATGTGGCCACAAAATTCGGTTAGTTCAGGCAAACAAGTGTCTTATTTAATTAATAAATTGTTAAGGTGGTGACGCCTCAGAATTCATTATTTTTCACAAGTACCAAAAGAAAAAATAATCGTAAATATACCAACCAAGATTAAAGTTAAAACAGTACAATCTTATATAAAGTGCTAAAAAAGACTTGTAACTGTGGGTGCACCGACACAGGAAACAAGGTCCAGGTTTGTGAAGTGTTGGGACCAATTACTCTTGTTTGTTCTTTTACATGACTGTGAACATACAAGAGCAGATATAGGCCACTCTAAAACAAAAAGTGCTGAAAATTAGACACGACTTGAACCAGTTTCTAAACCTGCATTTCCAACATTTCCTCTTAAACTCTCCAACAGTTAACCAGATGAATAAAAACTGCGCTGACTATTCTCTAATGTTCACGAATTAACACATGTCAGGTTACAACTCTTGATAAATTAGCATGTAATATTCAGAAACTTAAGTTGACAAGAAATAAGTGAAGAGGATTTGGGTCATAGTTTTCAGAATAAGGTTTTAATCAGACTCATATTATTGGTTAGGTTGACTTCAGGGCATGAAGAAACTATAAATACTATATATTCTCTTTGGCTAATGCTCAAACTCATCTGTTAGTCCACACAAGTTAAAACAAATGCTGAAAATGACTTGCAAATATTGTAAGAGCCAGTCCTCTTGGGAAAACACTGCTAAATCCACACAGTCCAGAAACGCTCCAACTTTGTTGAAAACCAAAGACACAAAGAAATTTACATGCCAGCTCAGAATTTGGACCACTGGTGTTAAAACTAAATAGACACAAAGAAATAGAGAATGGATAAACACAAATGCAACTACCCATATGTTGCACAGACTCATAGACTCATGTATGGTGTTCTCCACTCTTTTTCATGAACACATAGGCACATTTGGCCTGTGGCAATGTTCAGAAGTCGAAGAACAGCTTAAGTTTGACGTATGCGTTATGACAGGCAGGTGAGTGGAAACTAAAACAGCTGGAACTTTGTGATGCCATTCAAGGAAAAGCCTGGGTGGAGAAGCCACTGGCCTGCAGAATAAAGCTGCACTTGTTTCTTAGCACCAGAAAGTGAGACTGGACGCTTGTGTGCTCTGCAACATGTTTCACATGGTACAATGAGAGCTTGTTTACAAATCAAGAGGGTAAAAGAGCTCACGGAGAATATGTAACACATACATCGTTGTGTATCTGCATTGGGTGTTTCTAGGTAAAGGAGAAAACAGGATACAGGAAATGGGCCTGCTTCAAAAAAGGGGCCAACTAAAAGACACAATGTTACTCTTGTTCAAAATTAGGTCGTGTTACAATGGTCACGGCAAAACATTTTTCAACAATGTCAAGCACTAACAGTAGTTTGTACATAGGCAGAGGAAGTATTCAGATTTTCCATTACAAGTAAATATCCTTCATTCAAATCCTACATAATATATTAAATGTCATCATTACTGATGCGGTGGAGCTACTAATAACTTTATGTACAGTCAGCTAGTTTAGTCCACATCCAAATCTGAGGGGAGAGGAAAAAAAACAAAAACAATTCTGCTACACAAATGCGTATTCAATTTTTTAAACTTTGATTTAATCCATGCCTTTACAAATTATTATTTAATTTGACCTCTTTGGGCCTCAAACAAAACTTTAGACAGCAAATTCCACAATGGTCAGGAACTACTGGCCAAGTAGTAAATTGTTTAACAATATATTGTATTTAATAATCTTAATTGTTTTAGGTGCTTTTCTTTGTAACAGCTGTCAGATAAATGTAGAGGACTACATATTTCCCTCTGACATGAGTATTGGTAAAATGTAGCATAAAATGGAAATAATGAAGTACAACAACTTAAAATAATCCTAAGCACAGTACACCACTGCATATGCTAATAAATCTCAGACACATAAAACATAGACCAAAATGTTGTGTAAGCGATGGAAACTGTGGCATTATGTTTGCTCCATCCTCACCCACCTTACTTCAGATTGTCTGCACAGTCACAGACATCGCTGTGAACCATCTAATAACAATTAAGGTAAATGTTAACCTTGTAAAAGAATGACATCCTTATTAAGGCTGCCCTGCATTCTCCAGTATAATAGAGGAACATATTGGAAAGAAAAGTAAAATGTAATCAACAGTTTTAAAAGGCCAAAACAGAAATGCTTAAAGCTTTTAAAAAATTTACCTTAGTAGAGGTTCAATTTAAAGACTTTGATTTTAGTTGCAAGTACATTCAGTTTGTCCTTCAAATTCCATATTTTACTTAGAAATGCAAATGCTGGGCTTTTTTTGGAAAATTGTTACAGTAAATTGATTGTGATGAAAACAAGCAGCTAAAACATGGCTCTGTCTAATTGGCCTAAAAGTGGAAAGCGTTGTGATACAGTGGAGCTGCCAGGTGTCTTTCTCCACTCAGGGCAGTCAACTGTACAAAGACTTGTGTTGTCAATGAATGTGTGGGCTTGTGGGGCAACACACTCAGGCAAGGGTGTGTACTGTCACAGCCTTCAACACAGTATTTATTTTTATTTGTTTCTGTTCCTGGAGGTTTGCTGTTAAGTCAGGGTTTAAACTGTGTCAATGTGCATGTGTGAAGTAAAAGAGCTCAAGATGTTCCACAGATTTCCCTTTAGAGACTTCAAACATCACATAACCTCAACAATCATCAAAGTCACAGTAGGTGTGGACTCCCATACAGATTTCATACAATATTATATATTTTCTATATGCTAGTTTAGTAGCACACACTAAATGAGACTATACTAGATAATTTTGATAATCGATCAAAAAAACACAATCCAAAACATTGTCTGGTTCCAGCTTCTCAAATGTGTATTTTCTGCTTCTCTGTTTTTTTTAAATCATAAATTAAATATAATTTGGTGTTGGACTTTTGATAAGACAAAACAAGACATTTGAAGACATCACCTTTACAGTGATAGAATTTAACTACTGTAAGTACTTTACCTTTTATTTTAAGTACCATACTTTTTCAAATTCTGGATGCAAATATTACTCACCATAGTACTTTTTACTAAACTACATTTATTTAGTTTGTAGTTACTTTGCAGATTCAGAAAATCAACTTACAATTATTATAGATTAAGCTACCTGGCAGTAGGTAAAAGTAGTGAAGTAATATAATTAGCCCCACCTTTACCAGCTGGAACATTAGTGATGCTTACACATGAATGCATCAATAATGATGACGCAATAATATAATAAACATTTTTCTGGCATGGGCCATTCTGCATGATGAGCACTTTTATTTTTGGTACTTCAAGTGTTATTTGACGCTAATACTTTTACCTAATTAATTTTTCAATGTAGAACTTTTACTTGTAACAGAGTATTTCAACACGGCTGTATTGCTACTTGCTAACCATCTGAATACCACTGCACTTTGGTTTCTAGGAAACTAATGGGCATTTTTTAAGAATTGTCAACAAGAAAATAATTATTAGTTGCAGCCCTACAGCCTGTACGGCAACTTAATTTATGTCATTAATAACAAACGACATATTCTCTACTGTATGTCATTCTGAGTATGATGATACAGGAGGATTTAAGGTCAACTAGAGAGAATGGGAGCTGTACATGGCTACAAAGGAGCACTGGCATCATCAAAAATGATTTTGAGCCATGTTCTTGGTAACTTTTCTCATCTACATTAGTTCAAAGTATCGGCCAATGTACCTTTAGGCCGTTTTCACAGCAGACATTTTGTCTTGTCATATCATGTGTCTCTGCTTAATTTAAGTGTTCCAGTAAGTCATGACAGTGTGACAGTGAGCCACGAAACCAAAGCATCTAAATGGAATTCAGCCATTATTAATTTTATTAGTTACACACTACACACTGCCTTTACTACTTTGACATGTCAACATGTCTTCTGTGGAAAAGGCCTACACACTTAAGGATCGTACACAATACAGGGTAAGTCTTCTTCACTCTGTATAGAACAAATAAATTATTGTTGACTATATCTGCTTGTTATCTTGGATCATTATTTATTTCAGCTATTATGCTAAAATGTTAAAATAACAAATAGGGCAAATTTTGGGACAAAGCCTGGTGTTGTACACCCTGGATGTGATGTGGTATTTCCCCTTCAGTTTGCTGTGATGCTGTAACCATGGGAAAATAGTTCATGGGATGCCAGACTCTGCCCTTATTGGTAAAGGCAGCCTTCAACCTAGCTGTATAATAAAAACTGGATTTTCTATGAAGCTGAGTACTACAGTATAACACAGGATGGTGAGGGCTCTCTTCTCTACTCAAGTGTCACTCTGGTGTTACTTTAAGGAGGTTGAATGGGAGGAGATATGCAGATGGTGCCAGTGGGGCCCTATTAGTGGCATCTGTAGTCCGCCAAACTCACAGTGGACTGTTGTCACTCCAACACAGTTCACCACACCCACAGCCAGCTTGAGGTCAATATTCACAGGGTGGCATTCTGCTTTACAGCACAGCCAAAAAAGGTCTTTTCTAAGCTATTTTGCTGAGTTTGTGTGTTTTTGTCAGAAGCCTGGCACAATTTCCATATCAAGTGATTGGAGTGGAATATTCACTTGTCTTTGAGGGAGGACTACTTTTTTCTTCTGTGATTATAACCTATACCTCAGTTTGAAGACTGCTTTCACTGAGCTTTTAACTTAACACGTGACTATTCAAGGATGCATTTTGTGATGGCTGTGAGTCCTTTTGTGTTCATGACTCTATTTTTGTCACTGGTCGAAACCAAGTTCTACAGACCATTCCAGTTTAACCAGTATAAAGCTGGGCTCAGTCAACACCATGACCAAGGGAAACCCACCAGCCGACACAAGTAAGTTATTTCTCTCTCTCTGTCTTGTGCTATGAGGAATCAAGTATACATCACAATTTACTTTGAGTGACAAAGTTTTGAATTTTTTAAGCCAACTAGAAATCATAATAATGTGTCCAATCTCATCTTTTATCTCCTCTTTGAAAGGAACCACTGTGCCTATGTCATTGAAAAGACAGTGTCATTCACTGTGCAGGATGGGGCAGCCCCATTTGTAAAAGCTGAGTACAACAAGTGTTCCTGGGGTCAAAAATGTCCAACTCTGCTGTGAGTAAAGAGCTCTTATTATGTCAAGTAAATATTTAGTTCTTGATCTGCCTTAACATGACTCACATCACTTCAGGGTACAAAAGACCACAGTCAAGTTTATGTTTCTGACTAATGGTTGGTTGTCACCCTCAGGTATCGTCTGCAGTACAAACCACTCTATAAGGTGGCACATAAAACTGTCACAGAGCTAGAATGGCGTTGTTGTCCCGGGTACTCTGGTTATGGCTGTATGGAGAGACATCCAGTTTACCAACACCCCATGAAAATGATGCCGCCATTCAAAGGCCCGCCAATGAAAGGCCCACAGTTTAAGGGGCTGCAGTTCAAAGGCCCACAGCACAAAGGTACCATGTTCAAGGGTCCCATGTTCAAGGGCCCACCTATTAACACTGTTGTGAAGGCCAACCCATGGAGTCAACCCAAAGGACCTTCCATTGGCAGTTTCAACAATTACCCAACGCGTCACTTTGGGCCTCCAGGGTCCTCCTCCTTCCCAGACACCTCTTTTGAGCCTTATTCGCCAGAGCCAGAGCCAATGCCAGAACACCAGGAACCACATCTCACAGAGCACAACCAAGAACATGACCATGACCAAAGCCAAGGAACTGAGGAACATATACCAGAGGAAATTCCTCCTCCTCTGTCTGGTGGTGAACAGCCTGAGGGTGAGACCATAGGTGTGTCCAAATGCTAACTGTGTTTTACTATATTGTGTGTTCACACTGGATAGGGGACAAAAACAGAGCCTACACCTTCTCTCTTACAAAGTAATAGAGTCACACTGAACTCGGAAAAACTGATTTGTCATGTTCCTTTGAACTGGATTTAAATAGCAAACACCAAAGCACAACAGTGTACTATGTTTTTTCCAATTTTAACAGCTTTGTTTCTCTCTTTAGGCCAGACTCTCGACAGTGAGACAGAAGTGCGGATATATCGAATGGAGGAGGATGTGCAACGTCTAAACCAGGGTCTGGAGACCCTGAGGGGAACTGTGAATGGACTGGAAGATAGTCTGCGAGCCTCACTGAGAGAGGATGCCAACAGGATGTTGTCTGCTCTGCTCTCTGCTGCCCCCGGTCCTGTTCCTGCTCCCGCTGTAGCCTCCAATCCATCCACAGTAGGGTTTGTAGAGATTCCTGGAGGAGACCCTGAGACAGAGGGTCTAGATGGCAGACATGTGTTTCCAGGCCTTACAGATCTGAATAGAAGGGTAGAGGAGCTCAGGGCAGAGCTGCAAACCAAGACAGCACAGCTGCAAGAACTCAAAGCAACAGTGATGGGACATGATGGAGCACTGAAGAAGATGACAAATGCAGTGGGAGTTGTATCAGACTCCACTGGCAATTTTGAGGAAAATGACCAGAGAGCTATGGAGAAGTTGATGGAAGACAAACTGAGTATAGCCAGGACAGAAATTCTTGGTGGGTTTGAGAAGCGCTTGGAGAGTGCAGAGGGCCGATGCGAAGAGAAAGCTGGGGATGTGTTTCATCAGTGTCAGAGGGAGAAAGGTGAGAGGCAAGAGCAGATGGAAGATGCTATGGAGGAAAGAGCCACATCCTTGAGAACAGAGCTGAGAAACCTACAGGCACAGATCCATAGTTTAAAGGCTACAGAAAGCTGCTGTGGTAGAGTAAGTGGACTGTTTGAAAGGGTGCAGCTGCTGGAAACATCAGTGGCAGGCCTCAACCAGTCCCAGGGTCACCTGAGATTGGAGCTGGGTGGACACAAGGACCACATAGAGGGAATGCTGGAGGGGCGGTTGGGGTATGTGGAAGCCAAGCTCAACCAGACTGGGCAAATCAAAAATGATCAGTCTGTAGGGAGAGGTGGTGTCCCAGACAGAGCTGAGACAGGACAGGGCCTGGAGGCCAGAATGGAGGGTCAGTTGAGGGCTCTGGAAGGTCGTTTACTGACGGCTTTGGAGGAGCTGGGCAATGCCACTGCCCCTGCACTGCTAGAGGGTCATGCAGTTCCCAGTCTAGAGACAGAGCTGGAGTCCCTGCGAGGCAGACTGGAGGTGGATATGGACAGGGTGCGGAAGCACCTAAGCACCCTTGAGATTCTCTGCTCCTCTTCCTGTTCCTCACCTCAAAACCCATCTGCCATCCAGGGAGACTCTGCTGCACCAAGTAACCTGGCAAAGGAGCAGAATATGAAGGAGGTACTGGACAAGCAAGGTGATCATTTGAATAGCCTCAATGTCACACTGCAGAACATCCTGAGGCGTCTGACCCTCAGGGACCAGCAGGAACATGCAGAGGGAGATTCTCCCATCCAGGGAGAGCTCACAATCCTCAAGTTCAATGTCCACTCAGTCAACCAAACCCTGAGAGGCCTCCAGGATTCCTTGGGGACAGTGGTCTACCAGGTGGATAAAACCAACAGTTCCTGGCATGAAAGAGAGGCTCGTCTGGCCCAGCAGATAAGGGGTGTGGTCCAGCTCGTTGGACATCAGGCTTCCATGCTTGGGGCAGGTGAGCGCAGACTGACCCGACTTAAGGGTGATCTGCAGGACATGAAGAGACGGCTAGCTCAGGAGGTCCAGGGCTGCCGGAGCACAGCTATAGGGGTCCAGAAAGAGGTAACTGAGTTTGGAGGGCGTGTTTCCAGTGTGGAGGACCAGTGTAAGGGCCTGAATTACTTGGCAGAGGACCTGGAGAGAATCAGAGAGGAGTTAGAGGGACAATCAAATGGACTTCTCCTGCAAGTCAATGGAACTCTCTCTAGCCATGCTCAGCAGCTGGCTGAGCTGAGAAGTGAACTCAAAAACTACACCTCCAAGGTAGAGCCAACACAAAAGACTTTAGAGCTGGACACGGAGCTGAGACGGGGTGACACCTTCACTTTGAACTAGTACAGTTTATACGGATAATAGATTTTAAAAATAAATGAAAAACTATAAATATTCTGCATGTGTAGTGAGGTCCACTAAAACCCCATCTTATAATTTGAATTGTTAAACCTAAAGGTTTTGAACCTGCACTGAAATAAGGATGGTTTTAGTCAGCTTACAGTATAAAATGAAAATGGCAGCTAATTCTGACTGCACCAACACAGAATCTTGAAATTGAATCATGATGGTGCTAATAATTGCACTGTTTCTTTAAATGGACCATTATTTAAAGCCTCAGTGATTGAAAAAGAAATAAACAGCAGCAAACTGTACCTGTGTTACTGTACTGTATCTGTAAAGCTTAAAAAATTGTTTAACAAGGTTTTCATGTTTAAGTTTTCGTATTGATTTGTGATATGTTATGACTAAAAGTATACAAGTTATTATGTTTTTTATGGCTTCAGTTCTTGATGATTAGTTTCTATTCTACTTGTAATAATGCATAAAATGTTTTTCAGTACTGACAATCCAATAAACAAGTTTATTTACTGTTCATGCTTTTTTGGTTAACAGATATTTCACACAAGAGGTGTTAGATACATATAAGAAATTATATTAACAACTCTGGGTCTGAATTGGATTTCTAAACAACACCAACTGTAAATTTCAGAAACTAGTCACGTTTCATTTTAGAGGTGAAGTGTTGATGCAGAGAGGTGGGGAAACCACAAGAGAGCAATAGAGATGTATTACTGTTGACTGCTTGGGACTACGGGAGGATTTACTTGACTGAAGCTATGTTCATGGAGAGAATGAATGTTAGTCTCCCTTCCAAAAATTTTGTTAATGGGTGACAACCCTTGCTTGCATGAAGAAAATTACAAATTGGCATTATTACCAAGGTGATACAAAAAGAAAAGGAGCATTTCGGTATAGCAGACTGCATTTTATTCTCTCTCTCTAGGCTACAAATCTACTATCCCAGCTGTCTGAGCACACTTGTCATTATACGTTACAACAGGGCAATAGGTGACCTTGCTTATAACCCCCCCATGTTATATTAGCTGTTTCACTATTGGACAAACAACCATTAAAATGACAGCTATGTGGGAGATGAGTCCATTGCTTGTGAAAACGTTTTAGCCTGAGACATGTGCTGAATAATAACTATGGGGAGGAAAGGACGGCAGGAAGAAAAAAATACCTTACCTAGGTAATGATGCAGATTCATGCACACACACATGCAGAAAGTGAGAAGGAGAAATATATATTACTCTTCTTCCAGAAGAAACCTTTCACACATAACCTACAAATTACTTTTCTTCCATTACTTAAAACTACAAAGATAAAAATGAATGACATTAAAGAGAAATACCACCCAAGTCCTAAATTACTTCAGGTCTCAGTTTCATTTCTGTCATTGTTTGACTTGACTCTTATTTCTTTTCTGTATTCTTCCCACACCTCCCTTAAGTTCACACTTCACACAAGCCCAGACAACAACACATTAATCTTGTTTGTTTCCAAGTAGACACCTGGACAGAAAAGGCAGTCGGGGGCTCTGGTGAATTTCTCTCCTCTGACTCAGAGTCTCTTCACTGCTCAATCATGGATCAGATACTGAGTAATGCTCCCTGCTCAACTCGCAGTGGCCAGGGCATGCACCAAAATCACAAAAGGCAAAGCTGGCACAAAGACAGAGGACAAAGGATATTTGAGTAAACAGAGGGCTGCAGTGACCTAAAACATGAATCATCCTATATAATGTCCTATGTAGAAGCGTAAGGTGAAAGAACAGTGTTTGTCCTTATTAAAGTGATGGTCAGAGAACAGACAGTGTTCAGTACAGTTGGCTGTCATACAAGGAATTTAAGAAGTCCTTAAATCGAGGACTCAGAGCTTCTTCCAAGATTTTACATTTTTCAAGAAGCTATAATCTGCAAAGTTGAACTGGAGCTTTTGTCCTCTATACTGAACAGGTTATTGTTGAAAAGTTGTACTCATAAAAACTCACGCTTACAAAACATTGTCAAATTTAGAATCATGAATGTTTTAAATAAATTAAATACATAAGATGTAGGGATACTATACTGGAAACACAGCACTCATTTCCTAAACTAGCTTTTCTTGTGCCAATAAGATAAGAAATGACGAGTCTTTCTCTAAACACTTCTTTATGTCTCAGCTGTCACTCACTAAAAATGGATTCTTGTCAGAGCTAAGTGCCTATACTGGAGTGTAGATTATTAACACAAACAAGGATTAATAAAGGATTAAAATGAATTCATGCCAATGATGATTTTATTTTGAAAAGGAAGTGCACAAAGGTCTTCTAGATGAGTTCTATACATGTCTGTACCGAATAATTTATCTTATGTAAATCACATAGGTGTAGGAACATGTGCATTTGAATGCAACTTTGAATGTTTCTTTTATATATATTGGGACTCATAATCAAAAGGTAAAAAGGAAGGTTCTTTCAGCTTCATAAAACAACGTTTAGTGTTAAATGAAATGAAAGACAGAAAAACATTGACATATTAAAGTGAAAAGAATACATTCACATTTTAGCAAATACACTTCTTGTTGTTTGCCAATTGTTAGATGAGAAAATCGAGTTTTCACTTTCATGTCTGTACACTTATGGGCCCCTGTCCACCAAAGTGTTTTTTGCCAGCTAAAAACACCAGCTGCTGTTCTGAAATCGCCTAGCTGGGAGCGCAAGGGTGCGATTTTGAGGTGCAGCGTTTTTTCCCACTGCTTGGTTGCTATATGACACATAAAATCCGTAGTTGCAAATATTTCTTCCTAACTTTACTGGATGTAAAAATGTCATCACAGAGTAGAGTTGCTCTGTATGAAGAGAAGGCTGAAGCAGGTAGAGAGAGACGATGGACTCGCTGTATGCGGGTTCATGAGATTTTGTGGACGAGGAAACATCTCGGCGAGTACCACGTTTGGTCCAAGAGCTCAGGCTGGATGAAGCCCTGTTCCAGGATAGTAACCGTTGCTACAGTGCGGTGTTTTTCCCGCCCCTCCTGCACTGTGATTGGACGGCTGGGTAAAAAGTGACAGTGACGAGCGCAGCGTTTTTCCCAAAGGTGAACATTTTTCAACTCTCTGCGACCGGAAAAAAACGCTCAGCGCCTCGTCACGCTCCTGGCGTTTTTACTAGCTCGTAAAAACGCGGCGCTCCCATTGCAATTAATTGAGGGGTGGCGCAATGGTCCTTTGGTTTGAGAAACCGGCTTCAATCCCCCACTGTGACCCATCCACCATTGTGTCCCTGAGCAAGACACTTAAGCCCTAGTTGCTCCAGAGGCGTGCGACCGCTTACATGTAGCAAGTAAGTAAGTAAGTCGCTTTCATATCTTAAAATATGATTCTGCAGTGTAATGCATTTCAAAATAAAAACAGATAACAATGAATTATTATTATTTATTATTATTACAGGCAGAATACAGTCTGTTTTGTAAATTATTTTTAAGACAGCTGTGTGTAATGGCAATGCGCTCTGGTGCAGCACATCTCCACTCAGATGTTGTAGACTTACTAATGAATACGTCCGGCTGGCTTCACATGGCTGCAAGGATATAATGAACTGAAGGAGAAGGTTTTCTTCATACAGTATGAAGCAGCTCTGTGCAGCAGATACTGTAAGAATCACTCATACTAATTTACAGATAAATGCAGATTGATTTGCCACTGGCATCCACCGGCTTGGGAATGTTTAATTAAAACAATTTATTCAGGTTTTGCGCATTCACACATCAAACATGCACCATGTGCTCTACACTTAGCCCCGAAATACTGCACAGACAGGCAAAGCGATTTTCAAGGGCAGGCTAATACCAAATGATCAGAGTGCACCATAAAAATAGGTTCCTGAGTCTACAGCCATGCTAGCAGCCCTGTGAGGCTGTACACCTGCTGATGGCCATTAGTTTAGCACATATTTGGTCATAAAACAAAGTATTTTTTTATATAAATTCGAATGATGGCTCTGGATGAAAAGTTATTATCATTTATCTAAGTGGGGCATGAATATCTGTACAAAATGACATGGCAATTCATCCAACAGTTGTTAAATTTCACTCAAAACCCCAAATGTCAACCTCATGGTGGCACAAGAAGAAAAGTAAGGGGATCAACAAAGGTCATCAGGGTAGTCTGAGCACTATGGATATCTGTACCAAATGTTGCGCCAATCCATGCAGTAAATGTTGAGATATTTCACAGATTAAGTGAAAACTTTGACCTGCTGGTGGCGCTAGGGGAATTGTCAGGGGCTCACCGAAGTTTATTAGGATTCATTCTTTCGGGATCATGAATATCTGTACCACATTTTATGGCAATCCATCAAATAGTTGATATTTTAGTCTGGGCCAAACTGATGGGCCTAACTTGCTTCTTTAGTCTTTATTTTCTGATGGATAGTTTCACTTATGTTCAACTTGATCTATCATAATTTCCTCTCATTCTGAATATCCTTCCTACTGTCATCTCCAATGTCATACTACAGCGGGCTGCTGGCTGTGACACTAAGTTAATCGAAACGTGTCAGAGGTATTAATATGACAGCACTGCTCTTTACAGCCTTCTGACAGCCCTCTAGCCTCGGCACAGCTCAGCAAGCATGCTCGCGCTCCCTTAAGCAGCTTTCCATGACTAAAAGTCTGCGAGCAGTGCTGGTCCAAGCAAACACCATGGGTAGGTATGATAAAGAAGGATGACACAGCGCTTCAGGTGTAGTTCAAATGCTCCCTAACAGCACTGGATTTACTGTGTGACCAAGGACGACACTATATTTTCTTAAGTGGCTATCACATTCAGTTTGGACCTTTGAATTAAGTCAGTCACCTAAAAGAATTCCAGTCGCAAATTATGCATCAAACATTTTGTACTTCTCAATGCATTCAAACGTAATCATTAATTAGCACAGTAACAACAGGCAGTCACTGAGCACAATCGTGAAGAGATGCTGCAGCTTCATTTCTTCACTATGAACAATTAGGACCATGATCAAAGGTGGTCATAAGTTGTCTAAGATTCCTGTCACGCGACAAGAAATTACAATAATTTTTCTCACTCTGGCTTTCATCTTAAATTGGGCACATCCTGCAACATTAATATTCTATTAAAATGATTTGATATTCAGAGAGAAAATCCTTCAAATGTTAAAAAGGATCAAAATCCACCTTGACATTGTTTCATCCATACATATACATTTAAAGTCAACAGCCGTTGTGCCGATGCAGAAATGAGCCGCTGTGTATGAGTGTGATGTGGTAAGTAATTTGGGAAAATCCACCTTTCATGCATGATTCATTTACATGATTTGTATGTGTAAAGAAAATGAATAATCAACAAATAAAAATGTTGAAACAAATAAAAGTGTAAGGGGAACGTTGCGAGTAAGGATGGAGAGAGGGTGTGGAGTGTTACTTTGAGTCGTTAGTGACACTGAGAGCTTGGCACAGTATTATTCTGATCCCCCCCTCCCTCTCTCTCTCTCCCTCTCTCTCTCTCTCTCTCTCTCTCTCTCTGGCTGGCCTGCCGTCACTGTGGGCTTTTCGTTCAGTGCATCTCCACAATGATGATGAATGCATATGCTGTATGAGAGAATGACCTGGCCAGATGCAGGTGTGTGTGTGGTGTGTGTCTCACTGAAGAGGAGGAGAATACCTTAACCGGTCACTTCAATGTGAGCTTCAGTGTGCTCCTCCCTCGCTCTCTCTCTCTCTCTCTCTCTCTCTCTCTCTGTCTCTCCCTCTCTGTCTGTCCATCCTCTCTGCCTCCCTGTCGGTGGCTGGCCAAGCTCCTCTCCTCTGTGTGCTGCTCTCCACCTGGCCTCCATGAGTTTAACTGAGGACAAACCATTCCTCCCTGGAAGGTAAGCAGCACAGCAGTGGTGTGTCTTTTCTGTTTCCAGTGCAAGACAAAAAGAGATTGGACAATAACAAAAAGCGGGATCATTGTCGATGACGCACTTATTTGATCTTCCAATTTTTGCTGATGTTGTTCAGTGTTTACTAGCAATGGATAATGAGATATAGAAGCAGATAGGATATTTCTTTACTTTTATTTTCTGTGCAACAGTCTGGTTGATAATCATGACTGATGGTGGTTGTTATCTTACAATTCTCCCTCTAAAATGATAACATCTTGGTGTCTTAAAAGGGTATTGACTGAAGGACATTCAGTCAACTTTCAAATACAGACTCAAGAAAATGAAAAGGAACTGTACTGGCTATAATGCTGATGAAATGAAGGCTCAGTCATCACAGCCAAGTTGGTCACTGACGTCCCTCTCAGTTTTTCTTTATAATTTTGTCATATATATATCTATATATCTCTAGATATATCTCTAGAGATATATAGATAGATAGCTATACATATATATATGTCTACATCTACATCTATATAAACTGCATGTATGAATCGCCTATGGTTGTTTCCTGCACAGACATATAGCATGTGAGTTGATGATTCATTTGTTTGTGGGTTCTCCCTCTAGCCTCACAACAGAGAATCAATATGTTCAGATTTTGATGCCACAGTACGATGTCTTTCTATTGGACACAACAAGATAAACCAAGTGAATGACCTTCAACTGAGGATCAGAGTCAAAGGCAAATAACAAAAAACAGCTGTCTGACGCAGGACATTTAGCCATCATTGACACAGAAATGTTTGCTTTCCCATTCTCAATCAGACTGTGGTTATGTAATATGTTTGTGTCATGAAGAGGAAGCAGTTGTGGTAGAGTGTTGTTGTTACTAGGGTGGCAGAATCGTATTTATTTATTTATTTTTCATTCTTTGCGGCTGCTGTCCTTCCCATAGGCATGGAGATCGGGGGTTCAGAGAAAAATGAAGCAGCAGCATTTTAAAGCCTTATAAACATCAGATATTATAGATACCCTATATTAGGAAGTCTGATTGTTTATTGAGCATCCAATGAAAAGTGATCCAATTAAGTTTAAAGAGACTTCAAAAGGTCATTGTTTATTTTGTTTGCATCAGACCTTTCAAGATGAATTTTCTCCATACCAACTGGATGATAAAATAGTCCCCAATCTCTGAAACTGAATCTGTGCCACCACTGCCCTATGATCAAATCCTGCCACAAGAAAAAACAGGGAAAAAGTCTGCAATTACAAATAGTTTTTAATCCTTCTCTCTGCTTTAAAGCTTCAAAGTTGATTATAAACTGCAAATCTATTTACTGTTATGCTCAGATTCAAATTTGCTACAAGGCAAAGCCGCATGTTAAAGATTATTGTGCAAAAAGCCGAAAACAAAATTAAAGTGTGAGTGAACTATTAGCAGGCTTGAATAGTTCAGTATTGTCCATGGTCAGATTAATACACTGCAATGTAGGAAATCCTAAACACATTATGTTATCTGCACATCACGTGATCATTCTCTACAGTCCTCAGCATGCCCTACAGTGTCTGACAGACTTGCTTCTTTGTCACACTGCTGAAACACGGTGTAAATATTGTACTGTGATGGCATCCACTTGTCACTGTTAGTCACTCTCAGATAAGGAGGCAGTTACACACAGCAAGGGTGAATACAGTCCACTTCAATCTCAAAAACGTCTCAGTGGATGAGCCGCACAGCACACTGTGTGTCACATGTTGAAGTGAAGGTTTGCGTTTCAATATTGCACCAGGCAGTGAATCACAAGCTTCATAACACTGATGATACAAATAGTTTGTACACAAAAATGTGTCCTACAGCTGCAATGATTAGTCGACTGAAAGAAAAATCAATTGCCAACTATTTACTTAATTGTTTCAAGCATCTTTCAAGCCAAAATGACATATGTTTGGTGGTTTCAGCTAAGCATGTAAATATTTTAATTTTTATTTAAATATTTGATTCTTTCCTTTGTCATTTATGATTGTAAATGAAATGTCTTTGGGTTTTTGCCTAATGGGTGCACAATATTTGATGACGTTACTTTGGGATCTGCAAAATTGTGATCATTAGTTGCAGCCCTTATGTGGACATTTGCATCCAACTGTGCTATAAAACAAGCTCTACACTAGAAAAATGGCACAAGGGACAAGGCAGACCAATCATCTCAAGCATACACGATACAGTGTGACACTACACAATTATTTTATGATTAATAATGTCATAGGTACAAACACCGAGGGCTGGGTGTGAATGTAACATCACGACGATGATGCCAAGATACTAATGCCATCATTATTTTATGTAAATGGTGAAAAACGTGTGGGCTGAAGGAAAGGCAATGTCAGGTAATAACAATGAGAACCATGCAGACATTGTAATAGTCACTGCTCATGAGCTCATGCGTGTGGTCTCTTTCCAGTTGCATCCTAAACACAACGGTCAGTCTTTAAATGGCTACTTATCTCCTCTGACCACAGACATCTAAAAGCTTTTTTCAGTGACATCATATGAATCCCGCAATTTTGATTACATGGAGCAGGGAAACTTGTCACAAACTCAGAGATTACTTGTCAAGCAGACAAAAGCGGTAAACTGCAGATAGACCAATACAAATCTTTTCCTCATATTTTGCAGTCAAAATGTCTCCACAGAGACAGCAAATGTGTTCAAATAGGTCAGCGCGTGAGAGCAAATGTGCATCAAAATGACATAATGGGGTAAATAAGCCAGGTCAGCAGGCGATATATGGTTTACCCCCTACATCATCATCTGGAGGTCGATGTTCCTGTCCCAAAGGCATTCCAATTGAACAAGAGAGTTATTCAGCCAGACTCAGAGACATGATAACAGTAGTGTAACAGCTCAGCCAGTCTCAAAATACTCAATCTGTCACAGCGAACCAAAGGCAGGGTTCAGCTGGTTAAGCTCTCCCCAGCTCTTTCTGTCCACCTCCTGCTTTCACACTCACGTGGCTGAGGGTCTTCCTCTGGTTACATAAGTGAGTCCAGAGTCTAGAGACATATTTGATAGTAATGTCACATATACAGTACAGTGTGTCTGTGTTATTGTTGATGAGAGGCACTTTAGGGCGTTCATTTGTTAAATTAAACAACAATGATTAAATTCAATACTTGTGTTCAGTAACGTGTTCAGTAACTGCTTTCATAATTAAACAGTAAGGGATTTGAAGAAGAAAATCAAGGGAGATACTGCTCACTTAGGCTTGATGAATGTGCTGGTGCTTAAGGATCAGGAGCTTCATTTATAAAACTAGGGTCCTGATCTAGGGTGATGATTTCCGTGATGCAGAAAACACGGATTGAATTACGGTATTTAATAATAAAAATGGAATCAACAGTAAAACGCGGAATATCGTGCAATCTGCCAAAATGGGGGTGCAATCTATAAAAGTTGGGGTTTTATTTAGCATTAGAAACATATTTTTCACAGCACTTAAGCCAAATGTTCAGAAAAAAAATTATGCTGCTGTGTTTTGGTGTAATTTATGGGCATGCTGCTTTTGTCCTCTGCTCTCTGTTACCAGTGTTTCACAGTGTTTCATATCGAAGAGAGTTGCTACCAAGAGCTCATAAATTCAACAAACTCTCAGAAATGCAACCACATCAGCAGGTGCAAGACACAAACTCATTGAAGACTTAGTGACTGTATGGGCAAAGTCAGATATCCCATTAGAAAAGCGTAGCCTCCATCAGAACCACTTATTACTGTGTGTTCAAGCAGCATATGGAGGCTGTCCTGCAGAAGACCTGTGAGAAGAAATTATTAGTAGCCAAGTAATAACCTAATAGGGGACAATTCACAGTACATTTGTTGCTGCTGCAATGCATTTATTGTGAATTGTCCTCATAAATAATTGCACATACATTTGAATATCTATATGCATATTTGCAAGATACAAAACAGAACTTGGGTAAAAATTAAATGGAATCTGGTAAAAACTAAAATAGATTTCAGAGGGCCCTTTAATACTGACTTGAGCATAAGTATGACTTATGCAGAAAACCACATATTAGAAGTCTAGGCAAAGTCTAGACTTGACTTAAGTGACTTTCTAAATTCTATATTTTGCTATTAACTCCGAAGGCCAGTTTTTTTTAGATAATATAGCTAGAAAGGTGTTTCCATCATTTTTCTATTTACATCAATGAGGGGAGAAGAAATAACAGAAATACCTCTATGTGTAATGCACAAACTCCAAAAAGAAAGCTGAATCAACACCTCTAAAAAAGTTTCAACATAGACCAAATATTATGAACTTCATAAAAAGAGGGTTTATTGCAGGACTGTCGAAATGGACTGCATTCGTTTTAGCTATATGTGAACATAAGAAACTGGCAAATGTGTATACATTAGTTTAAATCTGTAATTTACAGTAATATTAGAAAAAATGTAAGATGCATCTAAAAAAATTTAAATATGGTGGAAAACTTATCTTCCGTAATTTAATTCAAATAGTGAAACTTTCATCCATCTATTATTTTTTTTTTAAATCTTGATGATTACAGCTTACAGCTCACGTAAATCTAAACTACAGTATCTTTAGATGCATTAGAACTTTAAAATAAAGAATTTATTACACAGAAATGTCACCCTGAGAAGAGCTCTAATTCAATCTAATCAGCTAATTAACTCAAAACACCTGCAAAGGTTTCCTGAGCCTTTAATCTCTCAGTCTGGTTCTGGTGCTCACAATGAACTTTTCCACGATATTCTAATTCTAGCTGAAACTTGCTGGAACTTCTGTCGAGTCTGCCGAGTCTCCTCTACTCAGACCGACTGGACATTTCGTCATTGACTGGTGTGCTGACTTGCATAGTAATGAAACCTTGTTCTTTATCCTCTGTGATTGCTGAAGTCCTTCAGAGTCAATGTTGCCTCTGCATCATCCCTGATAGCACTCAAAGCACTGCTTCAGTGTCCCTGCACGGTGCTTTCCTTACTGATTTCCATTTTATTTGTCATTCTCCTATCAACCAAACTGATGTACTGAATAGGGTTCATCTTTTTTTGTGGATTTGTGAGCAAAAAGGTACTGATTGGCTAGATAATGAGTCTGAGTGCTTCTGACATGCCTTTGACTGATGCTGAGAAGATACTGTTAAAACCTCTTATTTATTAAAACCATAATCTGTGTATAAAAAGGTCTGAACCAGATTTGTGTGTATGCATGTGTGCGTAATTGTAACATGTGTAAGCTGGGGACAATATTGTAATAAAAAAAATTTCCTAGCAAATTTGAGCACATGTTATCTTAATCTAAATTTAGCTCTCAATCTCTCATCCCATACTCCTGTTGTAAATCCTGAAAGGCACAATATTTAAATTTTTCCCACCATCTGTCAATGCAGCTTTGTATATTTCTATTTAATATGATTTGTCCTCATCTTTTGCTCAGGATTATTTTTATTAAAAAACATTTTTCATCTATTTCTGGTTCTGTAGGCAGGAAATATTGTGTAACTAAGACAGTAAGAAAGCTTGCAGTGTAGACAACAGATAGAAAAAAATGGAGAAATGTTCATCTGGTTTCAAATATTGAGCCCAGGCAGTGAGGATATTGTTTTTGCTGCTGTAACTGAACACTCCTCCAACAAAAAAAGTGTTTCAAGCCAAGCTTACATCTGTGGAGTATCAAGTTTGTTTAAATTATTCAATCACCTCATTATTTACAATTAACTCCAGTGTGTATTAATAACATTCTAGATGGGAAATGCTTCAAACACATCTGCTGTGTTTGCCTCCACCATGTCCAAGGAGCATGACATCCTCATGGGTTCCCTCTACAGTGTCTTTTGTAAGTCCCACACAACAAGCACATCTCTGCTGTGGCGATCCTTCACTGACATCATGCACGCATGACAAATCTTCACTAGTCCAGACCAATCTCTCTCTTTTTTCTCTTATGTCTTTAAACACAGGTATACTGTCCCTCATGGGAAACTGCATTCTGCTACTTGTTGCATATCACAAGCGGTCGACCTTAAAGCCAGCTGAGTTCTTCATCATCAATCTCTCCATCAGTGACCTTGGGATGACGCTCTCTTTATTCCCATTGGCAATACCATCAGCTTTTTCACACAGGTATAATATTACCCTCATATACTTTATTTCTCCCATCTCGTCAAATTAATTTCTCAGTCACCAATTCATTAACTGCTGCTTAATGTATCTATTAACTACGACGGCAACTACTTTTGATAATGAATTACTGTTTTATATATCACTGTAAACCAAATATCTTCAGCTCGGACAAACTGAGGTCACCTTGGGCTTTAAGAAAATTGAGATGGGCACTTTTGTTTTTACTATTTCCTGACATTGTATGTAAAGAGAAGAAGAAAATAATCAGCAGATTAATTGATAATTAAAATGATTGTTAGTTGCAGCCCTAGTCTCCATCACATTTCCCTTGTCTGTGTATACAGGTGGCTGTTTGGAGAAACCATCTGTCAACTCTATGCTACATGTGGAGTACTGTTTGGTCTATGCAGCTTGACCAACCTCACAGCCCTCTCCTTTGTGTGCTGCCTTAAAGTCTGCTTCCCCAACCATGGTGAGGGGATAATAACCTATCATGGTGACAGATTTGATCACAAACCTGAACAGCGTGACGTTTGAGAAAAGTGCCACAATAACTGCAAAGCCTCTTTTTCTATCTCCTGTCTGATCAGGTAACAAGTTCTCCTCGTCACATGCCTGCCTCCTGGTGGTTGGAGTGTGGTGTTATGCATCTGTGTTTGCTGTAGGGCCCTTGGTACAGTGGGGACATTACAGTTCTGAACCTTACGGCACAGCCTGCTGCATTGACTGGCATGCACCCAACCACGAGCTTTCAGCTATGTCTTACATTGTCTGCCTTTTCGTCTTTTGCTACGCACTGCCCTGCACTGTCATCTTTCTCTCCTACACTTTCATTCTGCTGACAGTGCGCGGGTCACGGCAGGCCGTCCAGCAGCATGTGTCACCACAGACCAAGACCACCAATGCACACGCTCTCATTGTCAAGGTCAGAGGATTTGAGTGTGTCGCTTCAGCATCACTGACGTCAGGTTTTGCAGTTGACAGGATTTGAGTATATGAGGCAGTAAATTATTCAAATCTTATAAAAATGCTTTGCTGACAACTTGCTTTATGTTTACAGAGTCTTCTCATGCATATGTAGCTATTTGTGAGTGTATTTACACCATTTATGGTTGATACTTTGGTATGACACTAAATAAATCTTCTGCATGTCATGTTGTTGTGGTGTATCCATGTACGAGTGACTGCATGTGTGTGTGAATGTCTCCTCCATAGCTTTCAGTAGCAGTATGTATAGGTTTCCTGGGTGCCTGGAGCCCATATGCTGCCGTGGCCATGTGGGCTGCTTTCGGAGATGCCACGCGGGTTCCTCCTGATGCATTCGCCCTTGCTGCAGTGTTCGCCAAGTCTTCAACTATCTACAACCCTATGGTCTACCTGCTGTGTAAGCCCAACTTTCGCGAGTGTCTCTACAGAGACACATCTATGTTGCGACAGATGATCTACAGGGGTAGTCCCCAGTCAGATCCAAAAGAACATTTTGGATCAACCTCACAGCGCTGCAAGGACGCGAGCATCTCCACGAGATTCTCAAACGGACAGCACGAGAGCTACGGGGGGTGTCTGCACTGCACTGAGAATGCAGCAGCGTGTAACGTGACCACACCCCTAAGGACTGCCTGCATCCTGACTGGATCCTCTTACAGAGAGGTGACAGTTAGCCAGCTCTCAGCCACACCACAGGATGGTTTACTCTAAACACAAAACCCTTCTCTCATGAAGCAAACAAGACAGAACAGGTGCTCAAAAAGACTGGGCATGGACAAAAAAACAACAACAAAGGACCTGCACAAGTTATTAATGTGCGTGTCATCATGACTTTATAGCATGACAGTCTTACAAGAACCTTTTGATGGCATTCTTCCTGAAAGTCATAAAATGGCCACTTCATTGTGAAAAAAAATTTAAAAACCACACTGTGCTTACTTCATCGGAGAAGATTTGCCACAGAAATGTATATACTTGTGAAGTGTTGATGCGTATTTCTGTGTGAGCTTGTTTCCTGTTTCATTTTAATGTGCAGTAATTTAAGTGGATTCTGCAAGGAGCAGAAAATGGGACATGACAACCCCTGCTGGTATCAACGTTAATTAAGCAAATGTAACATTTTAAAGCAGCTTATCATATTTAGTGTACAGCAGGAACATACTTCTTAATGTGAGGGCCAGTGCAAACAAGACACATTGTCAGGAAAAAAAATGTTTAAGTGGTGTAAAGCAGATGAAGAAAATGTTTATGGTCCTTGTCACTAGTGAAATTCATAGAGACATAAAATCAAACTGACAACTGCTGTTTTCTGGAAGCCACTTCAAGCCCCTAGGGGTTGGGTATTTCATACTAAAAAGACAGATTTAGGTGGAGTATCACTTCAGTGAAGAGGCCCGTACTTTATGAGACTCTACTGTGCCATAAGGCCTGTGGTCATTCTCTTACTGTAGAATGACAGATAAAACTGGCAAACCCTGTATACCTTAAGACTGTTTTCTGGAGAAAAAATCTAATTTGGACAGTGACAAAAAAATGAGACTAGAGGTCAATTTCACCATTTCATGTTAAGGCATTAAGTTTGACAGAAATGTATACTCTTATTTAGTGAAAATCACTCTAAATCTCTTTCCTTTAGAGGATTCCTTAACTTATTTTGGTTGTAGGACCCCACTCCTCTACAGACTCCCTTAGTTCTAATCTTGATTTCACCTTGATTACATTAGATTAATACTAAAAGGGACCTGCTTTGTAAAGAAAACGCGAGTGATATGAGGACTTTTCCAAATCGTCTGTTCAGGAAACAAGAGGAATCAGGGGAAGTTTTTTGTGTCCAGGTGAAAAACAATGGAAAGTAGGATTTTAAAAGTAACTAATAGGCATTGAAAATGTCTGAAGCTCCTTAGTTACAGATAATTTAAAAAAAGAATTTCCTAATTATGTTTTTGATTAGCATACATTGACAGTGCACACACAGAAGTCTCTATAATCTCTAATGCATATTAGATTATAGACGCTTTTATGTTTGCCTTCTACTCCTTATTTTATTACTGTATGCTAGTTTATGTGCATTTAAAGTAAAAAAATAAGCTATAAAATAAATAATCTTTGGAGTTTAATCAGTTATTAAACAACCATATCTGATCGTGCAGACGTGTATCATAAGACTGACAATTCATTCCCCCTAAAAAACAGAAAACAAACAGCACTTAGCTATATTTAATTCTGTTTTCCCTTTTTAATGTGACACTGTGCTCTGTGGCTTCATGTATGCATATAAATAAAAACTGTATGTGTTGATCATTTTGAAAACCAATTCTTGTACAGCCTTATTTACTAAAGAAATAAAAACACTGAATAATCATCGTTGAAACTTGCATTGTCTCCCAGAAAATAATAAATAAATAATTCTATTTATATTTATTTAATGGTTAATATTATAAATTTGTTAAACAATATTTATTTAATTAATTTTAGATTAAATGAAAGAATCTGAATGAGGCCCGGTGTCATTAGTCATCACGAACATGTCAGATGCAAAATACACTGTAAAATATGCGTGAAATGGCAAATACAAAATTCCTTGACACACTGACAGAAATTAAGAAAATACACCTACGTAGCTTATTTTTCCCCTCATTTTAATTATCTGTGAAGAAATATTGAGCACACCGGAGTCAAATTAACTGCCAATCTAATTTTCTACAAAGGAGCGTATTGACATTATTGGCAGCACCAGTGTGGTCTCTGTTTAAAATTCCAAGGCTGGTGTGTAACACTTCCAGACGCTGAAACAAATCTCCCCTCCCTTTTAAGACAACAGCTTTAGTGTTTCACAAGACACTGCTTGCCTTCAAATATACTACATTCTAGGAGAAAACTAAAAGTGTCAATGCCATCTGCCTAAAAGAAATCAACAAAAACCAAGGCAGCTGTGTGTATTCATATTACTTCACTTTGAGTTATGAGCTTAAACAGCTGCATAATTAATGAAATGTTTAAATAAACTGGACAAGCTTAATCTGGGAAGGCACTCTTAGGGATTTTAAAAAACTACTCATTTAATGGAATGTAATACTTTCATTTTCATGCAGTCTTTTTTTCCACTGAGGCGGCTTTTTCAGAGGAGTATTTTAAGCACACTGACCAAAGTCATTATGACAGCGAAGCTCCAGCTGGGGTGTTGCCAACCTTTTGAAGATAATGCACATAAGAAAGCACACTGGAGTTTAAATCTTGAAGATAAAGAAGACAAAACAGAAATGTGTACATCTGTAGTGTTGAACTGCTTAAGTGATCTACATCTAGCTGAAATTAAATAAAATGAAAACTTAACACCCATGCCAGCAGGGAGCCCAAGCATATATGCGTGAAGTATCGACTTAAATACGAAGTAATTTATTTTCCCCAGTGTAAAAAAATGTCTGGAGGATAAGCTTTTCACTCGCCTCCATTATAGGCAAGCACAGAAATGTGGCCAGAGGAGTTAAACAACTGAAATGGCACATAATATTTAAAGGAACAGGCAGATTAATACAACATGGGCATATACACACAAACACACACACATTAGTTAGGTACCTTTCGAAAAGCTGAAAAAAACTTCTACTAAATTCGAAAGCAATGATTTACTTCTTACTATTATTTGTGATATTCTTGATTTTGGACTTTGTAAGCTTCTTTTCAGGCAGATGGAAACTTTACAGTTAACACGATTATATATAATACGCAATACACTGTTATGCAATCACAGACGAAGTGAGACTTTACCAAGCACAGCACCCAAATACACAATTAGGAGTCCCTTCAAAGATAATGACTGTGGAGGTAACATAGTGAACAATCCCAAACCTTGTTCTGCACATCTTTATCCTTATCTGATTTTCCTCAGACAAGTCAGTGAAATCAGTCAGTAAGATCAGTCAAATTCTTTACTTCTCAGTTTCAATAAAACTCTGTCTCTCGCTCACAAAATCTAGACCATGGCTTGTCATACCAGCTTTTCTTGTGCAGCCACACTATGCCCCAGGCACCAAGTTAATGCAGAACACAAATTTATTTTGGCATGTTTAATTCTTGGCCTGAGATCACTGCCTAAATGCTGACTTTAGGACAATTTTTGTTTTGTTTGTCACAAGAATCACTATTTGATAGTCGTTGAAATGTTATTGTGAATAGTGCAAGTATTTTCAGGGATTTTCTACTGCTTTATATCCTTGTGAACACCATATCTTTGCATTGCAGACTTTAAGTCAGACAAAAAAAGCTATTTGAGCATATCAGGTGGGGCTTTAAGAAATCTGTGATGGGCATTTTTTACTATTTTCTGAGATTTTGTAGACCAAACAATTAATCAAAAAAAAAAATAATATTAATCAGTTAATCAATAATGAAACCTTTAGTTGCAGCCCTACAATAATGTTCTGACAATGTTTTAAAAGATGATTAAGAAATTTCCCATTAATTTGCTAAATATGCTAAACCACTGGTATGATGATTTAAATGACTAATGTCTAATTCATATGAACAGTCTGGAAGGGTTTGTTTCCCACAGTACAGTGTACAATGCATTATATATACATATAACACACTGTACCTAAATTACAGTGTATTCTATTGTTCTGACTCAATTAGTAAATTAACTATTTACCAGTATAAGTCAGGCTACAAAACAATTTTAAACTCCCAACTCTGCCGCTGTACTTTTAGTCTTAGCCATTTACCATAACCATACACAATAACTGCAGAGAAATACATTATTGTGCAAAACAATGCACTTAATGACACAGTCAAAAACCAACTGGCTTTTTTTAGATACAGTATCTTGTATTTTGGTTGAAATGTAAAAGAAAAAGAAAAAGAACCAGACAGATCACCAATAAATCGAGAAAATAATTAGCAAAACCTGTGCCAGTGTGTTGAGGTAGATTTGCTGTTTGACATACTCAGTGATGGACTATGTGCTGACACCCTGACGCCCTCTACAGTGTGCAAATGGAAAAACATGAGGAACAACTTTCAGTCAAGCTACTAATTACCCTATGATCTTGTGAAAAATATACATTTATATCTATATATACACACACAACTACAATCAATGAACTGATTAATCATCTTGCCCATTATTATTTCCCTGAACCAAAAGTTATGTTTTGAAATTCATTGTTTAATCTGACCTGCAGTCCAAAGCACAACACTTTTTAGTTTTACTATCATGTATGACAAAAAAAAGCAAAGATTAATGGATGGAACAGAAGCTCTATCCAACTTCCACCATGACTAGAAGTCTAAACAGCCAGGATAATTGAAAACACCTGTGTTAGTATGCAGGACCTTTAAAGTGACAGCAACTTATAAGTGTATAAATATTTATTTATTTATTGGGGGGGGGGTTCTGCCGATTTTAATTGAATCATGTCCTGCAAAAACATGTAATCATGATTGACTGCTTTAGTTTAACATTTGTAACTGGCATGTGTGAATTTCAACTTGACATCAGTCTATCTAGTGGCAGTCACACAACATTATGATCATTTTAGCAAATTGTTCTATTTTTCCTTTTGTATCTGGCTTTAAGTTTTTTAGATGAGCAGCTGTCAGATTGTCAAATCAGATGAAACTGCTTTAAAGATGGAGCTACAACATGGGCTTGGAGCCTAGGATACCACACTATTCAAAATAATATAAGTTACTAAGTTTGTGGTAAATACCTTAATTACAAAATCTACGTTTTGTAATCTGCCCATTTGATATAAAGCTGGTAATAATTAAGAGTATTTAAGGTGTATAAAACCACTGAAGAGAGTCTTGGTGGTAACCAAATTACCTTAATTCCCTTTCTTTTGATACTTGTAATAACGAACAATATATTATTAATTATATAATTTTTTTTTAGGGTTAATAAACCCCCATTCTAATCTTACATGGTTATAAGTAGGTTTAAGTTTTGGAAATCTGGTTCAGCTGTAAGGTTAACGTTACCAGTTACCTCTTCAGCAGTTAGATTGAGCCCATCCTCGTTGCTTTCTGGCATGTGAAGGTCATGAATAGCCTAAAATAATTGAGACAATTTTGTTAGTGGATCTAACAGGACTGAGTAAACATTTAATCGATATAATTTCATAACTGTTGTTGTCGCCATGAGGAGACGGGGTTCTGGAAATCATAACAATTGTTAACAGTTAGCTTGAGCCAACGGTCAGATACAGACCGAGGGGGAACAACATCGCTTTTCTCATGTCACTGTCTACGGCCCAGTCGTAACGTTACCGACCCAAAAATCATCTGTTGGTCAGTCACTCCTCTTTTCTTTTTTTATTGTGGGCGGAAGTCGTTGTTTACTCCTCGCGGTGCTGTGCACGCTCCGAATATCAAAACCAAACGCGGCACTTTCAAAGTTAAGGTAACGTAGGCTGTTCTGTTAATGCCGCTGTCAGGCTAGCTCGGTACTTGTGTGTAGCTAATTAAATTACCAACTTTATGTTTCTACCTAAATTGTGAACTCTGTAAAAAGACATACCGCCGTGATGTTTTTTAAAAAAAACACTAGCCTTTTATAGTTGCAATGTAACGTTAGTTAGCAACCGCTAGCAAACACTGCTAGCTAGTTAGCCGACCTTGACCTCACAAGTTTGCTAAGTTCATGCTCAGATAGCAGTACCAGTATACTGACTAAACAGCTAAGTTAACTACTCATTCTACTAAGTTACTCCGATGTCAGCAAAAATTAACATTGCCGCATTTAGCAGATACATGGAGGAGCGTTAACCTGTCCTTGTTGTGTTTGTCACCGGTGACAGCTAGCTTCGGTACTCCAGCGTGATGTTCTACACTCAGCTCTTCACGTCCAAGCGGGGCCCTCTAGCCAAAATTTGGTTGGCAGCCCACTGGGAAAGGAAACTCACAAAGGCCCATGTATTTGAATGCAATTTGGAAACCTCCATCAGAGACATTATTTCCCCAACGGTAAAACTTGTCAAAACGTATCTTAAGACATTATAATCCAACGAGGGTTAAAATGAAGGGCAACTGGACTTGGTTGAAGATACTGGAAGACGTTTCGTCCCTCATCCAAAGGACTTCTTCAGTTCTGACTGACTGGCAGGGAAACTCAGCTATTTAACCTCAGTGGGGTCGTTGGCCCGGGTCATCGATACCGCTGGTTCGTTAGTGTTCCTTGTTGCTGTGACGACAGTCGTTACAGTCGTTGAGACTACCTGTGGCCAAGACTGAACGACCATCGTTGGTATCTTCACCTGAGGCCAATAGGTTAAGTTTGTTGAGTTTCCTGGGAAGTGATGAAAGGACAGCATTGTAAGTGGGGGATAAGTGGTGGCGTAGACCCCCTCCCCTGTTCAATGACGGCTTCTCAACCCTGGTGTAGATGGCTTCCTTGACACCTCTTTCAAACCATCCATCTTCTCTGTCTAAAATGTGCACCTGGTGGTCCTCAAACGAGTGTCCTCTGTCCTTCAGATGTAAGTAGACTGCAGAGTCTTGACCTGAGGAGTTGGCCCTTCTGTGTTGAGCCATGCGTTTGTGTAGTGGTTGTTTAGTCTCCCCAATATACAGGTCTGTGCATTCCTCACTGCATTGGACCGCATACACTAGATTGCTTTTCTTGTGTTTGGGTGTGCGGTCTTTGGGGTGGACCAGCATCTGTCTTAGTGTGTTCTTGGGTTTAAAAAACACAGGGATGTTATGTTTGTTGAAAATCCTCCTGAGTTTCTCTGATACTCCAGACACGTATGGAATCACAATGTTGTTGCGTTTGACCTTCTTTTCCTCCTCCCCTGTAGTTTTGTTCTTCTTGGATCTTGTGGCTGTTTTCACAAAGGTCCATTTAGAGTATCCACAGGCTGTAAGTGCCCCCTTCAGGTGGTTCTGTTCCTTCTCTCTGGCTTGGGCGCTTGTTGGTATGTTTTCTGCTCTGTGGTGCAGTGTTCTCATGACCCCTAGCTTGTGCTCCAGTGGGTGGTGTGAATCGAAGAGTAGGTATTGGTCTGTGTGTGTGGGTTTTCTGTAAACACCAATCTGCAGGCTCCTGTCCTCTTCAATGTGTACAGCGCAGTCCAGGAAGGCCAAACTGTTGTTGTGAACATCTTCTCGTGTGAACCTGATGTTACTGTCCACAGAGTTGATGTGTTCTGTGAAGGCTTGCACTTCCTGGCTTTTGATTTTGACCCAGGTGTCGTCCACATATCTGTACCAGTGGCTCGGTGCTATTCCTCTGAAGGAGTTGAGGGCTTTACTCTCCACTTCTTCCATGTAGATGTTGGCCACAATCGGGGATACCGGTGAGCCCATGGCACAGCCATGCTTCTGTCTGTAGAATCTCTGTAGAAGGCTTGCACTTCCTGGCTTTTGATTTTGACCCAGGTGTCGTCCACATATCTGTACCAGTGGCTCGGTGCTACGTGTCTGGAGTATCAGAGAAACTCAGGAGGATTTTCAACAAACATAACATCCCTGTGTTTTTTAAACCCAAGAACACACTAAGACAGATGCTGGTCCACCCCAAAGACCGCACACCCAAACACAAGAAAAGCAATCTAGTGTATGCGGTCCAATGCAGTGAGGAATGCACAGACCTGTATATTGGGGAGACTAAACAACCACTACACAAACGCATGGCTCAACACAGAAGGGCCAACTCCTCAGGTCAAGACTCTGCAGTCTACTTACATCTGAAGGACAGAGGACACTCGTTTGAGGACCACCAGGTGCACATTTTAGACAGAGAAGATGGATGGTTTGAAAGAGGTGTCAAGGAAGCCATCTACACCAGGGTGGAGAAGCCGTCATTGAACAGGGGAGGGGGTCTACGCCACCACTTATCCCCCACTTACAATGCTGTCCTTTCATCACTTCCCAGGAAACTCAACAAACGTAACCTATTGGCCTCAGGTGAAGATACCAACGATGGTCGTTCAGTCTTGGCCACAGGTAGTCTCAACGACTGTAACGACTGTCGTCACAGCAACAAGGAACACTAACGAACCAGCGGTATCGATGACCCGGGCCAACGACCCCACTGAGGTTAAATAGCTGAGTTTCCCTGCCAGTCAGTCAGAACTGAAGAAGTCCTTTGGATGAGGGACGAAACGTCTTCCAGTATCTTCAACCAAGTCCAGTTGCCCTTCATTTTAACCCTCGTTGGATAACTATGACCTGGATGACTGAGAATCTTCATAGACAAGACATTATAATGTAATATCTTACATCTAAGGTATGAGTGCTGACTGAGATGGATGTGTGGTATTTGTAGATGAAAATTGGTTTGAGGACATCTGGTCATCTGCTCATTGGTGTGGTCAGGATCTACTCCAAAAAAGCCAAGTATCTCCTTGCAGACTGCAATGATGCCCTGGTCAAAATTAAAATGGAATTCAGGCCAGGTAACATATGCTATGTTTGTTTTGTCAGTGTCAACTAGTATTTAAATTGTAGTGACACATAAAGGCACCACAGGGGTTTGACTGGGCTGTGGTGATAAATGTTAATAAAGGCTTTGATAAAGATAGGGAATTACAACTTTGGCCAACTGGAAGGATTAATTAAAGGGAAACGAGCAACATTGTAAAATGCAAAATACTTAATGTGTACTTTTGCACATTTGACTCCATTTCTTCCATAAATAAGGCCAAAAGCTGAATGCAGTTTAATACTGTCACTGTCATGCTGAATATGTTGTGCTCAGTTTAGTTTGTGGCATTGCTGAATTGTGTTAACCTGACATGTTTCTGTTATTTTGCCTACCCTATTTATATAAATTAGCGTAGGCTAAATAACAGACAATAACAGTTCAACAGCACTGCAATCTACATTCTCCAAAATGATAATAACCCCGCTCTTAAACATTTTCAACAAAAACTGAACTTTGCTACCTTCATTAAAGTAGGATTTATTGCAGGATTGTTGTGTTAAACTGCATTTGTTTTAGCTAGGTGTACTTAATAAACTGGCAACTGAATGTAAATACTTTTCCCAATGAGGACAACCACCAGAGGGTGATATAGACATAATTACTTAAATAACATTTTTGGGAAGGAAGGTGCTCTATGCAAGAATGTTATCTGCCTTTATGATTTGTTTAATGAACAATATCACACAGACTAAACAGTCCCAGAGTGCAGGCATACTTTTCTGCAGCTAAAACATACTTTAACCCAACAAGGAGGTTAAGAAGGTAGCATCTCTGAATTTGTATACTACTGTAGCTCGGCGAACAAGTACTTATGTGTAAGAGCTTGAAGATTTCAACTATACATTCCGATGTCTACTTAATATGACCTGTTAGTACCATACTGCCTGTAATTTATGTTATTATTTTGTAGTTGGGTGCTGTTCTTACCTCTTCTAGTTCTAAATGCAGTACATGTTTGTATTGTTTGCCTTTTTTCTTTTTCTCAACACATCAGGTCAGACAGATATGCCCGAGGAGGGGCTCGAGGCAACACTAAAAGCAATTACCCTGATCGAAGATTTCACCGCCTTCGATGTCCAGCTGCCGCACCCAAGGTACTCTTTTCTCCTCTTTCTTTGAGACATGCAATTGAAAAGGCACAGTCAGGTTTATTCACAAATGTAATATAAAAACTTTAAGTCACAGCAAAACTTTCAGCATTTTTGAGCTTCTCTAATAGCCCCAATTGAAAACGTAGGCCTGTTTTAATACATTTTTATTTACAGAGTAGTCTTTAAGAAAAGATGCTTGACATGACAAATTAAGTTTTCATTTTGTGTTTTTAATTCTGGAAGCAAAGCTAATCCTTTCATTGACATTTTGATCGCCTATTGTTTCTTTAAGCCTCATGAATAAGTATTCTGTCTGTGTCCACACTATGTTCTTTTCATACCGGGACACCAGTAACATAGATGTCGTGGACCACTTTTCACTGAACCAGTGTCGATCAGAAGAAATTACTCTGAAAGAGGATTTTGGAAGTGGCTTTCTGAACTTGGCAGATTTTGGTAATAAGCAATTTTTATCTCATGTTATGGTACTTCCCAATTTTAAGTGAATTATTGCCATTTGTCTTGTTTATCAAACCTTTGTACTAGAAGAAAAGACCAAAACCAATAATGAATTGATTCTACTTACAAGTATTTTCTGTGTAGTCAAAGCTTGATAGAGCTTATGCTCTGTGCCACCATTCTGGTCCAAAAATTGCAAACACATAAATGAGCCACACCATGTCACTGGTGGACATGTTTATTCATTACAATGAATTAAGGTACTGCTGCAGTAAATACTTGCTAGTGTACCAAATCCATAGCTGAAATAATCCCCTACAACATGATTTTCTACTGGCTGAGTAAAAAGACCTACAGACCCCAGCTTTTTTGGAAATTAGTTTTTAAAGATTATATCTGCAGCAGGACTGAATGTGTTCCACACACAGGGTGTGGAAGTCTGAATGCACTGAGAGACTAGTGTATTGTTATTTTTGATATTTTAATGGTATTTGTTGACAATAACAAAACTATAACCTTGCTCTTTTAAAACATGGTTTTCTTTGCAGACCTGACATCTCATACTGACTTTGCATTTTCTTCCCCCTCCCTTTGTGTGCTCTGATGGGTAGGAGATGAGTCCCAGAGCCACCATAATGTTCTGATGGATATGAGCTTCCAGAGCCTGGCTCAACATGGAGACGCTTTTGGGGATGAGGATAAAGGGTTCGACCTACTCGGTAGTAGGAGCAGAATTTATCAGGATACATTTTTGCCATATTTTAACCCAAAGAACAACATACACTGAAAAAACAATCCATGTGTTTTTGACTTTGCTGTTGTTAATACTGGATTTTAACTAACTTTAACCAAACTAGACAAATACCATGTCAGACTATAATGCATTTTACAACAATAAACAGTATTATGAAGATGTAATTTTGACTCGGATTGCATAAGTTTGAACAGACAAAAACAGGTGGGTTTCTAGATGTAGGTTTATTGGGGAAAAAGCTGTTGCTGTAATGTTTGTATACACAGTTGAAAAGTGGCCCATCTGAAACATTGAGGGAAATGACTCGAGTAATTTCAACACAACAGATAGCTATGTCCCAGTTCAGGGGCTGGATCCTCCAAGTCAGCCTGTGTAGATCAATTACATCATAACACTGAAAATTTTCCACAGTTTGTTCTTGTGAAGCGCCTGGATATGTTATGGATGTTATGGATTGATAAGTTATTTGGATTTATTTTCTTTTAGTTCAGTTAAAAGTCCCAACTCATACTGTAAAATCATATAAAGGTATCCTGGAACTTGCCCCAGTTTCCCAGTGGTGTTTGCAGTTTGTCAGGCAGTTTAAGAGCAATGTCCTGGTCATAAACTGTGAAATATTTGACCTCACAAGTTGAGTGGGATTGCACAAGCACACCATTAGGTTGGGTTTCTGTGAGGCTAGACTGTCTCATTTGGGGATTAAGCATAAATTCTCCCTGGCCTTTGCGTCCTCCAAAGGACCAGTGTTTATGGGCCGTATCTTTAAAGGATCTGGCCTCTGAATTGGGACACAAAAAATTAATATCACCTAAGACACAATAGGGCCTGACTGATCAGTAGTTCTTGATAACCAGTGAATAATAATCTAATATATATAATTTTTTTCTCATTCATCAGTAATATTGCTTTGTAGTAAGAAAATCATCTACACTACATTATACTCAAATACTACAACACTCTACTGTAAATCATTGGCATTATGATATCAATGATGATCCTTTTACTGCTTTTTAAAAAGAAAATAAGATGATTGATTCTTTTATTGATTACCCTGTAGACTTTCTGACAAACTCCAGTGATCACATTGAGTCCACCGACTTAATCCCAGAAGAGCCTCATAATGAAAATCCAGAGATCTCTACAGTCAATTATCAACAAGGTAATACTGTAACTGTATTAATAATGAATTACATTTATATAGCGCTTTATCATAGATACTCAAAGCGCTTCACAGTGTAGTGGGGGGGACTCACCTCAACCACCATGTTTATTTATATTATTATTTGTATTATTAAACACCTCCATTTGAATTTTCAACTGGGTTGTGATGTGAAGGGTTTGTTTTGAGGGTATAGCAGCACCAGTTGATAGTGGTGTTATGTTTTTGCTTGTCATTCAGCACAGTACAGTAAATTTGCATTCAGACTTATTTTAAAACTCAAAATAGACTCCATGTTTTCCAGATGCTGACAAAATGGAGGTGGAGACCCCTACACTGAATCAGACCACCCTGCTTGCTAATGAGGCGGAGGCCTTTGCCCTTGAACCTGTGGCCATCACTCGTAGGCACAACCAAACAACTCTCACACTGTTTTCCTTCCACTCACAAATGTACTGTATATTATGCAAGCATTTATTGAGATACTGCCGCAAGAGCTGGAATCACCCCCCTGAAACCGCCAAGAGAGCCAAACCAAAAACTTGTGACAAAACAGTTGACCCGGTGTCAATTCCTTGTCACACACACAGTAGGCAAGCATTCTTATGACCTTCTACTGTTTCTTTTCAGCAAACTCTGAGAAGAAGAGGGGGAAAAGGAAACGCAAGTTGGTTGTGGACCAGACTAAAGAGCTGAGCAATGAATCCATCAGAGCCCAGCTTTCTGACTACTCAGATCTGGTCGCCCCTTTGGACATGGCCCCACCAACCCTGCAGCTCATGCATTGGAAGGAGAGCGGTGGTGCAGACAAACTCTTTGCACAGCCATGTTCCACTGTAGTATCTCCACAAATACTTGAGGTAAATATATGAGCAAATCCGAGCAATGTTGGTCTTTATTATGAAAACTGAGTTTTTCAATTTGGAAATAATGTTTTGCAGCTTTTTGCCAAGAGTATTTTCCAGGTGAAATATTCTGGTGTGTGTGATGAGGTTGAGGTGATACGCCAGGGTGGACAAGAAGGTAGGAACTTGCTTAATCAAGCAGGGAGAGAAATAATCTCACTATTTTTAATGTATCCTTGTTGTTGCCATCTGTCATGCCTCTCCTGATATGCCTTTTGTTACATAACATCTGCATTATTATGTCTTGTATAGTTCAGAGGGACACAAGTGCACTCACCACAGACAACGCCAGTCCAGTGGATTCATCAATAGATCCTGAAAAAACACACAACGCTGAATTGACAATCATTGATGCCATTAATGACAGTCAACATGAGAATTACCCCGAGCTCGCAGAGGTAAGTATGTCATGTGAGGAGAAGGTAAGTACATGTAAAAAGGTGTAATTCTCATTCATGATGCTCTGTCACCTTTTTTTAATCTTTGTTTTTAATATCTGCAATTTGTGTCTGTCAGAATGAAAACAGGTCGGCGTTTACTCAGCCTGAACTTCCGTCAGAAGACTCCATGTTTGTTCATACATCTTTCATGGAGCAGGAAACTCAGTCAACTTCCCTCCACACTCAGGTGCCTGTGAACACACACACACAGTTACAAATAAAAACAAGTGCAAGGAATTATATTCTGTCGAAGTCCACTGGCTGCCTCTTTGGAATGGAAGTGAACTAATTTATGGACGGTTATCTGGAAAAATGGCTGGTTTAGTTGACAAGCTACTAGATAAAATATATCAGCGTTTTCCAGATGGCAGGTTTTAATTTCCCAGGCTGCCTTGGATATGTGCCCAGCATCACTGACTGAAATATGGTCTCTTTCTAACCTGCAGTCTATGCTGGACAGCCAGGACTTTGAGGAGAAGAAGATAAGCAGGCGTGCACAGAAGCTTCTGAACACTCTAAAAGTAAGGACCTAAAAATAAATGTGCAGGTATTAGAATCGCAGTAACACAAACTACCCCATCTTTCATATAGCTGTTGAGATATATATATATAGATAGATAGATAGATAGATAGATAGAGATATATAGATATATAGAGAGAGAGAGAGAGAGAGAGAGAGAGAGAGAGAGAGATAGATATAGATAGATAATGTATGTGTGTGTATATATGTGTGTATATATTTGTAAAGCGTGCATGGTCATGGCACAGGACTGTTATTTCCGTGTGAGGCAGTGTCCCTGCTCTACTGGACATTGAATGGCGGATAAAAATCTATAGTCACAGTGCGCAGGGATTTAAAGTTAAGAAGGCCGTGGCAGGATTAGGGATAATGTTGGGAAATTAAATTTTCTTGTATGTTTGTTTGGCAGAGCCAGGGCAACAGAGACACCACGTTCAGCCTGGAGGCACTCTGCGAAGGAGGGACTCGCTCACAGGCTGCAACCACTTTCTTCTGTCTCCTTATCCTGAAAAAACAAAAAGCTCTTCACCTGCACCAGAGCGCACCGTATGAGGACATCTTTGCCACACCTGGACCCAAGTTCTATGATTAGTACAACAGAAAACTTGATCTGCCTCATGCTCAAATAGCACGTTTGTGTTTCTATGTCAGTGTCCCAGAGTAAAAATCAAATGGGTTTCTGGGCTAACTAGTAAAAACTTATTAATTATATGTAACACACATTAGTATGTTTATGTGTGTCTCTATACATGTATATATTCTTTTTGCTTGTTCTTGGCACTTTTCATTTGTGAGAAATTGGATATGGTATTAATGAAGGAGCAGTTTATCTAAAACTTGTCAGTCAGACTGTTTTTATTAGGCCTCTGACATAAAACAATATCTGACACCCGATATGGGTTTCACAACCCTAAATTTATTAACTGATCTAAAAGATCCTTAGAATTTATCTAACAAATATTTCATATCAGTAACATCTGATGTTCTGCAGTTATTCTTGCGGTCTTTAGGAACTGACATTTCCTGCATGTTAGTGTTTTACACCAGTCCCTCTTCTATTTATTCTAAACACAGGATTTTAAGAACTACCCTTACTATATGTAATCCCTTGTGAAAATGACATTTCGTTCTAAGCAAATTACTGCTTTAAAGTGCATTGATTATTGGCAATTTAACATTGTTCTCTGTGTTAATGGATGAACATCTATATGAAACACACACGATACATTTACTTGTATACATTTTTCTAGTTTTAGAAAGATTGATTTTACGTATATTTTATATAATGAAGTTTGGGATATGTTACTCAAATCATATATTCACCATATATTCTTCATGCTTGTGGTCTAGATATTCTTGATGTTTTTTTTGTTTTGTTGCTTGCAGCTTAAATCCAGAAAACTGAGTACTCACTTCTGTACAGTACTGAGCTGTTCTTTAGTAACGAATGGAGGGACTAATGTTAAATTATACAGTGATAATAGACTCAAATTGAATTATATGTATTTATATTCCTACTGCTGGTCAGAATTTGTATGTCATCCATTTTATTCTGTGCTCAATGCAGGCCTGACAACACACATTCAGCAAAATAGGTTACAGGCATAGGAATTACTTTACTAAACTGAAAATCCCATTTTCCACTTGTTCTTGGAGTTCATTATGTAAAAAGCCATATTAAATGTGTGTTTTTCCTGAAATTGTAAATACCTGTTATGGCTTATGTTATTAAAGTATAAATGGATGTGGGTTTGTATGTATTTCTATTTTAAAGGAACAAACTTTAATCTGGCTTGCATTAGTCAGTGAATAGTATGCTACTCTCTGACACACTCATCCATCATCTGAAGGTGTTTTAGTGTACATGGTGTACCAGTTAAGCTGGAGAATCACCCTCCTGCCTCCAGTCAGGGACGGACTGAATGGAGGTTTCTAAACCACGGTTAACCTGGCAGTCAATATTATCCCTGCCGTGAAAACGTAGTCAAACAAAACTTAATGTGCTGTTAAGTCCTGACAAATGAAGCATTATTATCCCTCACTGTCACTTTAAGAAGCACCGATGCAGCAGACGCAGTTGCCTCATTTCATCTCCGAGCTTCATGGCTGCAGGATGGACTCCCAGCAGCATCAGCAACATCTTTTCTTCCTGTTGCCACCGGGGACTGTTCAGCGACCATCAAGTCTGGCGGGAACCGAGGCTTTTCTACGATGCGCATCTTCCACCTGCCGAAATGGTAGTGTTTTATCATTCTTAGTATAGCCTGTGTCGGTGTTTTGTGTGAATACCACGAACGTTTGTTTCGAGATTGAGACAACCGGTAATATCCTTGTTAAGTAACCATATGTAGGACACAGCTGAGACTTTGTTAGTCAGCTGTTTGTATCAGAAGCGGCCGGTCTGCGTTTTCCTTTGTGGAAAGTCTGCCGGGGTGCTAGATGTCCTGTTTAGGGAGCTCTCAGCAGTCAGCAGGCTAAGAAAATCAGTGATGAGTTTTTAGCTTTTTTTCCTTTTTTTCTCTCTTTTTTTTTTTTTTTGCTCTTGCATAAATCATCACCTGCCTGCTTATCTAACTGCTTTATTGTAGGCGACAGATGTGAGAAAATCCAGCGAGCTAATGCCATAATGATTATTCAAGGACATAACGCAACATCCCCGCACCTTCTGATATCCTGAAACCTCCTGGCATCATCGTCTCATTTCCATGTCTAAGTGCTGCTTTAAGTAGGCTACAGTTTCATCCACCTACTGTAAGATGCTCGCCACCACAGTAAACGCCGATACTCTCACTTACGTAAGGTGATTGCGTATTTCTCAGCAATAACGTGCTCGACACTTGTTGCGCAGACAGAAGAGAAAGAGGTGAGATCTCCTGTCTCAATGTCCTAGAATTTAAATATAGGGCTAAATGAATGTACTTCTGTTTAGTTGACACTGTTTTTCACTGACAGTAGAGTTACAGGTCTGCTGTGTCTGCTGCCACTACAAAGATTTGTCCAACAGCAGGTATATTTTCGGCCTAGATCAGCAGGTTCCTTAAGGTTTACAGAGCTGCATGATGATGACATGGGGCTTTTGAAGAAAGATAACATTTTGTGCTCATCCTTTTGCTGATATTGAGAAAAAAAAAATACTTTTTCATTTTAAGCAGGAGCACATAGCTACCATTTAGGCCACTGAGGTCATGTGGGGTTTCTTCTGTGAATCTAAAGTTCAGTAAAATGTTACAGGGTAATTGAAGTATTTAAATTTTAATTTGACAGCTTTCACAGCAACATATAAAGGACTAGGGCTGGCTATTGATACCAGTGCATATAGGATGCCTAACTTTGGGGAATATAAACACGTTTTCATTTAACACTATATATAATAAACTGCTCATTGTTTGATACAATAAACATATTTAGGCTACCCAAATAGAATACAGTATAAAGTTGAGATTCAGAAATATCTGATCAAAGAATATGTAAATAAGCCTAAAAATCTGACCAAGCAAAAGAAAACTTTTAATGTTCTTTTTCGATACTCGATCACTAGTCAGAATTTGTGTTTCAGCATCCAGCTGTAAAGGAAAGGTGGTGTGGAGAGGGCTTTGAAACAGAAAAAGGCGTGCTTTGGAGGACTTTGGATTTATGACTATTTCTTAAATTCTGATTTTAGAGAGTAACACAAGATGTTGGGACCCAGTAGACTCCTGTAGTTATAGGACAATGAGCCTAAATCCTACACAAATCCACCTCTGCCCTATTAACAGTAATGGGAAATTCTTAATTCTCTGTAGGCAGGAAATGACCACGATGACCATCCTGACTACCAGCCACCAAATGTCAGATTTTCTTTGTTTTTGTCCAGTTAATGTGAAGGTTTATAATGTTTATCTGCAGCACTGCAGACAGGGAGGATACAGCTCAGAGAGAGGCAGCTGCAATGACTGTGAACTCACTGTGTCCCCTTTGTGCCGACATAGAAAGGAGGCTTTATTTCCTGCTGGCCTAGACAATTTGTTTTAATTAGGGTTAGGCTTAGACTATTGTCACTGACTTGACTACACACAGTATGCCACAAGTTAGAAGACATTTTCTTTGCTTTGGGATTAATTTTCCTTCAGTTGTTTTGGAATATTTGGGAATATTTGGGACTTGCCTCTAATGTGTTTATGTAACTGTTTTTACAGTCCAGCTGTAAGGGCTCCTAGCGTCCCACTCTAGAGACAGCAGTGGAGAGGTTGCAGGTCCCTTGCACATCAATGTCTCTCACTCCGAGTCGAAAGCCCTCCTCAGGTCAGCGCAGGTAAAGTTCCCTCTTTCTCAAACCTTTAGTTTCAGAATGATGCAAACATACAATATTTGGTAATGTGACTTCTTGCTGTATTTAAAATAAGTCTCTCCCTGCAAGGCGCTCAGTGGGCACTGGTGGTGGCAGCGGGCGGTATTCCCACAGTGATACATCCAGTACCCACACCTACCCGGGTCGGGTTAGGGCACCAGAGGGCAGCCCTACAGCCCGGACGTATCCGAGTACACCAAGGTGAGATATGTATCAAAATATTTTAATATGTTCTCAAAAGCAGGTTGACAAAAATATCTCATTGTTCAGAGAAGCTATCCCACATCTCGCTCTATTAAGTTTTCATGCTCAAGACTCTTCTTCACACTTCCTAAAGACATTGAAGTAAGGTGGACTGGAGGCTGTGATTTGCCAATACAGTAGTAGGTGTTTATCTGCTGAGACTCCAGCAGCCCTCTGCTTCTCTCATCCACTCCGTACTACACTACCGTATGTAAATCGGGGTGGACAATATTAGAAGGGCGTGTTCAACAGCAGTTTGATTGGCACAAGGTAAATTTGTTTCTAGTGTACATACATCTACTAATACAAGTGTTGCACAATTCACTACCATTTTTTTCTTAACCAGAATTTACAGTTCTCATGTGTGATTAATTGAGGTTCTTTATGTAAATTACTTTTTTTCATGCCTATGTGTTGATTCAGGCGTCAGGCAAAACACACAGCGTGCAGCGACAACCATGGGATCAGGCCTCCAACCCCGGAGCAGTACCTTACACCTCTGCAACAGAAGGAGGTGTGTATACGACATCTGCGAGCCAGACTGAGGGACAATGTAGAAAGACTACAACACAGGTGAGTCTTTTTCTCCTTCAACTCTAATGTTTTGCTGGGATGCCAGCCTTTGTGGTAACCAATAAAGAATGTTTGTTATTTCAAGTACCTTGGTGTTTGGTGGTGGTGGTACTTTATCTTTTATCTTTTTAGGTGTCCCATTTGCTAAACTACCATGCTTTATTTGTACAAAAGAGAAATAACTCTGCAAAGTGAAAATCTGCTATTCATTCATTTTTTATACTTTGTCAGAGACTGTGAAATAGATGAGTTGAGGACCCAACTGTACAGGATGCAGGAAGACTGGATAGAGGAGGAATGTCATCGTGTAGAGGCCCAGTTAGCCCTGAAAGAGGCCCGCAAAGAGATCCAGCACCTTCATGAGGTGGTTGAGTCGGTGAGGTCCAACCTGAGTGTCCGTGAACAAGACCCCCATGACCACAAGCCATACTCAGGGTTGCAGGGAGCTCGGCCAGGGGGGAGGTCTCGCTCCTGTGGCTGTTCCCCAGCTAACACTTTGAGCCGCAGCACCAACTACACCCGACTGAGCAGCGAGGCTCTGCAGCTGGAGCACAGCTCTAATGTTCCTGAGTCAAGCAGAGCATCTCGCCCAGCAGGACAAACCCACCTGCTCCTGGAGGCAGCCCTCCTATCAGAGCAGCTGCCACCACAGGGCCACATCCGAGGTCCCCCAACTGTGCCACGGTCTTCCACCTATGAAAGGCTGTACAGTGGGGGGGCGGTGTTGCCAATCTCACACTCCTGCCACACTCTCAGTAGTAGCTGCAAGTGCAGTGGCCACACCTACCTCCCCCATCATCACTTGTTCCTGCATTTACCTCAAGAGGAGGCCCCACTAACAGCGACAACTGCTGCCGTCCCTGCCACTGATCCTATCCCTACTCCTGCATCAGAGAAGAAGCCAGAGGTCCGCTCCCAGGCCTGCAGTCCAACCATGACCTGGCTGTGTGAGGAAAGCGGCGTGGAAGAACTGAGTGTCATTTCTTTTGCCACAGCAGACATCACTCCCACAGAACCACATTCATGTCCATCGTTTTTACCTCATGTGTCCCCTCCGAAGCAATCATACAGTGTAGAGCTGCTACCGCCCGACAAACCATTGGAGGTAGCAAAGATGCCAGTAGAGCCCCACACCTGCCAGCCCCACCCTATAGCTCCACTTCCAGTGAGGCAGGACGCTACAGTACTGGAGATAGAAGAGGACAATGTGGATGAATCTGATGGTACAAATGAAGACGGGTATCCCCCTCAGCCCTGCCACTGGAGCCGCTACTTCCTTGTAGATCTTTTGGCTTTGGCGATGCCAGTTGTCCCAACCATGGCATGGCTGTGTCGAGGGGGGCCACAGGAAGTCTTGCCAGTATATCACATTGGCTCCCTACTGAGAGGTTGCTGTGCTGTGGCCCTCCACTCACTTCGTCGCCGGGGTGCCGGCAGGGGACGGCGGCCTGCCAGCATTAATGGAACAACACCAATCTGAGACTTTCTGCTCCCTCTGCCATTGACAGGACAACTCCCAACCCCTGCAGGCACAGCAGATTCACAGCAATTCTGACTTAAATACATTTTGGTTATTGCCCCGTGTTGGATATCTCGTCCTATAAGATTTTTAATTTTACATAATGTCCAGAACAGTAAATAACTTCGCACCTTTATAGCGAAAGGACAGGTGACTCAAAAGTAGCTGGGCGTCTCACTTTGTAACACCATTTGCCTGATGAAAGTCTAGCACCGAAACGTTGTGTCAATATATTTTTTTTTCAAGTTGGACAGTGTGCGGGAGTTTTCTTTGCTAGATTTTACATAATGCCCTTGTGATTTTGTGATCTTAGAGAGCCTTAGATAACAAAGGATTAGTTGTACATTATTGAATTATTTTAGTACTCAAATATACTGTCCTTGCCGCTTTTGCCTGCAGTTTAAGTGGTTTTCTCTTTATTAGAATTTGCATGTAGCCCACAGTTTGGTTGGGTTCTCTTGCTTGAAGTAAAAAGCCCCTACATGGATTTAGATGAGCAGTCTTCTGTGCAAAGATAGTGTGTTTATTTTATGAAGTAATTGAATGATTGCCCGTTGAATGCTCTTTTAATTGTCGCTTATTTTTAATTGTTAACAGGAAATGGGAGAGTCAAGGTCATGACATATTTTTGGCATCAAAGTCCCACAAAATCAGAAAAATGAAGGACAGTCAGTACTTATCTGACTTGTTCAGAAACAATAGATTTACAGAGCACAGTGAGTGCAGGCCAGAAACAGTGGAAGGCAATCATTTTTATACTTAAGTAATTCCCACCACTGAAATTACTGAATATGGTTCAAAGGTGTCGGAAGATTTACCTTCTGAAAAAGTACAGCATGTGGATCAAATCTAGTACTCAGGTGCAGAACAGACAGATCATTGATCCTTTGCCAATAAACAAAACATGGGAGTTTAAACTGTACAGACATTAACACTACTTTGTCTTGCTAAAAAGCAGCTACAATGTATTAATGACCTGAAAGTGAAGAATAAATCTGTAGTATACATCCTAAATGTACATAATGGAGATAATGCCAAACTGTAAATAGAAAGAAAACATGGCACTGAGCATGTAACTTTTCAGAATGGACAGAATTTATTGCAGGGTATCAATCTGCGTCTGACTTCCACTGTCTGGCCATGTATCTATCGTTACATATTTCTATAAAGGTTATCGGAGATAAAGATTTACCATACAGTAGATTGTGATCCACACAGCTGAATGAATGAAAGCCTGGGATGATTTTGTGAAGAGATAACTGTGTTTGATACAGGGATATATTTTCTAATTTTACAAGAAACAAAAGATATTTGCACAGCAGCAAAGTAACGATTAACACTTGAAATGTTATTCTTTACGTCAGTGTAGGTTGCTTTCATAGCACTGTATTGCAATTTATAATAATGATGTATAGCATGCATCATTGTTGTGAATGCACACCTTACAAGTGGCACTTTTGTGTGTGAATTGAAATTGCTCAATTGTAACTACAAACTATGATGTACAGTGTGTATGGTTACCAATGTCAGCCTTATTATGCAAAAAAATAGCAATGTTTTAGCTTTCAGGGATCTTTCCAATTAGGTTTCACTGGTTGTTTAATCAATTCAGCTTAAGGTAGAATAGCCGTACAAATTCAAACTTCAATGGAAAACAAAATGTGTAATTTATCTGTGGTTGGAACAGCGCATATTTCAGTGTTTGAACTCCCATGTCCTTAGTTTCAATTTCTTAGACTTTGGTTCCAGAGCAACTACATTCCCTTCATGTTCACAATTCCTCAATGTTTCTCCATGTGCTTCTCATTGCATAGCCTTGACTCAAATACAAAAATACAAAACCACACCTTCCATCAGCTTGTACTGTACATGCAATGAAATTGTGATCAATTGTACTATTATTGCACAAGAAACAACAGAATATTGCAAAATACACTGGATGTTTCCTCTTCTTGGAAAATAAATGATGCTTCTACCTGTTCACTTTTATTATTATAGTGTGCTGTAATATAATTAAATAACTTGCAAATTCGTGAGGATCTAGCCTGTTTTAAGGGAATACTAAGGTTAAAGAGTGAGGTACAATCATCCAAACTGGAGGAAAATCGCAAGTTTGTGTTAAAATTACTCTTTTAATGTGTTTAGAGTAAGAAACAGACCTTTTACAACATCCACAGCTTGTTACACACAATTCCTTCAAATAAAGATCACAAACCCCAAGATGTGCCTACAAATCTTTGTGGTGGAACTTACCATGCAAGTTTAGAAATCTTTCACCAAAAAATTCTCACACAACACCTTCTTTTGGCAAAAAAAAAAAAAAAAAGTTCTACAAGCAATCAGCAAGACAAATGATGTCCAGTTGTAAATGTTTTCGCGATAGGCATTTGTTTTACTCTTATAAATTAAGAATTGATGCTGCAGTATAGACAAAGAAATTCCTACACCTGCAGAGACCTGTAGGCTGTTCATGGCAATAATGTGCTTGATTCATGAATCCCTGGTTACAATGTATTCCGTACTTTTTTCTAATTTAACACAATAACTAGTATCACAAAAGGTAATTCATAGAAATATCATTTGTCAAACAACAATTTATTCAACAATTATTACCTGCAATCAATACAATTTTTAGTGTAAAGGCCACGGAGCCACAGGAATGAGATTGATTAAATACTCATGACACCTATCTAAAACCTGGTCCTGATGACAGATATAGTTTGTCAATTTTAAGTCAAATAAAAAAACAAAACATCACCATAAAAATACATAGCAGAATATGACAAAATAGATGATGGGATGGCCTATGACTTATTACTGCATGAAATCTAAAGTATAATATGGAGGATAACTTTCTAAAGCAAGTGACATAACACAATTTGTATTGAAATGGAAAGGAGAGTGAACTAGTGAGGCTATAGACATGGGTCCTATGCAGGGATCAAGAGCAGGAATCATCTGTTAACATTTCTTCTCCATGTTCCCGAGATAGGAGTCAACCTGCAAGAAAAAAGTGTTGCGATTAAAGGGGAGAGGCAAGACAGGACTAAAGCTTGTTACTCACATACCAATAAATCTCTAAACATCACTGGGGTCAAGGCTAAATGTATAGTCATTGTACATGTGTAGAAATTAAATGCAAGCTGAGGTGATAAAAGGAATAACAGCCCAAATATTACTTTAAAAGCTACAAAACTATCCCATCTACAGAGTACATTATGCACATAGTCATTAAGTTCTCACCCTGAAATTTTGAGTGGAATTACAAACAAAGTGAGTGCACAAGTTTCAGGCTTCCAGACTGATCAGCTCCACATCGAAGGTGAGAGTGGCGTTTGGTGGGATGATCCCTGGGTGCCCTTTGCTGCCATAGGCAAAGTCTGGTGAGCAAATCAGCTTTGCCCGCTGACCTACACTCATCTGTGAAGGGGATCGGGAAAAAATGTACTTATATTGCTGTTGCTATTAAATTAAGTCGTGCACAAAGCAGCTAGCATTTATAAGACAAACTGTATGATAACACGGGTATAATGTCTACTAATAAGCTATGTCCAGGTGACTCCCAGCTCCTCACCTGGGCTACTCCTTCTTCCCAACCACGAATAACCTCCTGGTGTCCAATCTTGAATTTGAACGGCTTCCCCCGGGACCTCGAAGAGTCAAACACTTTTCCATCTGCCAGTGTGCCTGATAAAAACCAAGAGAGACAGAGAAGCCAGTTAGCGATCAGCTTGGTTTGTTGGCGAGACCCACTTTCCTTTGCCAAGCAGCCTTCTAACGGTAACTGAGAGCTAGCTAGCGTTAGCATGTTAGCTAACGTTAGATGGCTGGCTGACTGACAGCAGCTACGGTCCCGTTAGCTCGACAGTCTCTCCAGTCCTTCTAAACACCTCAAATAATGATGGGTCCATTCAAATTATTGAGCAAATAGTACAAGCTAGGGAGAAATGTCCGGCTCTCACATCACCTTGGCTGATGTTAGCCGCACGACAACAACAAGCAATTTGTTGAACAGGGCATTGGAGGCTAGCTGAAATGCTAACCAGCCCAAACCGACCAACAACCAACCGCTGTTAGCTGATTTCTAGGTTCTACTTGGTCCACTATTTCACGCAAACAGCAGGCTTTCACGCCGCTAACAGCGAGCGTTACATGACGCGTTAAGTTAACGTTGGCTCAAACGAAAACATCAAGTTTTTCAGCTCCATTCAGTAACTTAGCCTCGGCATCAGTCCAGCCTCCACACTCACCGACATAGTGCACCACGACGCGCTGCCCCTTCTTCGGGAATGTCTGTCCTGAAAATAGAAAAAAGCGTGTGTAATAATGAAGCATGCACTCCTGTGAATGAAATAAAATATTACGCTGTTAAACAAAGCCGATTATTCCCACCGTCGCCCGGAGTTATGGTCTCAATTTCTACTCCCATTTTTCGCTCTTCAGGATCGTTCCTCTCAACTACCCTACAATGCGAGCGGAAGCAGGAGGCAGGGGCGGCCTGTTGCCGAGCGGGTGGGCATAGATGGGAAAAACCAAAACGCACCAATTGGCTATTGAGGCATTATTATATTTACAAAAACACAATAATTGCTGTCATGTTGGAAAACTAAACGTCAATCCAAACAAGCAATGGTTTTATAGCGTGTGTGACACTGCACCGCGGGGAAATGACAAGAAATGACAGATTAATTGAAAGCATTGTGAAGGTCTTCATGCCAACATCTGTTGTTAGCCTAATGTTTCGTTACTGAGTAATATGATTTTAGGGGCTTCTGTAGCCTTCTGCAAGCTGCCAGGAAAAACACAATTAGACTACTTGTCCTGTGGTGAGCAGGAAAAATCTATATAAAACCAACGATGGAGCAGTTTCATTTCAGGCGAGTAGGCTACTGTACAGTGCATGAGTTCAGTTTAAAAATAAACCATTAAAATAATGAATAGCTTTAATACTAAAATATAATATAAATAACGTACATTCATTAATATTAAAGAAAAAGCTACAATTCCTGAGAGCACGGAAGGATTAGTCAAATGGAGGGGACCTTGGACTATAGCCTCTCTTTAGAGTGATTGTTAACAGTTCTTGAAAGACACACAAAAGAAGCAAAATGACTACAAAGAGACTCAAAATTACTACAAAAAGACTCAACTACAGAGAGATGCAAAACAAAAACACTCAAAACTAGTACAGAAAGACTTAAAACGACTACAAAAAGATTCCAAATGACTACAGAGAGATGCAAAACAACTACAAATAGACTTAAAATTACTACATGAGATGTAAAACAACTACAAAGATACTAAAAACAACTACAAAAACCCTTAAAAGAACTACAGAAAGACTCAAAACAACTACAAAAAGACCTAAAATGACTACAGATGTCATGTCTGTGCCCAGGGGCCCATTGTCTGATAATCCATCTGTCTATCAGCCAATCAACAGATTTTTTTCTTAGACATTTTGACATGGCACAGCCTAAGGGCATAGTTTAAATAACAAAATGCCATATCCCATTCCACTTACAAGGCTCTGTTTTATGCATGCTGGTTCACTGATATGGAATCAACTGTACACATAAATGGAACAGATCCATCATTATTGTTAGTTACACCTGTGCTTTTCCTGTTATGACAAGTCAAAATGCCTGCAATGACAAAGGCCTAATAACGAAAAAGGGTGTGACAGGGTACCGATGCAGCCTTCAGTGTATCTCACAACAATTTGTTCATTCAGTAGGCTACATGCACAAACAACTCTATATGACCTAAGCCAAAACTGATTTCTCACCAATATGTCCATGAGTAAGACACTTAACCCCTAGTTGCTCCAGAGGGGTGCGACCTATGACATATACTGTATAGCAATTGTAAGTCGCTTTGGATAAAAGCATCAGCTAAAATTACGAAATGTAATGAATAAGTGAATTATCAGTGTTACTGACCAAATCAGCTTCCCTGAGGTTTATGAAAGCAACATTGTCTGCTCAGATACTTCCTGGTTAAATGATTATTATTGTTTGTTTTTTTTTTTTACTTGGGACTTGTTTTGTAGTTTAAATCATTATTTCTATCAAGTATTATTGTAACATTGTACTCATTAAGCTAATTGCTGAGATCTGGGAACGTTTCATGGGGGAAAATAACATGAGCTGTCAGGCGATCAAACAGTTGGTAAACAAGCCAACCATTTAAACAGGTTAAAACCACTTTATCTGGATGTAAAACTGAAAATTAGCATACATAAAATGTTTGAAAGTTTGAAACAACTGACCCACTTGCAGGCCAGGCCAAGACCTTCAACTACATGAAGTAATGAGAGCATCACATGTATCATGTCTGTACTTTATGTATGTATAATGTATCATCCATATGTATTTTACAGCCTTATTTTCGTGACACATCCATCAAACCAATATTTTAGCCAGTATTTTTAAACTGTGTTGCTTCCTGATGACAGCTGATGAAAATGTACTGAGAAATGACCCCTGACAAAAGTTATTTATTTGAGCAAGCACAGGTGCATAACATTTGCAGAGTGTGAATGCAAGCACAGGAAATTTACAAGAGTAGTGTTAAAAATAGAGAGCTCTTCATGCAACTTTCAAGCACGTATGGCATTTACAACAAGAGTAGGCTACTTACATTTTAGAAGCAACTGTTACTTCCAGTCACAAGGGCAGCAAAAGCATCCTTTCCAAAACAAACAACATTTTAGAAACAAATAATAAAATCAAATTAATCGGAACAATTGAAAAAGGACGGCTGTGAAGACATATGTGATGCAATTTACAAAAGTAAAAATTCTCAAAATACTGGTGGGAATATTTATGGGAAAATTATTCACAGCAAGAATACAGTCAAAATGAAATGGTCTAATCTGTAAAACATTTTTTACAGTGAAACATGTTCACTTACATTTTGTGTATTAAAAATATAATCCTCAACACTAGATAAGTGGTATTACACAGCTGTTCAGATTCAGCTGAAAGATCCAGAATCTGTTATTAGGGCCAGAAGTTTAATCACACTGAACTGGATTGTAACAGCAAACATCCATCCAGATGAAGTAAGTTAACATAAACATACACTACATGCAGGTAGAATTATAAATCGGGGAAAAAAGCTTAAAGCAATATTCCTTTTAATCCAGCAGTTTTCACAAATAATGTGGGAATAAAAAGAGAATCATAAATGTGAGATAAAAAGTGCATTTATCAAAATAAGTTCTGAACCTGGAACTGTAGAGGTGCTGGTAGTCTGAACGTTGGACAAGGCTAGGCCAGCTCTTTCCCTGTTTCCAGACTTTATGCTATGCTGTAGCTTTATATTTAGCACTCAGACATGAGAACTCTCATCAACAAATTCAAAAGGCCTACCTACCAACATGTCAAACTTTTTCTTAAAGGTGTCTGACTATACCCAAGACACTTTGGATCTCACATCTGACATGCTAGGGCCAGGTTCATTCTCAGAAAAACTTATATCCAGTGTATCTTCTCCAGCGTGCTGGTAAGGGCTGAGTCTCTGCTTATAACACTGAGGATTTACATTTGACTGGACAACTGATTTAGGCATGCTGTATTCTTCAGAAGGGCTCTTTGCTGCCTTTGAAAGGACAGATGACTTCAATGTGCTATTTGACATTGTGTTACAATGTGAAGTTGATATCACACCAGCATGGGTCTGCTGCAAAATTGTTTGCTGCTCTGCATTTTCTCTTGGGTCTGATGAGGCTGATGAAGATTCTGGGCTAGAATAAAAAAGAATTAAAAGAAAAATAACAGTAACTGCCATTTAATTCAAACATGTATGCATGTTAAACTTGTTTTAGTGGACATGTACAGTAATCTGATACATTGGTTATGTTTTGGAAAACGGCTATGATAATAAACTTAGTTATTATTATAACTACTTAATAGGCTACTTCCTTTTTTTTGCACAGATTAAACAAACAAGATTGAACATGTTAGGCTTTAGAGATGGTGGTAGGCGTATTTTTAAACTTTGGACAATGCCATGTTTGCAATTTCACCCTGTTTCTGGTCTTTAAGATAATCAATTGTTAATCTAATTATATCTAATTTAATATTCCCTTGACTTGTAGTGCAGTAGTAAGGCTAACATATGCAAACAAAACAATGATCCAAAGTTTTGGAAAATAGCTTCACAACTAGATATGATCAGGCTTCTATCTTAGATCTCGACCTCTGACTGTGAACTTAAATCTTTTTTTGGGGCAGTTACAGAGCAACATTATCATTCAGTAGGAGTCATGTCTCTGGACGCCTGATGAATGGAAGTCCAAAGTTCACTTTCTTTTAGCTCTGTCTTTGGTCACCACCAAATCAAGAGGGAAATACCTGACTCTTTAGCTGCTAAATGCTCCACTATGTTCACCAGTGTGTCCCTACCTGTGTCTCTCTGCTGCTTGGTGCTGAGCAGGTAGTTTGCATTGTGTTTTTAAGAGCTTTTTCAACGAAAACAGCTGCCTGCTCCAGCTAAAAACTACACTATGAGAATCAAGCTGAAACTCTAAAAAATCTCTGTAAAGCCAAGGGGAGCAGCAGATTCAGGTGATAATTCTCTGTAGGTTCATCACTACTAGTGACCCCTTTTCACATTGTTGTTACATTGTTGTTACATTTGTTATTTTAAAAACTCTTAAATACAGCAGCTTTAAAGATGACATGTCAGGAACAATTAGTGGCTTCCTCTCTGGAGAGGATAATTCACCCAAAAAGGCCACTTACTAGACTGTGGTCAGTTGTTCCCAGAGCAGCCTCTCATTGATTGGGTAGGAGCGAAAAAAGACCATTCCTATCAGCAGAAGTGCAATAGGAACTGGTGAGAACAGCACAATCAAAGCCGTCACCACTCCGTCACCATGGTTACATGCACCCGCTCTGTAGCCCACAAACCTGCAGAAAACAAAATGTGACACACTGACAGAAGTACACACATAACATAAAGTGAGTAGACGGATGATTGGCTCACTGTAATGTCATGGTTGAGATCCCAACAGACAGGCCTCCCGCCAGCTTGCTGCAGAAGGCATAACAGGAGAAAAACAGAGGCTCCAGGTCTTTGCAGGCGGGATGTCTCACAGCAAAATCCTCCACCACATCTGGGAGCATAGACCTGTAGCAGATACAGAACAAGCAGACACATCACATAATAAAACCACATGTCAATTTAGATGAGGTGAACTGACCAGTAAACAAAATAGATTGCTAGAATGTTAATCACTGGCCAGGGACAGGAAGAGGCGATGTGAATGATTCATGTGCACTGCATTCGGTTCTGACACTGATTAGATCTGACAGGGGTGTTGGAAAAGACTGAGAACTTTGTGTCCTATCTGAGAGCTGACTCACCAGGGTAGCAAAAATAAGGTCGCCACACTGAATCCCATCAGAATGCACATAGTCATGAAGACTGGCAGGTTACCGGGAACACAGGCAACTATAATCACTGCTGGGATGAAGAGCTGAGAGAGATGTAAACATGCCTCACAGGTAAGGAGGAGATTGAAGGTGTGGAATATTTACTCTTATCATTCAGTGAGTGTGATTTCTTACTGATAGTCCGATGAAAACTGTGGCCTTTTTTCCTATTCTCAGAAGAACTGTTTGCCACAGAGGGACTGCTATTGAGGCGGCAGTCTGTGGAAATATTGAGACAGTTTCATAAGAAATTCTAAATGTGTATTGTCTTTTAATCATGCACTTTGTCATATCCTTAGAAGGCTACTGAAATGTTGCATTTATACAGTAAATATATTGGTGAGCAGAATGTGTGATTCTAGTGAGTTGCATCTTACCAGAAGAACCAGTAGGAGGTGCTGGAACTGGGCTCCAAGCCCAGCTGCATGACTGCAAAAAAGTGCAAAATTACCCAAGGACATCTGAGATATGGGACGAAAAGTAAAAATGAATTATGCTTTGATAAACATGCATCACTTTTAAAAGCACAAGACCAAATAAAAAATGGAAAAGTGCAAAAATAATTATGCAATGATTATTATTTTATGAATGCCTCTGTGCTGAGTCAGAGTTGATTACTGTGAACTCAAACTATACCTGAAATGCAAGTGCACTGAACACAAAACCAAGCACCAGTCGTTGGTAAGGCATGTGACATATCAGCATCTTTAGCGAATTCAGATAGGACGGTCGTACTCTGTCATCAGAGCAGAGAGGGGCTAAAAGTAAAACCAAAATGAGATATCAAGGAAGGGCAGTGAAATACCAGAAATACACACAATTCACACTTGAGATGAATTTTAGCATAGCATTTGGCATACAAGGCTCTCATGAGCTTCCTATTGTAATGGAACAGAGTCATCTGAATTTGCCTGCCAGACCTATAAACTTCTTGTTGTAACATATGAGTCAGATTCTCTGATTGACATGCTGGCCGGTGACCATTGGGCACTTCTGAATGACTCACCCTTCTGCTCCTTCACTCCCAGGAAGAGAACCAGGCTGCAGAGGAAAAACAAGGCGCCCATGACCAGAGCTGAGGTCAGAAAAGCCTTTTGCTGGAGGCAAAAATACACCCATTGAACATCTAAAGTTAAATCAAGCACAATTATGCTGCCAGCAAATACAAGTAAACTGTCTTTTTTGCTTCCACTTGTATTGTTCTATTAGGCTATGTCATGTTCATACATTTAAGTTAGCCTGTAGCGTTATTCCTCTACAAAGTATTGTTTTATAGCATAATTACCAACACTTTCATGACTATTAATGATAATTTCAGCTTTTGGGTGTGGTGTATAACATATGTGCATTTGACGCATAACAGTTTAACATAGCACTGTAGCAGCTGGATAGATGATTAGTGACCTTTTAAGGGGAGAGCAGAGGGCAGCGGTTAGGTGGAGACTCGGACCCTACAGATGCCCTACACTTATCCTATAGAACTGTGCCCTTATATGGATTGGTGCCTTAGTTTGCAGACTCAGACCCTTATATGGTGTCTAACAGATGCCTAAACATGTCCTATATAAGCTGTGTTTTATGTACAGAGAGACAGAGTGGCCATCGGGCTGGGTCACTCTCCAAGCTGCTGCAGAGCTTGTAATTGATGCTGAACTCCTTGATGTAATAAACTTTTATGATCAAGAACAGTGTCAAGCGGATTTCTTCTCAACACATCATCGCAGCATTATTGTTCGGACACCACATGGGAAATACATAGGAAGCTGCTGCTAGAGACGGTTAGGTTATTAGCATAAGAACTGGGGAAAACACATAGACTGTATAAAAGGGTAAGCAGCTAGCCTGACTCTGTTTGTAGGTAACAAAATCAGCCTACCAGCACAAACAAGCTAGTTATAATGTGTTAATTAGTGGGTTCAACAGGTGCTGGTAGGTGGGTTTTATTACCTGTGGAGCTGGGCTAGCTCCAGTTCTCGTGCTAGGATAAGCTAATTTAATGTAAAGAAATAAGAATAGTATAAATATTCTCATCTCACCCTGGGCAAGAAAGTGAATATGATCTAAAATGCTAAAATTTTTATTTAGTCTGGTCTGATATGGTCTGAATCCCCCTTTATAACTTACCTAGTTTAAAATAATTGTAATGGTGCATGTGTTACAAAAACACTTAGGTTATCCTATTCTATTAAATCTAATCTGTCCCCGCAACACTGTAGTTGTGTAATAACAACAAAATCTGAGAACACACACACACACACATACACAAATGAACACACAACAATGCCGAGCTAAGATGTTGAGCTAAGAACACTAAATTACAGGGTAACAAGATATCCCTGGGACCATGTGGGTACAATGCCAAAGCAATGCTGCTAGACTGAAATGTGAGTGTTTCCCAGCTAGAGTGACGACTTTTCTTTTTTAACACTTTAAGTGCTGTATTTACTGTTTCTGGAAGAGATGCAGTATTTGGTAAAGATGTGCTTTGAGGTGTTTCATGGTCCAGATGTTGGCAGGCCTCTTGTTTTTCTGTGTTGTACACAGCTACAACTTGACCTTGAATTACCGAAGCCAACAGCATCGCCACCATCTCCACACTCATCCCTGCCAAAGAAGGACAGAGGGACAGAGAAGGGGACAAGGAGTGTGAGGGAAATCCTGGTCTACATATTGTTTGGCCTGACCTGCGAATAAGGATCTGAGATGTGGGTGTACGTGCTGGTAGGCTACTCTTACTGTAGGCTGTGGCAGAGTCTCTGTCCCTGTGATCTCCCCCCAGGAACATGTTGAGTGAGAGGTAAGGAACGTTGTAGCACTGTTAATGGACGACAGGGGAAAACTTAATGCCAAATGACACCACGTGTGCGGCGTGAAACCCAGTAGCCATGGTGACACAGCTTGGAGCAAAATGGCAGCAGCAATAGTGAGATGAGGAAGATGAAGAAACACGACTGTAGTGAAAGTTGATTTAGGCACACGATAAAGAAATTTGAATCAGCAGTAGTGGTAGGAGTACTCACAAACTTTACTTAACAAAAAGTACAAGTCCTGTATTCAAAATTATCCATGAAAGGTTAAAATGAAGGGCAACTGGACTTGGTTGAAGATACTCAACTTCTTCAGTTCTGACTGGCTGGTTGGGAAACTCAGCTATTTGACCTCTATGGGATTGTTGTCAAGATGCTCGATACCACTGGTTTGTGATGAGAGTTGTTATGATAGTTGGAGCCAACTGAGGCCAAGTCTGAACGACCATCGTTGGCATCCTCACCTGTGGCCAAAAGAAAGGACAGCATTGTAAGTGGGGGATAAGTGATGGCGTAGACCTCCTCCTCTGTTAAGCGACGGCTTCTGAACCAGGGTGTAAATGGCTTCCTTTACACCTCTTCCAAACCATCTGTCCTCTCTGTCTAAGATATGCACATGGTTGTCCATTAGATAGACTTTTTTTGTCCCTCATACGTCTTGGAGAATCTTCAACCAAGTCCAGTTGCACTTGATTTTAACCTTCCTTGGATAACTTTGATGTGGATGACTGACAACCTTCACAGACATGTATTCAAAAGTTTTAGGAAGATGTGCTTAAAGTATTGAAAGTACAATTACTTGATATATTATTCTATCTGATATTATTAGCTTGTTAATACTGATGCATTATGTGTAAGTAGCATTTTACTGTTAATACTTGAGGTGGAGCTAGTTTGAACTACTTTATATACTTGTAGCTAGTTCAGTCCAGTGGCCCCTCCAAAGAACCAAAACATAAATCGGAGGGATCTGAGATGATTAACAGGAAAGGAAAGAAAGAAAGAACAAAGTTATGAAAACTAATTAAGTTTTTGGACTTCTTTCTAATCTTTAACTTTTTGGTGAAATATTGCTGTTGCACCGCTAACACGTATTGAAATAAAACCATCTGAGAAGTTAAGAGGGGAACTGCTAACCACTTATAGACATCTGATACCGGTGACAAGGGGCCCCAAGTAGACACTGCTTTTTCGCAATTGTATTGCATTTTAAAAGTGTATCATGTTATTTTTAATATAAAATCTGAATCTGAAAAGTAACTGGAGCTGTCAGATAAATGTAGTGGAGTAAAAAGTACAATATTTTAGTTAAGGTGTAAATGAACATTTCCAGCACTGGGTACCAAATGGGGGAAATGAGCAAGAAGAGCCTGTAACACTTAACACTGACTTACACTCATGAGGGTCTCGAACAAGCAGGCTGCTGTGAGGAACCACAGCACACAGAGATCCTGAGACATTGAACCCTGTGGCACAAACCATAGCAGCAGATAGGACAGGACACCAAACGGAGTGGAAAGAACTAGCCTGGGAGATACACAGTGTTAGCTCTGTTGAATACGCGCCAGAGGATGCATCATAGCCTAATTCAAGATGAAGCGTGTTAAACATGTGGCCGCCAACCAACCATGGAGTTAGTTTGCCGATGGGTGTCCAGTTACTGCGGCTCACCAGATATCCAACCAGAGGGTCAGTCACAGCATCCCAGGCATGACTCACAAACAAAATCATGGAAACATAGAAGGCCTCCATCTGTGAAATACTAACTGAGATACTTTATTTTGAAATTAAGATAAGTACATATCAGTAAGGAATACAGATCAGTGGTCATTTTTGTAAGCCACTGTTTGTGAAGACATCTTTAACCATTACCTGCACAAGATCCAGAAGGAAAATCTGCATGGAAACACTTATAGCTATTCTGGTAATCTGATATGGGACCCCACCCACAGCATAACACATCTTCCTGGCCAGAGGAATCCCCCCCAACCCCTGTGAAGACCAGAGAGAAGAGCAGACAGGAAGGTGGAGGGAAATGTTTTTAATAAATAATAATACATTTATTTTTAATAATGTTGAGGTTTGTACAATTGTACAATTTTACAGGTAATTGTGACAGCACATCTTTTTTTTAAAGACAGCCTTTTTAAAACAATCAATCAATCAATTAATGAAGAAAATAATCAGCCAATTAATTCATAATAAAAATAATCATAGTCACAGTCTTATAAAAAATTGTTCAAAATTTGCTCCACCTCAACCAACAGTATAAATCCGTTTTTTGCATTAATGCATGAGTAGTAATTATCAAATAATATATAATAGTATAACAGTCAAAACGGTATTTTTCTTTCTATACTTTAAGTACATTTCCTGATAGTACTTCTTAAGGTATTAAGGTACTGCTTAAGGTAAATATTTTTACTTAAATAACATTTTAAAGACTTTTACTTGTGACAGAGTATCTGTACAGGGTGGTTTTAGTGCAGCCATTTGTTTGCAAACCAAACAAAATCAAACCATGGTGTATTACCTGGAAGAATAATAGGTGATGTGGATTCAAGTCCATGACCCCAATGTAAATTACAGCCAAATTTTACTTAATTTTATTTTTGTGAATCATCACTAAATGACTGAAAGTTAAATTTGACACACTGTTTTTAAAATGAAGTTTGTCATTATAGTAGTATTTAGGTTGTAGACACCTGTATGTGATTTTGACAGTTATTGTAAGGGTTTTGAGAACACCTCTTTGAGATTTTTCTGTTTTTCAGTTTTCGTGTTTTGTGTCACCTGCTCTCAAAATTGCTCTTGTTTCTAACAATGCGTCAAAAAAATCCAGAGAATTGTAGTAGTATTAGCATAATCTAGAGTCCACATCTGAGAGAGAATTACATGAAACAATAATGTTAGCTGAGGAATTGCAAACGACTAGTACAAAATCTACACTGAAAATATTAATATTTTACCTGTTTTGAATATGAGTGCAAAAAGAGAAACATATATTTCATTTGGAAAACTTACCGTCTGTTGACCTTCGCTGCATGAGTTTCTGTCTGCGGTCTGTTTTAATAACTGATTCTTTAATGTCTGGACTCGATTTGTAAAATTCTTAAGACAACTCATCCTTTGAAGTTAGGTAAGAATAACTCCACATGGGGACCGTCAGTTACAATCTTCCACTGCGTCTGTTAGACAACAATAGCTCTCCACCGACACACAGTTGTATTGAACACTGAAATCTGGTTGAACAACTCCTTCTTCTGTGAAAGTGAGGCACTCTTATCCAGCCCACCTGCTCACAGTAAGAATGAATGAACTGGCTCAACAACAAAGTTTATTATGTATGTGTTCCTTGAAATAATTAGATTTGTTAATGAGGAATATTAATCATAAATGTGCCTTTAATTGACTTTGGCTGCTTTTGCTTTTTATCATGTGAACTCTACAGATACGTTAAGATAAATAGATAGAAAGTCATGCATGTTTATCAAAGCATACTCTTTTTTTACATTTTGTCCCACATCTGTTTTATGGGAGGCCAGTTCCATCACATCCTGCTGGTTCTACTGGTAAGATGCCACTAACTAGAACCATACTATCTGCTCTTCTTGATGTTTATGATTTTCACTAGCTTTCTAGTAATTTCACCAAGTTCATGATTAAACAACAAGATACACATTGAAATACAAAGGTGTGAATATTTTCTCAAAAAAAAAAACAAAAAAAAAAAAAAGAGTTCCTACTATGAAAGGTCACTGTTTTCATTGGTAAGAAATCAGTGATATTCATACACTGATAGTACAGAACAAAGTGTCAGTTTGGACTGCTCTGACCTCTTGTGGAACAGCAGGGAAACTTAATCCTCCATCAAATGAACCTGTCGATCAGCAATTTCATGATCAGCAAAAGGAGGAATAGTCTCAAAACTTGACACATTAAATACCTTCATATGGACCTATAATATGGACCTATGTATCCAATTTATCACTGTTGGGTTAAACTCTAGAATAAACCACAGAGTACAAACCAAGATGCTTGCACCATTAACTCTTTAATGATGTCCATTTACGGACTCAGAATATGACCGGATGACACATGAGCCTTATGAGACACACACAAAAGAATATTTGAAAAGTAAAAATAACCAAAAAAAGGAAAGTTTTCTCGCTCTGTTTTCCAAATTTCAAATTTTGTAAAATAAAAATGAAAGACAACAAAAAATCCAGTCAAAACAAACAAGGGAACCAAATGAAACTTAATTACTTGGCAGACAAATTGCCTCCATCACTATATGTCATCACATCACATACCTCAGTTTACTACCAGTTTAATCACAGGATCCCATCACTCCATCTGTTATGCAACTTTGACAAAATTAAATTTATACTTGTGTTTTAAACTTATTGGCCATTTAACGCCATCCTATAAATTGGTGCTCTGATTTGCATTGTCCTTGTCATGACGGAGTCCATACAGCCATTTAATCACTCTTGCGTTTCTCTCAATGACAGAAACACCGTAGGGAACACGCCCTGCAGCATTGCCAGCATCCTCATCGTCTTCACTCTCTGCTCCGGAGCCTGCACACTCAGACCCTGGAGCACTCACACTGCGGAAACGGGCCATGGACACAATGTCAGAACTAGATTCAGTCAGCTCCTGCAGGTCTGCAGGGTCCAAACCACACAGGTTGAAGAAGCGCTCCAGCTCTGTCCCGGCTCGGGAGTACCGGTCGCTCATGTCCGATTTAGACCGGGTCAGAGAGGGGCGTTTTCTGGAACTGGAGGAAGATAAACGTGTAATTGCTGGGGAGGGAGGAGGGAAAACAGGGAGGCTGGGGGGATCAGGGACGGGGGTTCCAGTTGGAGGTGAGGGAGGATTGTCAGGTTTAGATGGAGCAACAACAGGGTTCAGAGGAGAAGGACCTGTTTTTGTTCTGGGGTGAAAGAGATGCAGGTGTGAAGTAGCCGGGCGGAGTGGAGACTGGGAATGTAAAGGTATGGGCTGGAGGGGCTGCCGGATATACTGAGGTAGTCTGCAGGGGGTCCTCCCAGGGCTGGCCTGAGGCATGACATCCACTCTGCGCACAGCCCCAGCAGCTGGAGACCCAGGTGAGCCAGGATTCTCTACCCTGGCCGGTCCAGAGGCTTTTAATCTCACTTTAGCTGGACTAGACCAGTCAGGACGGGGAGGTGGACATGGTCTCTCCTTTTTCTGTTGTGCCCCTGCAGGTGTGGGGCAAGGAGAGCTGTGTGAAGTGGGGACACGATCAGGAACTTTACTGGCCTCTGGAACAAAAGTAGCACTGGATTGGGGCCCATCATTCATACCACTGATCAGGTTACTCAGATGCTCCAAGTTGAATTGGACTTTCTCCTGCTTTGTTTTTGTTTGGGTTGGTGTCCTCCTGGTGGGCCGCAGAGCAGTGCCGGGGTTTAGCAGAGGCTTCCGCATGTCTGGGGGCCCGACTGGCTGCTGTTTAGCAAGAGCCACCGGACTCTTGACATATTTAGCCTTGTCTGCTTCCAGCCTTTCAACCGCACTCTGCTTTGGTCTGGTGGCTGCCGCCGGGAACCGCCGGAAATAGTCCGGCCCCACTGGCCCCTTGGGTCGTAAGCGTGGCGGCGTAGCAGCTACAGCTGTCCTCGCCGGTTGCCTCACTGAGGCTTGGAGAGTCTCCAAAGGCATTTTGTACAACTAGCAGTACCTGTTCGTATGCACTTCCTGTTTACAGCTTTCTCTTTGGCCACCTTGAAAAAAATATATACGGTTATCCTGTATTTATGCCTATAATGATCAGCCTCATCCCATTTTTGAAGAGATGTAACCTCAGCATCGCAGTTCAACTCTAGCTCCTTGACATTTGGACCTGTGGAAGAGAGACACATCCATCAGGAGAGCGTGTGAAGGAAAGACAGCTCAATAAAGAACTCAAATGGACAGTCAGTGAAAATATTTACCTTAAAAGACAAGCAAGCATCTCTTCGTCAGACACTTTTAGTACTCTTAACACAGACAAGACACAGCCAACTCCACAAAGACCCTACACCCATAAACCCTCGTCTTTCTTTAAGACCGCAGCCAATCACACTCTTACAATTACTCAGTCATCCATCTCTTGGCAGACAAACACACAATAAAACTGACACTTCATTTTCAGTCAGTAGAAGGCCTGTGAAGAGTGCCGGAAGTGTGTGTGTGTGTGTGTGTGTGAGGGGTGATGGGGAGGTGCATCAGGGCAGCTATCAACAACCTATTGTCTAGAGGCAATACAGAGCAGATCACACTCACACCAACAGCTGCTACGGGAACAATGACTCCTCTTTAAATAAAGCAGCGAGTTGCCATGGTTTGTAGTGGATTTCTTCCTGAAATACAAGCTTCTGTAGATTAAATCTAATCAAAACAAAGAGGCTCAACTTAGCATCTGTTAACCCATCCCTCTTTGTGTACAGTTAAAAGCCTCAGACTGCAGTGATGGTAATAGTAGCTTGATAAATACAGACACTCTTTCTACACTTTTGTATATACTTAAGATAATGTGTGTGTCTGCAATATGCAACTTGAACAATCTGCAACTGCCAGTCACATTCTCACGTATTTGCCATTCCTGTTTGAGCCAAGCCAAACTCCTGACAGAGCTGTTACATTTTCTGTACCTCCATTCTTACCTGCCTCAAAGTCTACAGATCTTTCCCCAACTTTACAAAAACAAAGTTGTCTCCCTTTACAAGTAAAGGCAACCAGCACCGTGATATATATGATTAAGGTGGCATTACAACCCAAAGAGGAATGTCAAGAGGTGGGTCAGACAAACAAAACTAGAGCCACTAATGTAGTGTTTATGAGTCAAGTGCTGGCTTGTTCTGTTGTTGAGAGTAAATGACAAACATGGAGCGAAGCCGGATGCCAAAGACAAATGAAACAGAAACATAAAGGGACAGGTAAACAAAGACAAAAGTCCCACATATACTCAAGGCCTACATACTAGTCTTGCCCTGACAAGCTCAGGCCTACTTGTATTGTAGGTGTAGGTTAGCTGTTTGTTTGTCTTTAGGCATTTCTACAGAAAGACTCACCTTGACGGTCTTGGTTGATCTCCTGATCCTCTCCTGGGTTTCTAGTTTTAGCCCCAGTGAACACAGTGCTGTCCTGCTGATGAGAATGTGTGAATGGGTTTGAAAGCAGCAAAAGACAAACCTGTTTGACAACTCATGTGTGCTCCTCCTGAGCCCGCCCACTCTCGCTGATTGGCCCAGTCACTCTCTTTCAAGGACATAAACTGGACTTCTTTGGTCACATGAGCCTGCCATTGTTTTCTGTTGCTTGCTTGATGATAAGCACTCTCTGTTTGCTGGTATCGTAATTCAGCTACAGTATGTGCTGACACACTTTCAGCAGTTCAAAGGTCTGTGCGGAGTGTGTGTCAAGTGTGGAATAAAGTACACAGTAAGACAAACAATTTAGACAAATTTAATATTACTATAAAATTGTCTCACACAATCAGAGAAACAGAAACTATCATTATGATCTCTTCCTTTTACCCGAAATAAAACAAGGAAAAACAGTGACCTACACCAAGTATATAAAAATAAATGACAATAGAGCCATAAAAGTGTTTCTTATTGACTTAAGACATGACTTTGCAGAATTTAGTTTGGCCTATACAACACACGCTACAAACTTCACCTCCAAAATTCACTCAAATTCTCCTTTGTGTCTTTAACAATCCTTTTGATTTTCAAAGCATAAAACTACCACAGTAAGAAGTCATTATACTCCATCCCATAATATTTGGCCATTTAGTATTCATAACTGTAACACATTTGCACATAGGAGCACCGGAAAATGGTTACAGTAGAGTTAAAAATAAGATGTATTTAATATTCCTTTTACAAAGCATGATGGAGGAATCTGCTGTCAGTTACTGGTCAAATGTGCCGCTGTAGGTTTGCATATGTAAATGACAAGTATTGTTAAAAAGCAGTAACAGTTCACTTCAGGGCCACGGCAGTTTGTGGTAGAAACTGCATCACTGCTGTGAGTCCTGTTAAAATATACTCCATACATAAATGTTACCAAATAATCACTCCACATTCATCACTAATCACATGATTCATACACCATTTTCTACACGGTAACATCTCAAAGTCAAACAATGAGAGGTCAATACCATAGAGTTAAAGTAGTGACTTCTCTGAGGTTTACTGTGCTTGCTAAGTAGTGTGTCAAGAACAATAGCTGTGGTCCGCTTTTGGAAAAGTCTGCACATGTGTGTTTGGATTTAACACTACACCACCATCATAAAACTGATAAACAGCAGAGTAATGAAGGGCCATTAGTTCTTCTTGTGCACCATAATTTAGAAAATAACATGCTGTGTTTTGATGTTGCTGGTTGTTAGGGGTTAGGAGATAGCACAGTTTTTATCTTTATCCTTCGCACCAAGACTTTGAGCTCGTCTCCGCCGTATGCTGCCTCTCAGTCCCCAGTCTCTCTGCACCTCCCTCTTCTCTTCTCCCTCTCTGTCTTTGCCCTCCTCAGGCTGCTGCTTTCGGAGCTGCGGGGGCAGAGGTATGGGCTGTCCCAGGAAGTATCCCTCTTCCTCTGAGTCAGAAGATGAAGTGCAGGTAGAACAGGAATCTTCATGTTTGTACTGGGCTGGCTGGGAGGTCAGTGAGGAGGCTTTGGCGGCGCCCCTGTTGTCCCTGTCTTTCTCGCCTCTCCGCTCCAGGGCGTCCAGCCGAGGCCGGTCGGGTCGCGATCGTTGGGAGTGCCTCTCTCCTCCCGGGTGTAGAGCAGGGTCGGAGGGGAAACGGCAGCGGCTCCAGCCTCGTCGCAGACTCCGCTGGTGATATGAGGATCCATCTGATTGGGAATAGGAATTGTGACAAAAACAAAATTAACTCGATTCCCAAGTTTCACATGATGTAATATTCAACTCTGTAAAGGCATTTTTCTTACCCAGCAGATCCATCTGTGGTGGGATGCCTTTCTGTAGATGTAACCTGCTTCCGAAACCTCCCTCCACCCCATCTTTTTCCTGCTGGTTTTCTTCGCCCTCTTGTAGCTCCTCCTCATTCTCATCTTCATCCTCGTCAACGGAGTAGCTGCTGCTGATTGGTTCTCTGAAGCTGACCCTCGCTGTGCCACTGCGAGACAGCGGGGGTGGAGAATCAGAGGGTTTGTCCTCTGGTGGGGGGAGGTTTGGTGGGGGTGACTCCTGGGGCATCAAGTCACGAGATTTAAGGGGCAAAGGAGGTGGGAGGGAGGATGGGTTATTGGGCAGGAGGGGAGGCGAGTCAAGTGAAGTGAGGTGGTTCACATGTGAGTTGTTCTGAGGAGGAAACACTGCAGGGAGAAAACAGAGTAAGGTGAGATTATACACTTATTATCGATACCACGTTATTTTAGGAGTAATTAATGATACCTTGCATAACTTGATTCGTCCTTTCCACCCAATTCCGGCAGTCTTTAGCAGTAGTGGTTCCTCTTGAACTAAGACCAGTTAGTCCAGTATTTCCATTTAGCTCTCCACCACCGACAGGAGGTTTGATACCACAGTCCCCTGGCAGTAAACTGTAATGTGGAAGGTCACTGGGCCAAGACGGACCCAAGCCATTTCCTAGATGAATGTGGGGAAGAGGTGAGTAGGAGCCTCTTGAATGAGGATGACCACTGGGTGAAGAAACTCCATTTTGAACTGGAGCAGTGCAGTGGACACCTGAGAAAAGGAGAGCAAATACATTTGTCTCCAAAATGTTTTATCATACAGGGTCATTTCTTGGCAATGCGACCTACATAACATCACCTTTGTTTTCCACTGCAGTATGAATGCAGTCTTTTGCAGGAGTTATAGGGAGTTTGATGCCCTCTATTGGCTGAAGTGGAGAACCGCACTGTTGGTGTTTCTCAGCTGTCCCACATGGTCTATGCTGAACTGGTCCAATCTGCAGCGCAGAGTCACAGGAGTCTGAGTTATTGGGGTCCTCGCCCAGCGAGCAGGATCTGGAGCAGAAGATGAGTCCCGCTCGAGGGAGGAAGGGAAGCCCCAGCAGAGGTAGTTTACAGCGGGCGCAGCAGAAACACGACTCCACAGCGTGCCAGTGTTGACCCTCGTATGTCATCTGGCCCTGGTCGATACCTGAGAGGAAATTATTTCATGATTGCACATCTCATATGTGTCAGCTGCTTTGTTTGCATTTTGTTGGATATTCCTAACTTCATCCATGCTGTCGGCATGTATAAAAATGTAAAATACAAGGAGGGAGACAGCTGGACTAAATATTACTGTATATGTATGTGTGAATAGTATGCAGGTTATTTTTAAAAACCTCTTTTGCAACCATGAGGGGGTAAAAGTCATTTTCATAGACTGATCTGACATGATCTTAAAAATTGCTTATTCGCAGTGCTCCCGGGTTATTAAATTGCTCTTACTTTTGTTGTGTAAAACAGATGATAATTTGATGTGTCTGTGTGCATGCTTAATCTTGTGCTGCTGTGGCCTTAACATTAAGCTAACAGCATTCATTTCAGACTTCAGACAAGCCAAGTTTTACAGATCTGATTACGAATCTTACTAAGTCCTACCAAGTAAGATTACTGTAGTGACTTCTACGTGAAAGTGTCAGGCACTTAATCAGACATTGGACCAACATGTAAAACTGGCAAAGCATTTACATAATGAGTTTCACATCTGGAAGAGACTTTATTTAAATTTACCACTGATTAAAATAAAATATTTCTCAATAACTAAGAAATGCGAACACTTAACTTTAAGTCCCCTTATTTAGCATTTATAAATAGTATATAAACATTTAATAAACAGTTTATACCACACTGTAATAAACAAATTATTAATAATAATATAGTAATAAAATAAATGTCTTCATAGGAGAAGTTGTAATTTTTGACAAATAGTAAACATAAAATGTCAGATTTTTAATTTTATGAACTATTTATTGAGTGTTTTATCTACTGCTTATAAAATGCTTAATAAGAGTAACTTAAAGTTAAGTGTTACCAAAGATTTAGAAGAAAATCTTTGTCTACTGCCTGATAATGGCTGTTAACTGTATAGAAACCCCAGTAAATGAGTTTCTTCAGATTTAATTCAGTACCTATGTGTTCTCCACAGGTATCGCAGTACTCTGCATACAGGGACTCGTAGCAGGAGCAGCAGTACGGTCGACTCTCTCTCATGATGTAACGCTGGCCGCCCAGCGCAGCCTCGCACTCAAAACAACAGAAATGCTTCATGTGCCAATATCTTCCTTCTGCCTCCGTACATTCATCTGCCAGAATAATCTGCGATTGAGAGACAACAGAAAAAGAGAGGGACACAGAGAGGTCACTCAGCACAGCAGTGATGATGTCATGGGTGCAGAAGTAAACAAATCACGTTCATAAAAATAAGTACTGAGAATTTGGGTTAACAAGATCGGAAATCTGTGCCCTGTTGTGGGCTCAGCCATCCTCTGGGTTTGACGAACTCTTGTGGGTCAGTCGTGCCAGATCCATTAGTACTATGTCAACTAATCTCTTAAGTCACACCGAGAGGCTATTCAAAAAAATATACCCCTCTATACACTGATAAGGCAAATTAAAAAAATATAGCAATGGTGAAACAGGGCCTGATGATTCATGTGAGGGTACATTAAAGGATCTTTCTACACAGAACTAAACCTCATGTCTTACACAACTCACTCACAACATTTTCTGATTTGTTCTTTTAAGGTGTTTTCAAAACATGTCGCCTTCAGTGGATACTTCACAGTAGAGAGAGAGAAAGAAAGGAAACATAGGGGTGGAAGATATTTTAACTGGGTACACTGAAGCTACACTTTGCTTTTAGAGACCTGCTGCATAACACTGCGGCTGATGGGAGTTTATTTGAAAGGTTGGGGATCTTGGTGAGACAGTCACCTCGTCGCAGGCCTGACAGCGGGGCTTGAGCCTCTCAGCGTGGTGCCGGCCGCAGTAGATCTGTCCGTCCTGGTAGAAGTAGATCAGATCGACCAGCAGCTCACTGCAGGAGGCACACTGGAAACACTGAGGGTGCCAGCAGCTGCCGTGTCCTGCCCGACTGGCAAACACGGCTATGTCTCCACCGCAGATCTGTCTACCACACTGGAAAAATAGATAGGTTGGGGTGGGGGCGTGGTGCAGAGGGAAGGAAGTTAGACGGTATATCCTTTAACAAATGGTGAACGCTGCAGGTCGAACAGCAATTTGCTTATACAGCCCTGTAATCGTTAAATCCCAGTGTGCTGGAGCCCCTGAGCTATGCCTGCATTTACTTGCACCTGAACTTCCTCCAGTCTAAAAAGAAAGTCATGTGCATGGCTCTGATGTGTTTTAATATGCTTTCACTTGCAGGTTGCACTTGTTGTTTTGAGCTTTATATTGGCCTGCTTCATTAGGGAATCATGAGGGAAATTATTTTAAACATAAAATAAAAATGTGGCTCTACCTGCTGGCAGATGGCTCCTGTCATAGTTACTGGGAAGAGTCTGACGACGCCCTTGCCCAAGTTTTCTCTTTTCCTCTGCTGACTGAACAAACGCAGCTCCTTCTTCTCCTCCTCGTCCAGAGAGTTACAGTACTGGGGCTGCAAGAAACACAAAGACATTCTTGTTGACGTATTAAAAACATTTCTAACCCTCATTTACCTCTTAGGTTCAGTACAATGAACTAAATCTGTCTGTTACAGTCAAGTTACTAATCTATAGACTATAATTTACAACAAATTCATTTTTATAGGATACGCCTCACGAGATGCATTATTTTGTTTTCAAGCAGGTCCTGATAAGTCATTACATTTTACTAACTATTGGGTGGTACATTAAAAATATAGAGAAACACAGAGGAAAAAAAAGAACAAAACCGTGAAAAACATGTTTATATCCATGTTTTTAATTCCCACTTGCTTTGGCAATGTAAATGTCTGTTTTGCATGCCAATAAAGCCCAATTGAATTGAAAATCCATATAACAGAATCATTGTCATGATATGAACTCATTAATTATAAAAGTGAACATTATAAGCAAGAGTTGCCTGTAGGTAGAAATAGGCAGAGCCATCTAACCTGTTGTCTTAGAACAGGCTGTCTTAGCAGAATAGACTGAGAATATTTAGGCTGGCTCCTCATTCTGCAGGGTGAGCAATGACAGAGTCAGAGGCTGTAAATTATTTTTAAAAACATATTACCAGTTTCTGTAAAAACTGAGGCAACAGAGAAGCAAAACTGATCTGGAGGGTCTTAATGAATTAATTGAGGTATGTGCTTCAAATAAACTCTGTTATTAAAACAAATGCATTACATAATATATGCACTTCCAGCAATAAGAGCCTCATTATATATTACAGTGATTGGTACGATACAGACATTTCAAAATAAATCACCATAAACAACTGCAAATGACACTTAAAGGTAAAAGACGGGATATAATAGTGGGTAGCCAAATAAAATGAGCCATGTGTCTTCTCTCTAGAAATAAGGTCTCTGGAAAACTCACGATGTCTTGCAAAACAAGCCCTGCCAGTAAGAAAGGTAACGGCATACAGGGATATGGATACCTAAACCTACAGTATGCACAAAGTGTCCAAATAATACATATGTGTGATGATTCTATTGGATATTGGTTCAAAACAAGACACTAATGCTTACCTACGTTAACATAAGTCACATTGTGTGTCATTCAAGCCACATGCAACACTTTCTACAGAGAGCCAGTACTGGCTCTGCAGTCTGTCTGTAACAAAACAAAATAAAGATAATCTCGACCTTGGGTTACCTAACAAATTGAGAGCAGTGCATCCTTATCAAGACAGCTGCGTCAGTCAGGCAACCAAGAGAGGAGAGACTGGCCTATCTACATACCTGTCATGACCTGGGGAAACCTTTGTCCTAGTACCCCTAAAATTCCTTCACAGCCACAACTGACTGACTAGATTTCCTGACATTAAAACAAATTTTTGGAAATATAAAGAACATCCAGAAGTGGCATCATCTGAGGATGTTGAAGGCTCAGAATCAATAATAACAAGGTATAATTGTATTGTGATTTATTATTTTATGATGAACTTAGCAGACTGAAGGAATGTATGTATTTGGCATGTTATCACTCTAATATAATACACCAGGAGGGAAGCCAAAGTCAGAGTCACAGCGATGTTACCTCACTGTCGTGGGCTGGAAGCTGGTGCAGCAGTTGTTTGATTCGGTATCTTTCCCCTGGACTGTTAACATAAGGCACCCTGTCCTCTGGCAAGCAGCTAAAATACTGGTATACCTGTATGTGGAGACAAGTGTGTTCACATAAAGGCAGTGACAGAGTACAGACAGCACTTTACTCATTTACAGAGATATTTATTCAACTGCAGTCATAAATCAAAAAGGCTGAATATTTTTTCCCATAGTTATCAAATTGTTTGAGTGTGTGTACGAACATGTCCAAGTGGAAGCGTGCATATGTAGCATTAATTTTTGTCTCGACTCTGTGTCTGCTCTGCACCCTGATTGTTACCTGTTCGGGCTTGAGCCCAGGTGGGACCCATGCATACTCCTCGGAGGCGCAGCCTGAGTCGTCGTCGGAGATGGAGTGTCTCTGGAAGTCTGACACTAGCTTTGTCATCATCTTTTCCAGCTGGCCCGGCACTGAGCGAACGGCATGCTCCTCTCGCACACACTTGCAGTGTACACAGATCTTCCTGTAGAGACAAGGGCAGCTATGGGCTTCATCCCTGGGGACTTTTTTACTGATTTACAACACAAGCCAAAGCTGATCAAATGTCAAATGTCAAATGTTTCAAGAAATATCACAGGTGGGTTCTCCGTGTGCATGAGGTACTAAGGCGCAAACTAGCGTTGATATTTAACTCAACACTTTGCATCAGTCTTTCTTTTATGGTATCATCTGACAAACAGAAATTTAAAGAAAATATATTAAAAAAAATTATTTAATTGCCAACAGGTTCAGTTGATTTTTTAACCAAGATAATACTGCTCCTAAAACAAACCCAAACAACAGGGTTCTTAAAGTACCAACTCTCTTTACATCACATTGATACGGACACTTCCACAGTTTTTGTGATTTAATTATTTATGAACACACTTTGCGTTGGAAACATTATTTCACAAACATTTCACAAACAAACAATGCAACAGTTGTCACACTGGGACACAAAAGCACAATCTACACATCATTGAAAACAAATTCAAAACTTCACACAACATTCAGAACTAAAAATCATCAAAGCAGTTTATGTATAGTGTGTAGTGTTTATGCATTAACTCAACTGGAGTCAACTCAGTCTCATCACAGATGTTATTTGGGTGTCAGACAATCCACTTAATACCCACCTTCCACCAACATCTCATCAGATCTGCATCAGGCCCAGCACATCCCAAACAAACTACTACCAAACAAGCAGGAAATGAGGTCACATACATAAGCCTGGCTCTAAGTCCCAGGGGAAATAGAGTGAGGGAAGTGAAGATGGGAGCAATAATCTCCCTCAGCCTCGTATTACACCTCATCTTGTCGTTTGACTCCTCATCACATTCAGTCTGGTGCAGGGTGTGCCTGTGTGTGGGACCGGTGGAGTCACATTAAAGTGACAGTGAGGCGTGGGTGTCACTTATGTGTGTGGATGCGACAATGTGGCCATATGCAGCGTGTATTGCATGCGTGTATCTCTGTTGCAATTGCATAACAGCCTGCCAGCTGGCACTTGTGGCTCAAGTTCACAAGGCACAAAGCTGCTTTATTCCAGAACCCCCCCCCACTCCCCCACAAACACAACCAAAAAGCTAGCACACAAACACAGCTGCTTGTAAACTGCATGAGAGCTCCTCTTCTAATCATCTAAAAATCTACCTTCTTTGAAATGTTAGCAGTCGCCAGTAATTGCTGCATGTCAGATTGAATGTGCTCCACTCTCCTTACCCAACACAAGTTAATTCTTAAGGAGTTGACAAAACAGAGAAAATAAATGTTATTATGTGATCCCAGTACTTTTTCTCAGGCCCAGACCAATATATGCTTGTAACATGCAGCTGTCCTGTACTGGCACCTTATATGGCCATGGTCGCCAAGCAGGTAGAACTAATATAAGTGTTAGTAAACACAGTAAGTCAGCTTAGGCTAAGCCATGTTGGCACGAATCTGACCCCAGCTGTATTTGTGTGTGTGTGTGTTAGCAAAAGGGGAGGGGTACCGTGACACACATGCCTATGTAAGAGGGTAGGAGGAAACAGCCGGGACCTGGCATGATGGGACAGATGGGAGATGCACCCGGTCTCACCCCACCAGTACTCTACCCCCACACCACCAGCCTCCACATGATAAAAGCATTTGTAACAGGGATTTAATCACCAGTGGGTGCCAACCCTCACATGCAACCTACCTTAATTGGGGCATGACTTAGTGCCAATTTGAATGATTTTGGGGTATGGAAGAATGCAGGAGAGTCTCAAATCATGTCTCTCTTTATGCAGGCTGTTTTTCTGATAGCTTGCTTTAAGGACAGAGTTTCACCAAAGACTGGTTTGTGTACATGCCAAAACATTTAAATATTCTTCTACATATACAACAGACAAAATACTGAATCCACAAAGGAGTAAATCAGCTCCGCCACAGTATAGTATACTGTAGAGTGATAGTATGACAAAGGGAATGCTTTTCCAAAACATTTTATTTCTTATTATTTTGCTAATGCAAGAGGTGGTTTAATCGTGACTTCAGTAAACTTCAAAGCAGCCCACTCTGCTGAAGGGTTTTGCAACACTGCAATTTACCATCCGCTGCTGTGTTGAGCCCTGTCCTGTTCAATTACTTGAGTTACAAGCCTCTGATGTAATACAACTAGGCTTTGTCCCCTCTGGCTACATGTATGTACCACATGTGGTGCTGAGGTCAAACAATTCCTAAAAAGTTCCAAATTAGGGAAAATCCACAAATATACTTTGATTGTCCAGATGGAAACTTATTGACCAAGAATAGCTACGACTATGACTAGGTAGTCGTCTCTTCACTGTTCAGTTTTGTAAATGGTAAAATATATGATTTACCAGCCTGCTGTAAAAAGAGAGCTGGTTTACAGAAATCCGTAACTATATTTAGATTTAATTTATCGTTCAAGTTATTTTTAAATCAGAATTGTAAAACATCTGCACTGTCCAACTCTTCAAATGTGCGCATTTTCTGCTGTTTTATATCACTGTAAATTGAATACCTTTGGGTTGACTGTTAGTCGAACAAAACAATTCATATGAAAACGTCACCTTGAGCATTGGGCATACACAAAACAATTAGTTGATAAAATAATTGTCAAATTAATTGAATTAAACTAACTGTGAGCTGCAGTCCCTGTAGTTCCCCAAATTTCATTGGGGCAGAACACCCAGGAGCTTGAGTGCAAGCCAAGGGTGTCAATAAATATGCATAGACAACTGTAATCAATTAAGGAATACTAAAATTCTGTACAACATCTGTGTGTAACCAAACTGTGTTGTCTGTAAAAATAAAAAACAAGAAATCCAAGGGAACTGCATTATACTGAATCTACAACTAGCTGTCTGTTAGACAGGAATCGACAATCTGCCTCAATTATTTCTTTAATGGACCAAAACATTGTTACTGAGACTGTTGGTACAGCTGGTGCTGTTAATGTTGTTGACGTTTACTGCTTGCGTGTGTGTGTGTGTGTATGTATGTTTACTGGATATAGATAATCCACTCACAGTAGATAATAAACTACATAATTAGATAATAATTAAATTAACTTTATCTGCCGGGAGTACAGCTCTGTCATGCTGACAGAGTATTAGATGGAAAAATTAAATAAAAAATAAACATTGTGAGGAGCTGAAATAAACTCATTTGAACTTGAGGAAATCTAACAGTCTTCATTAGCTTTGGCTGAAAAAGCTTCTTCTACATCTTTAAATGAAATAACCGTGAAGATAGCATATGGCCCTCTTGATACATTAAAGGCAGCCAACTGTGTGCAGAAGAGGTGAGAAAAGCACACTACTTGACGTCATGTTCTGCGCCTAAGGTCCACACAGATAAGTATACAAAACAACATAAAGTCAGCCTAAGAAACACAAGAATCATCATGTAAACACACACACAAAACCCTCCTGTCTACCCACATCTCCCAATGTAATGACTGTTTGAGTTTCTAGTCCCTCTAATGCCGATAGACAGTAAAATATGGTTTCTTCAGTACCTGCTGTAATCATGACAAATTAGTCCAGGTTGGCCTGTTGACGTCGTCCCTTCCAGACGTCTGTTCCACTGTAACTGTGAAGGTTTGCATCCAATAGGCGCCGACTACTGCCTGCCTGTCAGCCTGTCTCTCAGTAAGAGCCTGATATTCTATGGCAGCTCCTTTCCATGTGGTCATTTCTCTGTCTGCTCGGCTCTTTTCAATGTCCCCGCCACCCCCGACTCCCACCCTCCTCCGTGTTGACAGCGCGCTCAAACAAAAGGCTCCACACTGCAGAAAATACAAACACAGCTCTCAAGGTACACACATGCCCACGTGATTTTTAAATGTACTTAAAAAGATAAGCTAAGTACACATGCATTCACTTACACATTTCAATTACGCCCGCCAATTTACTCACGCTGCCTTTGAAGATATGAAACATCCAAGTGTAAAAGTATAAACTCGCTGTGCCTTTTCTCCTCAGACCAGACTGCTGTAGCTGATTCACGACAGATGGTTGTTGCTTTGATGCAGTTATTAATCATAGAAAAAAGTGGAGCAGATTTTGAGCCAATGAGCAATGCTGTGCTGTGCAGTATTTGTCATATTATGTGAACAAGATGGGCACGCATCACGACAAAGTGTCCCTGGTGAAATATCAAGCAGGCAGCGTGACTCTAAGTCTTAGCGAAGTCACGACAGATCTCTGAATTCAGGCCAGCTCATCTGACTTTGGTCAATCACTCAGGATGAATATCAGTAAGGATACTTCTGCTAGAGAAGACCCAGAATGCTTTGATTCTTCATTATTCATTTATCTTCTTTTATTTCTGTTTTTTCATTGTGTTTATGCCTCCTAAATTTAACTCCAACTCCAACATCAGAGTCAGGAACGCGGCTTAGCTCTGATAGCCACAATGTAGAGCTGACAGTTTATTAATTTGTCAATTGAAAAAAAAATATCTGCAATTATTTTGATATTGTTTCATTGAGTTTTAAAGGAAATATTCTCTGGTTCAAGCTTTTAAAATGTCAAGTTTTGTTTGATTTCTTTGTTCTGTATGATAGTAACCTGAATATATTTTTTGTTTTGGACTGTTGTCACCTAATCACCTTTTGCTATGGGAAATTGCACTATTTGCTTCCATGTTTTACAGACAAAATGATTCATCAATAATGAAAATAATCATTAGTTAACTTGCAGCTCTACCATAATGCAGTTTTTTAGACAACTAACTTTCACACAGCCAATCTAGACCACAGGTACATTGTAAGTCAGTATATAAATATAAAAGCTGGTGGGGAATCCAGTGAAGCAGCCATACCCATAATCCTCTGCTTTAAATATGTGCTGCTGGTGTAATAATCTATAACTGATGTTGACTGCAGTGGGGCCCAGTGAAGCCCTCCTTAGATCTGATTTTAAGAAACAGATGGGCCTTGTCCTATAACTCTCTGCCACTAATTAGCGACTGAGTAATTGCCGCATGGCCTCCCAGACTAATAGCAATGGCGACTTTGAACACTTTTGAAGCATGGTGGGGACCTGTGGGTCAAAAGTAACTCAATTCGCTCGCTGCTGGGCAGCGGAAGCACCATCTGCCCCCCAACTCAGTTTAAGGTCTGTCTGGGAAAGCTCAGGATGAAGATGGATCACTTCCCTCTCAGCGAGCGCCAGAAGCTAAGTCTGTGCTCACTTGGATGATCTTCTCCATCAGGGAAGGTGTGACTCTAAATTGGTTATTAAGGAAGATGCAATTAGCAAATGACTCTGGGGTCTTAAAACTGACCCCAATAAATCTCAATCATTGAATCACTTTCATGTTCGTCATTCTCCTGGATCAGCTAAGAGACTACAAACGTCTCAACAAGACATTTCCCTTTGTTACCTCCCCTAAATGTCATTTCAGATCTGTCCTCTAGCCAAATGCATAACTGAAAATTTTCCATAAATCACAGCATTATGTTAATTATACACAGATTAAACATACTGTAAATAGATCGATATGTACAGGGGCCAGACTTATACCAGAGTGTGGCTGTAGGTAGAGAGCAGCGCACATGTTTTAGATTACATCCTAACTTCTAAGCTTTTGTCTTGACCTGAATAGAGGGAACAGAACTGAAAAAAAGCTAAAAGATAAAATTACAGTCTTTTAGTTACATGAAGCACGCATTCCTGTGCCTTTTGTTTTATTCTCTCGATCACCGAGCCACAGTGAGCCTAAGCCATGCAGTGCCACATCTGGGACTGTGAATGCAGCCTTCATAACTAGAAATAAATCTTTTTCATTCATCTAGCTGTGCGTCAAACTTGGATGTTTGTACTCTACAGCCTTAGAATCTGGAACCACTAAACACAATGTACTTGGAAAAATGAAATTTATAATCTGGATCATACAGCTTCCTTGCAAGCGATTGACTCTTTGCTTCTTCTATAATTAATGAAATACAAATGTCACATTCGAAAAGGGAAAACAGCAGTGGAACAGAGAAAGGGGGAGACAGAGGGAGGTATGAAGTGGTCGAGAGGGTTACTATCGCGGCAGTAAGGCTTAATCGTATTAGAGTGATTGACAGGATTAGACTAACCAAGAGACCCAACCAGCTGGATATTCACTAAAGGACTAAAGGAGAGAGAGAAAAGAAAAGGGGGCTCAAATGAAAGCACGCAAAAACGTGCTTAATAGAATGAAATAAACTGCTGTTCAGGAGAGCGTTTGACAATAGTTAAAAACTCCTGAACAAATAGGTTAAGAAGTATGGAGGGTCACATATATTTAAAGTGGCTTGTGTCTCAATTTAAAACGTAGGAATTGCAAGAAGTCTTTTTGCTTCACAAACTCCGCCAATCTCTAAGCACAATATACATCCTATGACACGCTCATCCTTTTGCTGAGTGGAGCTTGCCTTGTGTCCATAAAAACCTGTCCCAGGTGAACACTCAGTTGATGCTGCGCTAAAGAAAATGATCTGCTGTTTCAAGCAACACAATGCTTTTCACCTTGAAAGCCCCCTGGTGTGTGAATACACCATATGGCCCTATTTTCAGTATAGAAAATGACAAATACTGCAATGACATAAGAATGGGTCTTAAGTTTAAATTGCCGGACCGCAAAGATACAGCACTTGTTAACTGATCGGTAATCCTGCTGCTCTGCAGTGCTTCTGTTTACCCATGAAGATAGAGTCAACTCAAACTAAATGCAGCTGCTTCTGTTGCAGATGTCAGGGCTTAATGGCACTCACTAGCTCTGATTCTTTATGACCCCGGAGTCAGCAAGGCTGATTGGCTGTGTGACTATCATGTGGTGCCCTGAGTGGGTCATGTTTGTTGTCTTTTAATGTATCAATCTGCACGCATTGGGGGTGGTGATGGTGTAGTGGATTAGACACATGCCTTTGGTGTGAGAGACCAGGGTTCAATTCCCACTGTGACACACCAATTCACCAATGTGTCCCTGAGCAGGACACTTAACCCCTAGTTGCTCAAGAGGCCTTCAACCTCTGACATACATATAGCAATTGTAAGTTGCTATGGATAAAAGTGTCAGATAAATAAATAAATGTAATTGTGTACACAGATCCCAGTTAAGCTGATTTCCGTATATAGCAATGTTATTGTCTTTCCTAAGGCATATCGAAACGCACACAGTTTGACTTCAGAACTATCGATTCTTACACATGTATATCTACTCATTACACTTTTATGTACACCCATAAAACAAAATATGTCTTTACAGTATGTCTGGTTAATAAATCAGAAGCAGTCAAATTTCGTCTGTGCTGATAGCTGCAAACACCATATCTGACAGCCAATGAAATAAAATGTCTCTGCTGGGGGGATGTTAACTGTCTTCATGTTATTAGAAATATTGGTAATATATATAATAGCTGCTGTTTAGAAGAATACAGTTTGAATAAAAGTTCTTCTGTTTCTGTGCACAAAATTACATTCAAATTGTTAGGGTGTCATGTATTTTGTTAAAAGCCTTCATTTTAGTTAGTTGGTTATTATCTGAGATTGTACAAGATCCAAAAAGCAGCAGGAGAGAGTGTAACTCGACCAAAAGTGAATACAAAGTATGAGGCAAACATTTCCTGCTAAGCCAACAGGCAGCGCTGACAATGTTTAAGAGCCCTATGGTTCATACCTCCAGCCATGGACACGGAAGCCGGGGCACTGGTCTCCACAGCGCATACAGGGCTGCCCTCTGTCTGGGTCCTCTTCCTCCTGCTGAAAACACAAACTCACTTCAGCTTACATTATTTCCCATGGAGCACTATTCATACCGTTTGGCACAAGACAGTTTAAAACAACAGAGTTGTCACGTACTTTGCTAGACATGGCTGCAGAAACATCAACATTATGAGTGAGTGAGTATTGTTTCCACTGAAGCCACAAACAGAATGCACTTAGAGTCAGTCGCTTCAGCTTTTAAATCAGTGGTGTTTGGAGCGGACAATGAGCTATATATAGATTTCCTATGTATACTTAATGACATCAGTTTATGAAAATCCTGTGTGCTTGAACTGGCAGAGATATAAACGATTGGAATGACTGCACAGTATCATTTGTATAGATATACTGTATGTTGTATTACACACAGCTTGTGAGTGACAGTATATAAAATCACAGCACTGGGGGTTGGTCTGAATACACCCGTGTTCCTTAAATATGTTTTCATGAATATACATGATTTTCTTATAGCTGAACGTTGAGTTCAGTAATCTCTCCTGCAACACTGGAGCTCCTGTTGTCAGTGCAATAAGGAATGAAGAGTGAATCTTGCAGTGGGTGTAAGCTGTAGCTGCCTACAGACACAAAAACACCTGTAAGTGATATCCAGAATTTGACATAATTAGCGGCGAGGTAAACCTGTTTGCTTGTGACCAGCAGCCAGAGTTATTCAGCTGTGAGTTTGAGGAAAATTTTATGCTGTAGGTTTTGTAAGTGATGGGACATATAATATAACGAATAATCAGGGAAGTCTCATTTCAAAAATGCCTTATACCGAAAGTGCTGAGCCATGGATTCTGACTTAGCCAACAGCATCTGAACTGCTTAGCATTAAATTGTCTCATATCTTGCTTCTGATTCAGTTCCTGCAGCCCAGCGTGTGTGTGTGTGTGTGCGTGTGTGTGTGCATGAAGACTACAGTCTGCAGACACAGGCCTCTTTTTAGAGATGAGAGGAAGGAAGCAGACACAGGATAAGAGCTGCACCCTTTCCCTCTCCATATAGTCACTTTGTCTCCACTTTCTTTTTCTCTGATGCCTTAATTCTAGGCCACCTCTCCTATCTTCTGCGGTAAGAACTAAACCTTGACAGAGAAAATACATCTGTATTTTTTAGCTCTTTATCAGCTATTTTATTTCTCCACTGAAGGGATTTTGTCAAAAAGAGCAAGACCCCATGATTGCTGCCATTTTGGCTAGGCTGTCAAAATAGACAAAACTTAACTTACTTTCAAACAAAGACACAATGTTTTCTCTCCTTACACATGAACAGACTGCACATAAAGATGCACGTGCACAGACGCTGGAGAGTTTAACGAGCAAAGCAAGGCAAGGTACCTGTGCATACCTGCTCAGCTCCCAACCACACACACCTCATGAGGACAACCGCTCTAACCACTAAACCATCAGTATTCATGCCAAGCCTGTTTTCCCATGCAGAGTTATTCTTGAACAAAATCAAGAACTGCAATGGATTACTTTAACACTGTGTTTGCTTAGCTTATCTCACTGATATCTGAGGGCTGTTGTATGGGTATGGTAAGTGCTTTACTGATGCATTGAGAAACCGCAGATACTGTAAATGAACTGGGGGCAATTAGCAGTTTGCTCTCTCTTGTACTTTTGAACAAAAGATCATGTTTGTGTGTTTTGAAAATTAGAAATTATTCAATTTGAGTAGTTTTGTACGTGGTTCTGGTGCTATTTGCACTGATTATTGTATCCAGTTCTCTAGGAACATGAACTAGTTAGTCAAGAATAGTCTCACATGATGGTGAACTATAATTTACATGCCATTTTAGATGCATCACTGTGTGTTGTATGCACTGGGATCTGTCTTGCTTCAAGCTGCCTTGTTAATCACCACTTTGATTCACTTTTGATTGTTGTTAACAGAGCCAGGTATGAGAGGTGACAAGATGGGCTAAATGAAGCGAACAGGTGATTTCTGGGTGACTGAACCTTTCAGTTGTTATTTTCCTTAGGTGAGGAGTTCCTGAGGTATCAAGGCATAGACTACAAAATGCCCGTTCATTTCATACTGCTGTAGGGCTTACACTCCTAAATATTACATTTAGTAAGATTACACAGAATGAAAGTAAATAGCTGCAGGATAAAAACACTTCTGGAAACTTTAGCTGACCTTAAAGTGATAACAATTCATGATACTACAGGGTGTTACTGACTTAACATTCATAGAGAGAAGAAATTACACTTTCTATATTCATATTTTTAGTGTCACTTTTTATGCACTCTTTGATCCACTATTTTTAAGTGAAGCCTAACTTTTTTAGTGCAGTTCACAAACATCTACGCCTAATCTTAACTGGACAATTCTGGGGATTGGGCTCAGCATTAACTTCTTTACAACATAATTTATGAACAGAAAAAATATCCAGAAATTATGTTTTTATTCTCTTTCTTGGTAAAACACATTTAATAAGAGATTCCAGGCTAGCTGATGCTGACGACTTGTTGCCTCTGGACTTAATCTGGTGGTGATCTTAGAGAGGAGGTCTGCTTAAACATAACCTCTCGACCCCAACAGCTTACAATGTATGAAGAGCCACCCCCACAGTTCTGAACCACTTAACTTAAAGATGGCTATGTAACACATGACATATTTATAGACATATTTTCGGTATTAGGGGTGGACATGATATTAGACGTATAAATGAGGGTTTGCTGCAGGTTAGGGTAATCTTATATAGTTAGATTTCAGATGACTAAAGAAAATCTTACCAATAAATTAAGATAGTGAGTTAAGTGAGTAAATTTGAAAACACCCACCTCAGGCCACTGAGCTTAATTTTCTGATTGGAAAACAAAGAAGTTCTTCTGAGAGTAATATTATTTGTCTGATGTATCATGACAGCCCACCGACAATGCTGAACATCATAGCATGGACGCTCACTCAATTAAAGACAGAGAGTAATTAAGAGTTAAGCACGGACACAATAATGACATAATGAATAATGACGGATTAGGAATCCTAAGAAAAGCCTTTAAATTTACTTGAAATGTTTAGTCACATTATGTGCAAACAGAAGACAAAAGAACATCCTAGAGAGTTTTCACAATGCTCAGCACAACTTTGACAAGGTCACACTCCATTCAATTAGATTAATTTTAAAAAACAAAATAACCAGGATATCTGGAGGGCATATCTGTAAGCATACCTAAATATGCATAACAATCTGTCAACTTGGTTTTAATTAACACATCATGTGCTCATAGATTATGAGATGGAAAAAACAGAGGTTAATTTAAATAGGCAGTTACTTTTACTTCACTCCTTAATGATTGTATTTTGATGAAAACAGATAGGACAGTCTTTCAGCCTTGAACTTTAGCCGATGCAAGTTAGTTTCACGTTTCCTTATCATGATGACATTGTCCTACACGTCAAGGCTACACAGACTCGTGTGTTTCATTTCTGTTCTCCGCAGAAGATAATGTGTCAAGTTTGTGGCCCAACAATGATGTTTGCCTATTGTGCTGCAAGTGAAGGATGTGATGGGAGCGGTGGTAGGAAGTTTCTTCCAAACTAAGCGTGGGTAAAGTAAATAATACATTCAGAATTTCACGTCAGCTCACATGCTCACACTCACACCGGCGTCAGACATTTCATATCAGCTCCTTTGTTTTCACTAAGTTGGTATAAGGTTTAATCACATGGTGCTGCATTGGTTTGCTTGAACCCTTTCTTGCTACCAAGTAACAGTGTAACCAGGTAAGGGACAGACTGAATGTCTGCCAGCTTTGTTATATGACATCAGAAGGCAACTGCATTGGTTCAGTCAGGAATTACTTACAATAAAATAAGAGTGTGGATAATTAATACACCTATATTGTGTCATTAAGCCTGTACTAAATGCTAAATGAGTGAAACCTAAAGAGTGTATTAACCAAAATAAGAGAGATGAATGAGACAGAAGACAGTGATTGCCATTTAGGTATTCCTCTCCTCAGTGTTGTGGTTGTGCAGGAGTTAAACATTAAAACGAACGGGTCAGAGGTCGGGGGCCTTTGCTGCTTTGGCATGCTGAGTGGACGCACCTCTCCTAACTGGACAGGATCAAACAGACAGCATGCAGGCCAGGCCAGCCGTCACCACGCTCCCACCACAGCTCTGTGGCACAACACTTCTTGCTGCTCTAATGGTTTTTGCATCGCTGCTTCCTGCTCCCGAGGTCAACTGAAACAACACTGTTTAACAACTGGATGGGTTTACCAAATACAAGTGCCATTGTGAGGTTCAAACAGACACTTTTTCTGTGACAGCGCTGTGTCAGCAGTTACTTTATGTAACCAAGAGTTCTTTTGAAATGATGAGAAACTTTTGACTTGTTATAGTAGGAAAAGCATAGGTGTTACTAATAACATAAACAAAGGTTCTGTTCAAAAACAATAGCTTCAACATCTTGAATCATAAAGTATGTTTTCATTCTGTACACCTTTGCATCTATTAAACATGCATAAGATTAATATTTTTAGAAGTATATGATCTGAGATACACGAATGGAAGATCATTAGCTTTATATTGAGCCCAATATTGCTCTGGGCTTGTCCTCCATATTGTATAATCTTCTATTCTCAAATTGTGTATTATAGTATAATTTATAATGCAGCCTAAATCTAAAAGCTGTTGTGGAAATATAAGTTATAACTGCCTTGTGGTAGAGCAAAGGTAGTAGGAAGCATATGGTATTCAGTGTTGTCGTATTTATGCTCTAACCAGTGAAAATTAACGATAGGTGATATTGACAACATTACATTTAATTTGGGTACAAAAATAATAATATTATTATATATGCTGTAATAATATATCAAATACACATAATTATATTACTTAGTGCCGCTGGAAATGGAAGACATTTAATATGTATCAAATCCCAGATGATATCTAATCTTATAATATCATAGACTGCAGGTCAATCTTTTCCCGGCTCTGATAATCTACAGATAATTTTAGATTCAACTATAGTGTTTAAGACACACTTTGCAACATCATCTAACATCTCTGTTGTAACATGATTCAAAATTCACTTTTCTAGAGCTGATGTAATTGAGTGTTGCATAAAATATTGATGATATTCATTAATACTTGAGTGTTGTTGTATGGGTCTGGTGTCCTGGGTGTTTAACTATTGTTAAAGAGCTTACACAAAGGATGTGTTACATGTAAATTGCAGGATCTGTAGGCTATGAAATACTAACACATTTTAAATACAAACTTACAAACACAGAATCAAGCTAAATTCAGAAAGGGTATTATTGTCTGGTTATCTATTAGACTGATCCGCTTTGAATGTGAAGTTTACAACAAGTAATTGGGCATGACTGTAGTTGGACTGACAGTCACTGTCTGGATGTAGTCCAAGTGTGCTGCATAGCCAGATGTTTCATGGCCACACAGCTGTTTGTCTGCCCCGAAAACAAGCTCCACAATTCCAACAAAGCATAATTTAAGAGCATCAATTGCTTGTCTTTGCATCTTAGTAATGAAAAACGGACACAGGTAATAAACATATTCAAGTTACAGCTACCACATCCCAACCTGCTCAGGTAAGACCTATGACGTAGTCTAACCCCTCCTGACGGTACCTGGGGCGCCTGAGAGGACTCAACAAACAAAGCACGAAGGACTTTCTGGTACGCAGTGTAATAATATATCACAATAGGATTTATTACAAGTGGAGGAAAAGAGGGGGTAGATTTTTACCAGACAAAGTATTTACAGACACAAAAGCCAGGTGAAGGTGGGACAAAATTCTGCTTGGGCTGTTTTCTGTGTTGAACTTGAATAGCCTAATTACACAAGTTCATTTCAAGGCTACTAATACAGTGAAAGGCTCAACGCCGTACACATATTTCGAAAAGGTGTTCAAAGAAGATGGTATTACATTAAAAGTTTACCGAGTGTTAAGTGAGTTGTGAAAGTCATTAAGAAGTGTATTTTTTTTTAAATAGACTTACCGAGCGGTTCGACCGCCGCTTTTTTGATCCGCGCAGAAACATGATGTTGGTTGGATGTTAAAGAAGACAAAGCGTTTTCCAGGGAACAAACGGAGGGAAGAAACGCCGAGGTCTAAATATTTTAAGTCACACCGTCTGTCTTAAACTACATGATGTCCCCCTCAGACTGCCACAGACTCCTCCTTCCGCCTCAGCTAACTACTTTGGCAACTGACAAGCTAACCTAACTGAAAAAGTTGACTTCCGGTGGAGCTTTCAGCGTAAAAAAACCCCATTAACACCTATGTTTGATATTTCCTGAGCAGAGACAAAATAAAAACCAAATTAAGAAACACACTTAAACAAACAATTATTTTAATGGTCAAGATATGACAAATTATTTTAATTCAAACTGATAAACGTCTACTCTTTTATCTTGAAGGTGTGTGCGCTTGACCGACATCCTCACAGTATCTTGCTAACTTGACGAAGCTCCAACTTTACCTCCCGCGTCCACAGACCTGGACCTGGACACAGGCGATCCCACAGTTTGCCCTATGTTTCACCCAGGCTACAAGGAAGTTACATACAAACCCTATTTTATAAATCCCTCCGATAAATTCAGACCATGTTTAGTCTTTCTTTATCCATCCGCAGTGTCTGGAAACATTCCGATTTATTCCTAAATAAATATTTTGACGAGGAGATATGAACACAGCTGTGTTTGGGGGAAAGTTTTTATTACACTCTGGTTGCTACAGCAGCAGCAGCAGCATGGGGAATTAGTTTGAAATCAGTCAGTATGAGCCCAAACAAAGGATTATCATTCCGCTGCAGGTCTCAAAAATGAAATAGGTGGGCCTAACATTTTAAAGGCAGCATCGGAAAGTCGGAAAGGATTTTCATTAATTCACTGTAAGCTCAAAATGAAAAGGTGGGAGGGGGACAGGATGCATATGAGTGTGCAATAGACAATTTTCAGATGAGATTAGAGATCACAGATGCAAGCTGCACCAGGTCAGTGAAAATGATGGCAGAGTGTGAAAACATAGTGGTTCTGATAATATCTGAACACCAACAACTTGATGAGACACTGGAGCACGCATCATGATAGCTATGTTCATGTTTTTGCAATGTTAACTCCTACTAACTCTTACTCCCTGAGCAGAGCGGGAAGGAACCCTTTCATTTAGCAATTCATTTCAGATACTGACAGTCTGGTTCCATCTAGTGGCAATCTGTGAGAGCTTAAATACAGTATATCTCATAACATGTGCAGTCAAATGAAGTTCTTGTTGAATAAAGCTGTTATTAAATAGTAATGTTAGTACATGTAGTTATGTAGTAAGATTAGTGTACAATATAAGCCACAAATACAGATTTTCTTTGAAGTAACAATGGCTTTTATTTCCCAAACAAGGCTGCTTTGAATTTTGACATTACAAACTGCAGACTGTTGTAAAGCATGTTAGAAAAAATAATAAAGATAAGGTGATATTTTACTTGAACAAATAACAACCAAAGGGTAGAGGAAACAGTTACAGGAAGTACTCAAATTGCGATATTCACATCATAAAATTCCAAAACAATGTCATTTTTCTTTAGAAATGGATTTTTCTTTATCTGTCTCATCAAAAGAGAACATGTACTTAAAAAAACATTAACTTTACTGTACTCATGGACTGTATAAATGTCAACAGCAAAATATTCTGCACCTTAAAAGTGTGTAACAAATGCATAAAGGAAAAAAACCTGAGCAAAGTAGATGTGTGAAACTGGAGGATGACACTGTAATTTAAATAATAAACATGTTTGATGGTTAATGGAGGTGCAGACTAAAATCTGACTAGTACAAAAACAGTGACTACTTCAAATGTTTAGGAGTCAGGAATAAAAATGAATAAGATGAAGGAACTGGTTATTTTGAATGAGACGTTAAGGCACTGTAACACACAGGGAGCACTCTAAAGAACAGTGATTAAAGCAGCTACAAGGACATTTTAACTGGTTATGAAACAGTCTTAATTTAATACTGATGCCTCTATAAGACGTACATAAACAAACGAGAACATCAGCGGGAAGAGTGGCTATTTCTATATAGTTATAGCTATAGCTATATAGAAATAGCTAATCTTACCAGAGCCTTATATCAAAACTAGTGTCCACTGTAAACTGAAAAGAAGACGATGCATTTTGATTTTTTTGATTCTGACTCGAGAGGTCGCACCCAAGATGTTTTATTGAGAAGAAGAGCGATCGCAATAGCTTTCTGAAACGTCTATTGTCTCACTCCAGTCTACGGCAAATTGTTATACAAGGTAACATTTTATGATGGCCTTGCTGCTGGGCTATATCTTGTTGTTGGCTTATACTGAAGAAATAACATTACTAGGGAATGCTTTACCCGCGACCCTGTACACAGGATAAGCGGTTGACGATGGATGGATGGATGGATGGATGGATGGGAATGCTTTAGCTTTCGTAACAAAATTGCACAACCAAATGGCTTATGCTGGCCACACACTAGAGGATAATTCGGCCGATTGGGTGGGCATTCCCGAGCAGAGTCTGGTCAGAACCAATTATCATCAGTTCATCCACTGTTTTATTTTTATTTTTTTTGTTTTCCTGTGCAAAACATAGCACACACAAGTGCAGCTAGCTGACGACGACAGTCTGCCTTCACGTTTGTTTATGTCTGAAGTCACGTTTGATCAAGAAAGTTTCTGTGAGTGTGTGTGATCCTGTGTCTTGACTGAATCGTCGTGTGTGTGCGTTCTTAAGATTAAAATATCGATTAATTATGTTGTTATGTTTGTGGTATCCCACATTTTAAAAATCAGTTAAGATTTGAAAATCCTCTAGTGTGCACCAGGCATTACATGAGGCCTAGGTGTATGAACGGTACAAAAACAACTTTTTTTAACCATGGTCATATTAGTTATTATTCTTAAATATCCACATATACATATTACCTCATCGCTATGCACCCTGCAAACAGCTGTGTTCAAAAAAGAAAAAACATCTAAATTTGTTACTTATTTCTTTCACTCACTTCCAAAACAAATGTATGCGCTTGCCAGATCAACATCTTTATGACTGGAGGTGGCGGTGCTCATGTGAAATACAGTCTTCACTCTGGGAAAAACACTACTGCATTTGTCCACAGGGGACACTCAAATTAGCAAATGAAAATTCCTTGTAGTAGCTTTAAATAACAGAGAAAGACACGTTTGGCCAGCTAATAAAAACTGAACATACAGAAAACACACTCCAGAAAAGCATAATTATCATGTTAAACAATTCCTAAAGCACCCATTCATGTGTCAGTTACTTAAAAAACCCAAATGATACAGTTACTACTTATTACAGCAGTCCATTAACAGTAGACATGTGTTAGACAAGCTGCTTGAGGACACCAGCCACTGCCTATTATTTGCTAATTTCCCTTATTAAATCAGTGGTATATTGAGGCTGGAGTTGTGAGGGGAATTCTTCATGTAGTAGACATTTTTTTGTCTGACATGCAGGCATAGATGTGCAGTACAGTACCACTCAGGCTACGTCATACTCCTCTCAAGCACGGCCCTAAATAAATCTCTTGTCTGTTCACACCATACAGTGGCATTGATTAAACTGTGACCTGTTCATTTTTACTGTCCATCATCCCCTCTTTGATCCACTCTTCCGTTAACTTCTGCACAAATTCCTCTTTGTTCTTCTTCTACGACCCTGACAGAGACACGTGTCTCGGAGTGTTTAAACTCCGTCATCTGTGAAAAAGAAAAACAACACGTTGTACATTTGAAATAAGACAGATTAGCGTCATATAGAATAGTAAATATCTGTTGCTCTTACTGGTGGATGCTGCCGTGTGCTGCCTGGTGCTCTTGATTTGCAGGAAAATGGTGTAGGCATCATAGGCAAACAGCAGACCAGCGATCAAACCAAACACCTATGGTCAGTTATGATCAGAAACACAGAAATAATCAAATTCACTGGTCAAATAAAACACCTCAAAGTTGGTTAATGCCAATAATTTTTTCTAGAAATACTTTTTTTTTTTTTTTTTTTTAAACATACTGTAATGTACTTGTAATAAATCTTTCATAATTTAGGTTACATAGCAAAAGCAGACTACAAGACTTTCAAAAATGCTCACACCAGCAGACAGCTTTACTCCCAGTCTGAGGGTGAAGAAACTACAAAACTGATCTGAGACAAGATTATTTCACTTGGAGAAATCCTCAACCGAAGAAATGACTGCGATATTCAACAGAAACATTTTTGGCAGTTGTCCATGTGCAACTTTCACACATTCAGTTCCGAACAAACACGTGTGGTGTGTATACCACACAAAAGTGTAAAAATAGCGCAGATTGGGTCTATGAAAAACTTAAGGAAGATTGTGGTTGGAAATCTACCGGGCACACCACACAAATATTGTTTCAGAAACAATGAATAAACTGATAAAGAATAAACTAAAAACTAATTCTTAGAGAAAAATAATATTAAATGTCCTCAATCGAATTAAGTAAATAGAGAGCAAGGAAAACTTGAATTTGAAATTGATTAATTTTAACAACACCACAGGCTTTAGTCTCTTGATTCTTGAGTCATTCTGTTTCTTGCTCTCTCTCCCTCTCTACTGGCGGTGGTGATTTGTGCATTTTTGATGTGTCTTATGCCTCCCCCTGTCCTTTTCATTTACCATGAATCTCGTTTAATGACTCCTATTGCTTCCATAATATCATTAGTGGCTGTATGCTGCACTTTAATTTGGTACTTATGTGTGTGTGTTTCTTGTGCACTCTCCAAGGTGCTCCAACTATGAATGCATCCTGTTTTTGGCTACAAAAATAGTGAAACTTGTTTGAAAACTGTTAGACAGGCAAATTGTGTCAGCTTGTGGTCAGCACTATACTTAAACAGGAAGGAAGCATAAGAAATTAATCGAGATGACGATATTACTCAATTCTTCCTGAGCGCCTTTGCAGAGAGGTTGCGCGTATCTCATAATCACACACACATCAAATAACCCCCTTTGGTTTCTGTTTACACATCTATAAGCAGTTTTCACACCTGTGATATCACTGATACATAGATAATGGTTGTCAAAACAAACGTAAAACCTGAATATGAACAGTTTCAGCATTCAGTTCACGGCTGCTTAACTGACCCCGCCTGCTATACGAGCGC